CCGTCCTTGTCCCTTGTAGCAGTGTTTTTGAAAATGTCCTCACACATTGTTTGTTCCCTTGTCAATATCGGCTCCGATTCACATTCCTCAATGTGCCAAAACCTTTCCAATTGCTCTTGAATATCTGACACTATTGCGGTATTGCAAACCTTGGCCCGATTTGTCATATCCGATTTGTTCCTATTCAAAGTGGTTACTGTACCTGAAATTACCCAACCCAATTTGGTTTTCTGCATTACCGGTTGACCTTTACCCAATTTTACTTGTCCAACACACAACAAATCCCAAAATATTTCAGCACCTATCAATAAATCTATGTTACCAGATATGTTAAACTGACTGTCTGCTAATTTAAGATTATCTGGAATGCGAAAACTATCTTTCTGTAGTGAAATCGATGGTAAAGTTTGAGTAATCTCATCTAAAATCAAGAATGATGTTTTTGTCTTGAACTCATCAACTCTAGAACAAATTGTAGCACTTACAACCCCAGAAATGTTTGAAACTGATTGATTTATTCCAATGATTGGTATTTTGATATTTTGGCATGGAAGTTTCGATATTTCATTCATTCTTCTAGAAATAAAATTCGATTGTGACCCCGAGTCCAATAAAGCTCTACATTCATGTTTGTTACCAAAATGATCCAATATGAAAACTAGTGCTGTTGACAGAAGTATTTCCCTAGATAATTCTTCCCTAGTTGTTAATAATAGTGCTGTATTTGCTGATCTAGCACTTACCTTGTTGCTGGATGCTATATTTGAGCTGCCAGCGCCCTCTGTGATATTTGTTTGGTTCGAATTGACTGTACTATGATTCGTATGTGAAGATTGTTCCAGAATAACCTGAGTTTGTTCTGTTCTACCCTCATGCAATAATGAATTATGTTTCTTTCCACAGTGCTTACAACCACGAGAAAAACAATGATTCACTCTGTGGTCGGTACCTAAACAGTTCCAACATAAATTCAGTTTTTGTACTTCAGCCCGTCTTGCTTCAGTTGTTAGCCCCAAAAATTGTTTACATTGATAAATGAAATGTTGATCCTTGCAAATTGCACAAGCTTGCCTTGTTGTTACGAATGACCTCGATACTGATTTGAACCCCCTGTATTTATTTGAGTTATCAAAGCGATTTTCAGTTGACACCTTGTTATTTGACGTTTTATTTGTATCTGTCGCCTCTAAAATTTGACAACGATGTGCCAAAAATTTTAAAAAATCATCTATTTTCGGAAAAGTACTCGTGTTTGTTTGTGCTTGCCATTCTCTTTTTGATGAAGGATCTAGTTGTTTGTCTAATATGAAAATTAGTAGTGTGTCCCATGAATCTACTGGTTGTCCCAACGATTTGAGAGCCCTAATACTCTTCCTAGTTTCATCCAACATTTTTCTGAGTGAACTATGTGATTCCCTGGTTATGTTTTGAAAGTTGAACAATGTTTCAATATGACTCAATGTAATTATCTTCTTATTTTCAAATCTCTCTTTCAACAGATCCCATGCCACTACATAGTTATCGTCAGACACTTCTAATGAATGCAAAACATCTGCTGCGTCACCCTTTATTGCATTTTTCAAGTAATAAAATTTTTGAACTGATGTCAAATCTGAATTATCGTGGATTAAAGACTTGAAAATATCACAAAATTCAGGCCAATCCTTGTACCCACCACTAAAATATGGTATTTCCATTATTGGTAATTTTACATTTGTAATTGCACCACGATTTCCACCTGGAGCTGGTCGAGGTTCTTCTTTACTTAAATTACGAAAAGCTGACTTTGCAGCCCCAATTATTCTAAAATAGTTTTCCTCGAAATCTACCAATTCCTGATTTTGAACCGCAGACGCATCAGATTCTGCTATATCATTCTGTACACTATGAAACTGATCCCAAAGTTCTTCACATTTCTCTATTCGAGGACCTAACTGATCTGCTTTGTCAACTGTAAACTCATTTACAAATTCCCCAAATCTTATCAACTGTGATGTGAGGCTACTCCTCTTAGCCTTTAGTTTCGTTAAATTGCCTGTATTTGGTGCCATCTTAATCAAAATCGAAAACCTACCCCTAAATGACGCAAATTAAAGACATGCACTACAACAATGATAAATAGTTTATGCACTCACCCTGTAACAGCCCTTTTTGCCTACCAAATGTCCAATGCCTGACCTTATTTTCCTTGTTTATTTTATGTTCCGATCACCACCAATGTTCAATGCAGCACCCTGTGTTGTGTCCAAGCCCCAATCCTGTGTATTTCTGCACTGCAGTTGTTGAAAATGTATTTCTCCACCTCCTAGTTTGTCTACAGCGATGGTACCCTGCCGTAGTCTTGTCGTTTGAACCTTCCTATCCAAGTCCTCCTATACGATTTTCCTTGTGCCCTTTGAGAATCTGATTTTCGTCGATGTAACACTCCGTAATTTATTAGGAATGATGTCCGCCTGATTTGATTATCCCTGCAGCCGCCGAAATCACTATTCAATGATTATTCCAGATCCGGCTCGAAGGACCAATGTTAGGGTGTATCCCAATTTTTCTATTTGATGTAATGAAACCTCGTATGTATTTAAACATATAATGAAATTAATGGACTGTATAACATGAAAAAATGAAATCAAGAATAGTGACAGTTTTTTTTATTTAATGACGGCAAAAGTCAATCAAAATTGTTGATCACTATCGTCGTCTCTTGTCCGTCGCTAACTTCTGATATGCATAGCAAACTGCAAAATTTCTCAACTTATCATCTACTGGGTCTTCGTTATCCCTCGCAGAGAGTATGATATATGAACATATCACTCTTAATGGCCCAGAACCCTTCTGTGGTATTGCGAAAGCTATACGAAAGAATAGTATCAAATCATGGATGCAAACTAAATCTCAAGAATGGTGGAACAACTCGCCAGGAATGAGACAGGCAAAAGAGTTTATTAAAAAACCATCGCCAACATTCACAGAATATCTACTAAGCCAAAAACGAAGTTCAACTAGAATACTAGTGGGACTTCTCACAGGGCATTGTAGGCTCAACAAACACATGAGTACGATAGGTCTGACTGAAGAACTGCTGTGCAGGTTCTGTCAAGAAGAGGAAGAAACAGCAGTACACATACTTTGCCACTGTGAGGGCTTGTCAAAACTAAGGTTCCTTACGCTGGGTGAGGAAAGACCAGGAGCCCAGAGATACACAGGAGATCTGAAAGCTAGCTTATGGAGTTTCATAGAGAAGGCGGGGCTAGCCGAAGAACTCTAATCCATTTTGAGGGCAGGCACAATAGATCTGAAAAGGTCGCAGTGTGGAGGCAGATAGCCCGAAGGCCCCATTCCAAATCTAATTAATCTAATCTAGAAATATGCTTAGCTTGATATAAAAAATAGTGTTGAACTGGCTCAAAAGGCCTCCCGCTATTCTCCCTAGGTACGCACGATGTTCCACGAACATAATAAGAATTTCCTTTCGTTCGCTTCAAGAGATAAAACGAAGTTATTGTTGAACATTCAGAATTGAATGATTTCGTGGATGTTTGCTCGATTGGAAACCATAAAATTGAGATATAAATATCTCATATATTTTACATAACAATGCGCGCTTCGCAATTTGTTATCAAAGCGCGAACCTTGTCATTTTTTGACGTTTGTAGAATAAAAATGTTTCTCATATCTTGAAAAATTATTTCTCACAAAATTTGAAGATCGTATACATTCCAGATGCAATACATTTTTGGATTATAGCTGAGCAATTTTATTCTTTCTGATGGAGTTTAGAGTTATGCTGACGTATGGTATTGTCCTGTACCTGGAGAAATAAGCAAGATGCGCAAAAATAGCAAAAGATAGGAATGCTCTTTTTAAGTGGATTCATCTGAATATTCAAGTAGAACCTGATAAGAACAGGAGGATTTTCTTTTACAAAAAAAGCCTGTATGCTTGATGGGTACGCCCCTATTAAATCTGGATCGAATTCAATTAGTCCAGGTCTAGTAATTGTGTCGATTAACCATAAAAATTTCATTCAAATAGGTTTGAGCGTTTTGAAGATAATAATGAAGAACCATTTTTTTTTGTTTTTGTACTTGGACACCATGTATCTCAAAAATGAAGCATTTCTGGACCCATGTTCATATGATTCTTTTCTCATATTTTGCTGGGAGAAATCTCAACTAGGCATTTATCATCTGAACTCTGAAACACCCTGTATATTATGTCATTTCGTTATTGGATGACGGTCAAAACTCACATCCAGCTTATGGACTATTATCGCTCAATTTCGATTATAGACATCAACCAAATAATGAAAAGACATTGGATATGTTCCGTTGATCAACCGTGGTTATATACCAATGCTCTCAGGGCCGGTACCAACAATTTTAACACTGATTATCTACTAGTGACTACGGTTATGAATCGAAAACTCATACCAAGAACTGAAGCACTTCAACGTCAACTCAAATTTACCGAACTCCAGAAAAAATCAACGGTCGTTCTGGTGATAGTGAACCTACCGCTTTTTCAGCAACTGAGTTCCGTGAATAACCTTTTTTCAGGAACCAAACAAACATTCAAAAAAGATTCACTCATTCAGCCTTAACTGAATTGAATAAACTACCTGATATTATAAAAAATGCAGAAATATAGGTACATACATTCAAAAATGAAGTATGAAACTGATTATTTCTGACCGAAGTGGATGAAATTAATCATGCCATTTTTTTTTTCAAAAATATTATTCTTTGTTTGCCAATTTACAGTTGTTGATATATTTTGAATGATGCTATGTTTACCTATGGATATATAATTATGTACTTCCTTATACCAGAGCCTATTCTGTCTGGAAATTATTAGTTCAATAAATAAGTAAATAAATAAATTTCATATTTTCGGAACGGAGATCCACTAATCGAAATAACCAAGTTGATTCACGAAACATATCCATTGTAAAAACGAACAGATGAGTGAAATAATCATCATCCATTTATATTATTTTTTAGGTTCATATTCTGTGGTTGCTTCCAACGAAATAGCACAAGTTTCCCAATTCTGGAACTTGGACGTCCACAGCAAACCGAAGGTCATTCAGAAACTTGGATCCGACAGGACCGTATCTCAAGGTCAAAACGTCGAGCTCAAGGTCAAACTCGAATCAGAGCCCAAACCGGAAGTGAAATGGTTCAAGGACGAAGAAGAAATCAAATCGAGCGAGCACTTCGTCATCAAAGACGATGGAGATTCGTATATTCTGAAAATCACTGGCGCGGTGTGTAGAATTCTCTTTTCCTGTAGCAGTTCCTAGAATTCAGAAACAAAGTTGATATACGGACCGAACAAATTGTTATGCTAACAAATTACATTGCACTACAATGATTAACCACTAACCAAACCGATTTTTTCAACGCCTGGACACGTGTTCTGCTAGCTATGTTAGCATCTTCAGGAGGAGATTAAAACTAAATATCCTATCCTAGTGTGCTGCTTATAAACTAGGTATATGTTCACACAACTGTGAAAAATACTTACCGTCAAGTTAATGTTTGTCTTGGTTGAGTTCACATTTTAATCTAATTTTTTATATTACTGAACTATATAGAGGGCTATAATGGAATAGGTCCATTATCCTTATTCAATACTCTATTACTATTCTTAATATGAAGTTCGTTTATGTGGGAGCCTCTTTTTTACTTCAATAAGTCTCATATCTTGTGGTTGGTCCCAATTAATTCTCAAACCAATTTAATTCCTCATTCATATGAATTTTATATCAAGTTCGGAATTGCGAAAAAATCTAAAATCATTTAGCGATGTCACAACTTCTATTCATTATACGAAATAAGTATACAAGATATGAAGAACCAAATGGAAAAAGATCTCACCTCAATTACATTATGGCTACAAGATCATGACTCGATACCCAATTTCGATAAAAGCTCTTCCATGTCCTTCTGGGAAATATTAGCAACCCCACGAAAAAATCGAAACACTCAGGTTTATTCATAAACCAGCCTCTATCTTAGTCACTGCATATTCAAATTTTCATGAGAAAAATATCTCCCATTGTTAATATTTGAAAAAATTGTTCTATCCGTCATTCGGTTGCCCCCTTACGAGCAACCCTCAGAAGTCTTCGAGAGTCTTGTGCGAGCAAGGAATGACGGGGGCCTTAACTTTTAAAGTGTGATCCCAAACACTTTCTTGGGCCATCAGAAAAATTTCTGCAGTCGTTGGGAATCGAACCTACGACCGGCAAGCGAATGCGAATTAGAATACCGACACTCTGTCCGCACGGCTACCTGGCCACCCATATATTACACATTATTATCATATCTAGTCTTCTGTACCACTCAAATACTTGAAATTGATTTATTTCAGTTCATTCCACTCCAAATACTGGCAGTATGACTTCCTTTTCATTGGATATTGAACTTGTTCATGGATTTTCTAAGTTCCTCCTTCTCTTTTGTGTCTATTCATAAACATGTATGTTCTCTACAATCAATGAACGATATTATTCTTATGAACTAGAAAAAAGTGGACCTACCCTCTTGACACACGCGTCGTTCTAGTGACTCATCGGCGGGTGAATACAATAGCGAGTAAGCGGGTGATTCGCGGATAAACAAGCGAACTAGACAAGCCCAGTCAGCACATCCTTTCGTTGTCAACCTCTAAAGATGTCGAACAGCACTTTATCAAATCTCCTTCATCCTTAGAACGGCTAGGCTCTGGAATTCATTGCTTGTGGAAGTATTCCCAACAACATATAATCTCCGAAAGTTCAAAAAAAATTCCAATACCTACCTCCTGTCCCTATCCTCCCTAGGAACGCACGATGTTCTTTGAACATTATAGGGATTCCCTTTCGTGCGCTCCAAGCGATAAAAAAAAAAGATAACGGGTGAACATCAGATGGAGAATGAGGGAGAGAGTTGAAAATACGGCCAACCTTCCAAGTTTACTACGTCGACTAGTCTGAGTAGTGCACCTATGTTGTTCTCAGACCAATCCACCCCTATCTCACCTATGCATTATTCTTAATTGAAAATTGAAATACCTGCGCAACCCAACGTAGTTTGACGATTCTGTGACGTTTTCATCTCAGTGGCGTAACTGAATGGCGAGGCTAAGTGGTAGAATAGCGGAGCTAAGTGTCGGGGCTAAGTGACGCTAAAAATTCACTCTCACAAACCAGTGACGTGTCTGTGACGTCACAAAACATCATAGGAACTTCACGAAATTTTCGAAGCGTCGAAAATGTCGCAAAACGAAACAAGAACATTACAAATGCGTCACAAAAACTTTACAGAAACGTTACGGGTTTGTGGAAGCATGTGAAAGGACACAAATAGGGCACAGAATCGTCAAACTACTTTGTGTCAGGCAGATAGTTCGACGTTGTACTATCTCTGGCTAATGATGGGCTTATTATGAGTCCGAAATATGTCCTTCCTATTTTAACATAATCATGAATACCGCCATTGAATATTGTGGAGATGATATAGAGATTTATTACTTCTCCAGGTCTTTCAGTTGATAATAATGCATGGGTGGGAAAGTGGTCGATTGATCTGAGATCAACATAGGTGCACTACTAGTATGATCTAGATATTAGAGTTATACTTGCCAGATATCAATGTTCATGTATCAGGTGCTATCACTCACCTAAAAAGATTCACTGCGAATGTATCTTTCCAACTCAGATAATTTGATCCATCCTCATTTTTGTTTGTCTACTACGGATATCGCTACATCGATCTATCTTCTGTAGAACCAAAATGAGGTTATCCTAGGTTACGCCTACCTGGCCTATGGGCACGTATTAGTTCTAGTAGTGGTACTGGTCAATACTGGTAATCAAAAACCACTGATATGTTATAGGTGACAACAGATGCTGCCAAATACAAGTGCAAAGCTGTTAATATACATGGTAGCGTGGACGATGAGGTGACGATAAACGTGAAGAAACCTCCAAAGATCATCCAGGGACTACACGATATGACGGTGACTGAGCACGACAAAAACGTTACATTGGATGTTAAGCTCGAAGCATTTCCCAAGCCCACTGTGAAATGGTGAGTGACAAAAATTAAGGATACGAGGATACGAATTCTGTGAATTACATTCCAACTCCATCACGCTACGAAAGTGTACATGAAAATGCTCTGGATATTTTGATAGGATCAGAAGAATTTTGCACTATCTATATACCGTCCAGAATGGTATTTACTGTATTGCACTTGATATTGTGGCGATATCATTTATAACACACTCAATGTTTCCATTCGAATTTTTACAGGTACCTTGATGAGATGGAGGTCAAAGAAACAAGAACCGAGTTCACTCGAATCGAATATGATGACGGCGTCAAACTGGTCATCAAGGAAGTGTCTAGCGAACTTTCTGGCCAATATACGTGCAAGCTTAGTAATGAGTGTGGTGGTGCAGAAACCAGTGCAAGATTAACAGTGAATTGTGAGTTGGTCCAATGAAAACTATAATTGGGAGAGAGTTGACACCTCTCTCAAAAAATTATTCAAACTAATTATAAGCTTGAAAACTGGTTGATAATTGTGAGTTATTGAAAAATTCATCAAAAACAGCTTCCTCAACCCTTCTCCAATGATTGGTTGTGGTAAAATACCATACATCTGTCGAAATTAACACTGAATTTCACAGTTTTTGCTGCCGTTTCTACATAAAGACTTCCTCATACACTCAGTTCCAAAAAAAGTGACGCACTCAATATTTGACCAATCTTCTTAAAAAAAAATAGTAGGCCGATTTTTATTTTTTTTTATTTGTTTGTAGGTAATGCATTTGAAAAAAAAATTAAGAGGTGAATATTTTTTCAAAGCCTCCTTGATGGTGGTGGAAAATTTTTTACTCAACCTGTGTGTTAATTGAGTAATGGCATAGGAAGTGCTTACACCCTATACGAAAGAGGCTTCTTTTGCAAGCATTTCGTTTTTAGCTTCTCTGCTGATACCTTACGCTTATCCCACAAATTGAATTTATTGAAGGATCAGAGTACACAAAATTGATTGTGTTGTACTCTGGTAGGATCACTTATTTTACGGAATCGATCAAATACTGCGGTACATGTTCAGCACGATCTTCGCCAAATTCGTGATGTTGCAGTGAGTATGCAGACGGTATGTAGACGTCTAAAAGAAGTTAATTTAAGAGCTAGGAGACCTGCAAAAGGTCCCAAATTATTGCCCGAACATCGTGCTGCTAGAAGAAATGTTGTTGAAAATTATGGACAGTGGAATATTCCTGAATGGTCGAATGTCTTGTTTACGGATGAGTCGAGGTTTTGCCCCAACATGGTGGATGGAAGAAAAAGAGTGTTAAGAAGAACTGGTGAACGGTTTAATCAAAATTCAATGACAGAATGCGAAAGTTTTAATGGCGGGTCCGTTATGGTGTGAGGAGGGATTTCAATGAATGGAAAGAGACCCCTCAATGTTTTTCCGGTGAGGCAGTAGATTGCCCAAATTAACATTGACATTTCAGATCAGTATGTCTTACCTTATGCAGAGTTAGTGGGCAATAATTTCATATTGATGCATGATAATGCCCGACCACACACCGCAACAATAGTGCGAAACTTAATGGAAGCTATTGGTATTACCACATTACAATGGCCTGCGAGAAGCCCCGACATGAATCCTATAGAACATTTGTGGGATGAAATAGCAAAGATTACTGAATTCTAGAAGATAGTTCACTTAGTGAAATCCGTTTGTCGGTACAGCCCAACATTGCATTTTTTGCTTTTCTATAAATCATTGCACCGCCAAACGGTTGCGGTCGGTTGACAGCTAATTAGATTGCGATTTCAAAGGCCCCGGCAGTCGTTAGCCGGCAGAATCCAGCGGTCGGCTAGGTTGCGGCGAGATCTCTTAGAAGTCGAAAAATGAACGAGTGAACTGTCTTATAGTTTATCTTCTGTAGTCTATGGAAATAGGCAGAACGGTACGTTCTCGCGAGAGGTCTCCGGAAAGTCTCGCAGATGCTTTAGTGGAAGAATGGGATCGTATACCAATGGAAACGATGAGCAACTTGATTTCCAGTATGCCTCGTAGATTAAAAGTTCTTAGATTTGCTAGAGGAGGCAATACACGGTATCAAGCATTCATTCCAATTCACAATTTTTTATAATTTTGTGTTTAATAAAATGTTTTTTAAAACTATTGATATCAGTTCATTTCATTAGAAAATTGTTTCTCGATAAATTCAGACAGTTGGTAATCTGCAAGGATTCAGCAAAAAAGCTGTAACTCGGAATATTTTAGAGATGAATCAATGAATAAAAAAATAAAATGCTCGAAAAGGGAGCCTCTTTCGTATGGGGTGAAAGCACTTTTTATGCCATTACTCAATTAACACACAGAGTGAGTCAAAAATTAAGAATAAATCATGGTTCGAGTTATTCCACCACCATCAAGGAGGCTTTGAAAAAATGTTTACCTCTTTATTTTTCTCAAAGACAAATGCATCACCTACCACCAAATAAGGAAAAATCGGCCTATTATTTTTTGTATTTTTGTTTTTAAGAAGATAGGTCAGATATCAAGTGCGTCACTTTTTTGGAACTGATTATATTTTTCAGAGTGAATATCATGAATTGTTCATATTTTTGATAGACAGAAATTTTATATCACATCAACTTTGCTAGAAATGTATCAACTCAAAATGTGAATGTGAGTGGCGCCACTGTCACAATCGTTGTATTTCTATGAAATCAAAGACTGTTGAATCTCAAATTTTTGGGGACAAGCGCGGGAACAACTTCTTGAACCTTCCGTTCCTCAAACTCAAACTCAGTATGAGTGGAGTCCTGCAAGAAAAAACGGAAAAACGACCTCTCTCTGGAAATGCAGGAGAGTATCCTCATTCCTCGCTTCATTTGTCTTCAAAATCAAACGAAATTTTGCTAGGTCCGTATCAATTTTTGAAAACTCCAATTGAAATCAAATCGAACTTGCAATGTTCAAAAACCTCACTGAGAGTGAATCTTCTACAGTGGGCACATGAAGACTGAAACGAAAGTTTCATAAGGCTATTGGGGAGAAAGGGTGAGACACGTCTATTGTATTTCACAGTTCCGCAATTTTTGCTTATATTTTCCATGACGCCATCACTTTTCGAGTTATGACGTCATCTCGACTTTTCCAAAGAGCAATAAGTAACCCATTTTGATATCTGGTAGCTTCATCTATTTATATGGAGAATCAACAAGAATAGACAAAAACTCAGTTGGCTGCTGTTCAGTTTCGACTAAGTAGTTGTTCATAACTGTCAGCAGAAGTTCTTGAGGAAACTTTCAGTCGTACTTTCAATGAAATCGCAATTTTCGAAAAATATTATTTCAATATAACATTTTTAATAAATAATATAGATACTGAGAGTAGTGACGATTTTCACGATACTCCAACAGAGATATTGGAAGAAGCTGCACAGGTAACATCACATTTGTTTGCTGAAAAATTCAAGAAAAAAGTATGAATTGACATACAAAAATATATGAAATGGAAAAATTAAAGTTGAAGCATCTTCGAGAAGTAGATATTGAAAAAAAGACGATTAATGTTTCACCACACAAAATTGTACGAATTTCACTATTGACTTCAATTTTGGATGAATTATCCAACTCTTATGAAGTAAAATACTCTGATGTTTTTTTCAGTTATGCGTACCATTGAATTAAATATCTAATTACATCACTCGTATTCTTCAGTTTTGTGGAGATGTAGAAAAAGTATAGTGTGCAACATGTGGCGAGAGTACTCTTCCTACTTATGCACGTTGAACTATTCTATGTCCGTTACAATGTTCAAAAATTACACTTTCCGGAGAATTTGAGAAAGAAGTATGAATTGATATCCAAAATTGTAGGGAATGGGAAGAAATGAATTAAATATTTTTTGAAAAGTGGAAATTTAAGGGAAAAATGACGTTCAAAGTTTCATCACACAAATTTGTTCGAATTCCACTATTGACTTCAATGTTGGATGAATTTTTCAACTGTCAAGATGTTTCTTCAGGTTTGCTAACCATAAAAAAAATTTCCAATTACATCACTTGCATTCTTTGTGAAGAAAGTATAATGTGCAACATGTGGCGAAAGTGCTTTTCCTACTTGTTGCACATTGAACTATTCAATGTCCGTTTCAATGTTCAAAACTTCACTCTCCCCACAGGTGCCCCACGCATCATCAAGTGCCTCAACGACACCACCGTCGAAGAGGGAGCCACCCTGCATCTGGAAATCGCCGTGGCGGGCTGTCCCGCGCCCACAGTGAAGTGGCTCAGGAACGGCCGCGAGGTCTCAGCAGACGCACGGATCAGGATCAGCCGCGACACGCAGCGGCACGAGACCTACAATCTGGCCGTGGATCTGATCAAGTACGAAGAGCAAGGGGAATACGAGGTGATCGTGACGAACTGTCTCGGGACGGTGAGCAGCAAGAGTTTCGTCACCGTGCATAGTAAGTTTCGTCTCAGAGTTCAAGGGTTGTCTATAATCTCTCAACAAATGATTCCCCATTGATATTTAGTCCAAGGAAGTCAAACATGAATAGAACAAAACCTCGAAATAAAGGAGGTTAAATTCTGATGGCAAATTGCGATCTCTCATAATCATACTACTGCTCGGGACGGTGAGCAGCAAGAGTTTCGTCACCGTGCATAGTAAGTTTCGTCTTAGAGTTCAGGGGTTGTCTATATTCTTTCAACAAACGATTCACCATTGATATTCAGTCCAAGAAAGTCGAACATAAATAGGACAAAACCTCGGAATGAAGGAGGTTAAATTCTGATGGCAAATTGCGTTCTCTCATGATCACTCTACTGTCTCGGGACGGTGAGCAGAAAGAGTTTCGTCATCGTGCATATTAAGTTTCGTCTTAGAGTTCAACTGTTGTCTATGATATCTCAACAAACGATTCACCATTGATATTTGGTCCAAAAAAGTCAGACATAAATAGGGCAAAACCTCGGAATTCGGATTGGAAGGTTAGATCCTGATCACATCACATCTACATCAGAGTACATCTTTCAATGTGCCGCTCATTTGTGTATTCATCAATATCAAATCATGATAAATTGATTAGGTATTTCGGCTGTCACGAGCATCAGTTAGTAGGCTACAATTTCAGCGTGGCGGAGTCCATTCTTCTTCAAATCATTTGTATTTCTACTTTGCATGACTTCAGTAGTCCAGCTACAGGGTTATCAGCCTAGCCAGGCCTACCTGTCATCAGCCCCACCATCTAACCCCGCTCACCTAATTTCCAACCCGCTCTCTTCTCGCTGCAGCCAAGTGAACGGTTTTCCAGATGGTTTTACTCCGCCATCTTCCTACTTAGCCCCTTTAGACCCTTCGTACTACCACTAAGCCCCGCCACTTGCCCCAGCCACTCCTAAACACAGAGGTAATGAAACAAAGATTTTAGAAAAAGTCACAAAAACAAAGGCGGAATGTTTCTGTGGCGTTTCAGTGATGATTTCGTCGTTTTTGTGATGTTTCTGTAACATTTTTGTTTCATTTCCTTCGTCTAATTGAGTGACAGGGCCAAGTGATGGGGCTGAGGATGAATGACGGATGGTGGGGTTGAACCATCTGGAGAACCGTTTGCTTTGCTGCAGCAGTGAGAAAGCAGGGTGAAAAGTGGGTGAGCAGGATTAAATGGCGGAGATAATGACTGGGTGATACAAAGGAGACCGAATGGCAGGAATAATATCTGATTGACTGGGCCTGATATCCCTGTATCTCAACTAGTTATCTCAGGCGATCTCAATTTGTTTTGTCGTTTGATACTCACAAGTGTTATGAACAAATCAGAAGTTACGTGGTTCTGTATCTAGAGTCGAGACTAGGACCAGCCGAATTTGACATGGTAGAAGGTGTTGTATATCTATTAGAAGTTCAAGAAAAGTAGGGCTCCGACTAACCCTCATTTGTACATTGACTTTACATTGATCATTATGACCAATGTTCACAGTACCGTCAAGAATTGGAGATATTGACACTCATGTACACACAGTGCAATATCAAAATGCAGCCAAGGTCCTATAGAACGCAAATTATCATAAGGGAATATAATCTACTTCTCTCTAATTCTCGAATAATACTGACGTTGATGAAAGATATAGTTTTTTCAAACAAAATTCCGCGCTTCTAAGTGCACGTCTGATTTGTTCATAACGATTAATTACAAATACTCAATAAATGGAAGCCATTTAAAACAGCAACTGGGTTTGAACTAGCTCCAATTAAGAGCAGAATGTCATTCATATTATGCAAATCATCATTTTTTAGTCCAGGTCACACATGGTAGGCTCAATTCATGCATGGAAATCCACCAATTCCTGCCGATAAGAGATGAAACGCCTAATCTGCTCATGATAATCAAATTGAAATCAAAAGATGAATGGAGATCAACTAAAGTCCTGTAGAGTTGAAGTACAATTGATGAGGATGAGAATGGACTTTACCGCTTGAAAGTTGGCCTCTCATTTTCCTCGTAACAGTCGGAATACCTAATTCATTAAAAACAATTGGATTATTGATGAATGATTAAATCAGCGGTGCATGGGGCGATGTAGACTTTGATATGGACGCAATCACGAAGAGAATACACTTTGCCCCTACAGAGTCAAATCTTCTTCACCGAATCACGAAGTGCAATGCTCATATTCCTGGACTACATCCATTTGTCCTCTATAACGCACCTCTTCAATGAACTAATCGAACGGTGAAAAAAAAAGTTCAACTCGCTCAACTATTTCGACTCAACAACGTACTTATTTCATCAGATTCCGTATCAACCAACTCATCAAGTACCCAACCCATAAGAGAACAGTCCATCATTTGACTCTCAAAACTTGAACGCTGCAACTAATCAAGGAGAACGACCTCTGAGAAAGCGACTCATCAACGTTGCCAATGATTCATCAAAGACTTTCTTGAACTATTCAGAAACAATGCACCGCACGAGATGTTTCAAGTACCAACAACATTTCCCTCAAACGCAGCAAGAGTTTCATCAACGTGAACATTAAGTTTTCTTTCACACTCTGAGGGTTCATCATGTCTCTAAGCTCATCAACTTATGAGGCTGTATACTCTCATCAAAATCACAACTCTCCAACAGACCATCATCTTATCTAATATAAACCAAATCATCGATGATTGTGCTCATTGGGAGAAATACCATTATCACATTTCTATACTCAACTCATCAGCAATCAAACAATGACGCTCTCATTTCAACAGAATCAAACTCACCAATGAGTATTCATGAACAACCGAATCTATTGGTGAACAAAATATTCATGATGATTATTATCTATAGTCATGATTCATCCGTTTTATGATATATAAATAGAGCCGGTTCAATGCATCCAATTCAAGAAGAACGTATATCAAGAATGTTCATCTCCAATCGAGAGCTTTTCTCCATCATAGATACTGTCGTAAGTAGATTTTTTGTATGGGTTTGTTTGAACCCGTTATGCCCCCCATAATATCTGCATCACATTGTGTTTGTGGAATGTTTTATGTTCGAGTTTATTGAAACTATTTCGTTTTTGAATGTTCTGAAGGATTTACGAAAAAATCTCATATTTTGATGTAATGTAGTCTGAGAACTTTGTATTTATCGTTTCTGCTCCAAAAACTTGTACCTGACTGAAATATGGCATTCATTTCCCTGTAATATACAGGGTATTTCGAAATTGGATCGAAAACGCTCGACAAAAGATAGTTGTCGTGATTTCATAATTACTAAGGTGGGCACCCTAATAACGCACCTCAATTCATTGGACATCTAATGGATATCCTCAGTCGGATATCCTGGACATCCATAGGATAACCACTTTGTGTATACAGGACATTCTATGTGAAATCAGAAGTATATATTATTATGATATTCATAATTCCAAATTTTTTGGGATTTTCTCTCCTCGTTTCTATAAAATGAAAATATGAATATTATTTCAATATACGTGTAGTAAGGACAAATCAGACGATTTGCCCCAAAATGTCACTGCGTTCAAAGAATTTCACTATCAGAGAGCCTAAAAGAAAAATTCACCAGCTTGTCAGTTACAATTTGTATTGAAAAAAATTTTGGAGAAGAGAAATAGAGATATATAGAAAAATTATCAAATTCTCACTTATCTTTGGACGTTTCGGGTCCGATTCTGTTCCCGTTTTCAACATGAGAAGAGATTATTTCAATAGCGAAGTCATATAATATGTCTTGAAGCTTTTCAGTTCTCAATGACAATGGGCTTATATCACAAAAAAATTTTATTCCATAATTCGATAGAACTCACCCAAACTAGCTTACCACCGCAAACCGTTCATCGCTGTGAGCTCCCTACGTTTTATAAAAAATTATTGAAATCCCCGATTTTTCAGACCTCTGAAAACGAGGCGATGATGTGACGTCAAAACCCTAATACTGAAACAGGACTATTCCAGACAGAGATGAATGATACATGATTTCTGGCAGAGTGAATTATCGCGAGATCACAGTTGACAGAATTAATATATCAGTTGCTTCAGTCTCCGTCCGGCGTTTGGTATTTTCTTTTAACTATGGCGAGATGAGGTTTCTACGTCATAAGAGGGTCCGTTTTCAGATGGTACTATTAGTTATGTCCAAAAATTGAACATTCCAGTGAATTTTTCGATCGAATTATGTCGTCAATCATTATTTATGTATGAAAGGATCATTATAAACATGGTTTGAGTTAAAAGTTCTACCAAGGTGTACACGCCCATTGGTGACGTTGGCAATCATATTTTTATATTATAGAAACGAGGAGAGAAGATCCCAAAAAATTTTGAATAATGAATGTACCACCTCCTCAATTAACCTACAGACAGTATTTATATATGATATGATAAAAAAATAGATAGTATATACCTACTTTAACTTACAGAAGAACAAATGAAACAGAAGTAGTAAACGCGATTAAACAAATAAACTGGGATAACATTACAAACATCGATGATCCAGAAATTGCTTTTGAAATATTTCTGAACATAATAAAAAAGATTGTAAATGACGCGACACAAATCATTGCACTAAAATATAAAAAAAAGAAAAAGCAATGGATCACCCATGGATTGGTTACTTCTATTAAAACTCGCGATAGGCTCCATGGAATGCACGTAGCTCAACCAAATAGTGCTGAAGCTAGAAATAACTATATTAACTATCGAAACAAACTCAATAAACTAATAAAAAAAGCAAAAAGTGATTACTTCAAAAACGAGATTGAAAAAATCATAGGATCTGCAAAGCATATGTGGAAAGTCGTTAATGATTTCACCAACAACTATAAAGAGAAAAATTGCAAAATTGAAAAAATTATTCTCGAAGATGGAACAGAAATAACTAAGCCAGAGGATATCGCTAATAGTATGACAGATTACTTCTCAGAGATCGGTCCTAAGCTATCTTCAAAGATAAAAATACCTAATTATTATGATAAAGTTGAAAATAATCAGCAAATGAACTCCATTTACTTACGACCTACCTCGCTTGAAGAAATTAAAACCGAAATAATGAAATTGAAGAACAATAAGTCACCTGGTCCAGATGGAATCAGAAATGAATTGATTAAATTAATTGGTGAATATATATCTGAACCACTATGCCATATCTTCAATAAATGTATATCAAAAGGAATCGTACCTCAATCCTTCAAAAAAGCATTCATAACACCTATACATAAAAGTGGTATAAAAACTAGCATGTCAAACTACAGACCAATTTCGCTAACGTCGGCTATTTCTAAATTATTTGAGAGAATAATAAAGTGTCGCCTTATGGATTACCTTGAACAAAATCAAATAATTTCTGATAGACAGTACGGATTCAGAGAAAATCGGAGTACCCAAGATGCTTTAGCATATGTAACTTCGCTGTTGTACAAAGCTGTTGATAATAAGAAGGCATGCCTTGGTGTCTTTGTCGATTTAGCAAAGGCATTTGATACTGTTAGTCACGAGATTTTGATGGAGAAACTTGAACACATAGGCATAAGAGGTATTCCATTAAAGCTCCTCAAGAGTTTTCTGAGTGATAGACAACAGATGGTTAAGTTAGATAATATAGTGAGTAGTCCAAGAACGGTTTCCTGTGGAGTACCACAGGGAACTGTTCTTGGACCTGTGCTATTTATAATATATCTGAACTCATTACTTACCTCGGAAACCCAAGGTGTGATTGTCTCCTTCGCTGACGACACAGTTATATTATATGAGGCGGATTCATGGACAGCAGTAAAAGAAAAAGCCCAACAAGACCTGGAACAAATAAGTAAATGGTTCAAAGTAAATCTGTTGACTTTGAACGTAACTAAAACCAATATCCTACCCTTTACCTCATATGAAAATAATCTACCGCCTTATAACTATATAGTTTTTGATGGACAGAATGTTACTATTGCAACCAGAGCAAAATACCTTGGTATAACAATCGACTCGTTCTTAAGATGGGACGGTCACGTTGACAACCTAAAAAAAAAGATGCGTTCACTACTATACAAATTCTATCAGTGTCGATATATACTTCCTCTCAAAAACCTTAAAATCATTTATTTTGCTATTGCTGAGTCCCTCATAAGCTATGGAATAATTGGGTGGGGGGGAGTTCGAAAGACCATACTGGAACCTCTACAAATCCTGCAAAAAAGAATTCTCAAAATTATAACTTTTAAACCTGCATTATATCAATCTGACCAACTATACAAAGATTTAAGAATACTAGATGTGAGACAAATCTATGTGAAATCGGTTCTGATGTTCACATTCTCGAATAAATCAACTTACCTCACCAAACCGAACCACTCATATAACACGCGCAGTATGAAGATGAAAAATGTTTCCTTACCTAAAGCAAACAAAGCATTAGGGCAGCGGTCTCTCTTCTATACTGCTCCAAGATTCTATAACCTCCTCCCTGAATCTATCAGAAATATAAAATCCAAACTTGGTTTCAAAAGAAATATGAAAGACTGGATCCTCGAACAAGAGAGAACATTTTTCAATACAGTCGTTGAATGAATCAATCCTATCATGCAAAACTTTTTATGTTAAAGTCAATTAAATGCATACTTACACTTACCCTACTTACTTTGAATACTATTATATTAGAGACTTTATTACTACACTTTCTCCTCAGTCGATTTATCCATTTCTGAATGTGCTACTAACCTTAGATTAATAATCTAAACTAATATAATATACTTCCTCAAATATATTCTTGTCATTAGAAATAATATAATTATAGTCCATTATATGTCTACTACTCACTCACAAAATTAAATAATCAAAGAAATCTCATCCATAGACAGTCCTCGTGAAGGACTAAATGGTGTTTCTGTTTATTTTCATAGGCAAAAATTTGTAAAACATGTATTATTTCCACTTATGTGAATAAACTTCTATTCTATTCTATTCTATTCTACTTAGGATGATAACAAATTTGAGAAGAAGTGGTCCAATGCACTGGCAATCACATAGTGAAATTGTAATATTTCCCATTGAAACTACAATCGGAACATCCTTGAAAATTTAATGAACCTGATCTGTAGTATCTGTTAACAAGATGAATGTCAACAAACATTGTCACAAAGGAGGGTAGTCTGGGGCCTGGTTTGTATCAACTCACTTATTTTTCTATGACAATTTGTCAAGTGAGTCGTATTGGTGGTTACTTCACTGATATTTATTTCAGTTATGTGTTAATTCTTTCGGATGCAGAAAAAATAGCATATATCATTCTGATCAAAAGTGACTTTGTTCCTCCCAAATATCTTGATTCTTATGAAGAAATATTCTATTCAATAAATTATCGAATAGATAATGTCTTCGAAGTTCCCATTCGTATTTCAATATAATGATTTGACTACTGTGCTATGGTCTGTCCGTACTCACGAAATAGTGACCTCAGTTTTTATCTACGGTGAGTTCCTAGCGGTTTGAAAATTACCTTGATAATATTGATGATTTTACTACCTCGAAATCGACCGGAAAAATCTGAAAAATATGATATCGAAAAATTATTGACTGATGATCCTATCAAAAAATTGAGTCCACTAGCCCAATGAATATCGGAAAACTTTTCCGCGTGTCAGTTTCAACTCAAGAAATTTGAATGCCGAATTCAAGTCAGATTCAAGATGGTGATGCCTGGATGAGCGATAGAGCAGTACAAGTTTCAGACTACCATCAATCGTTTATGTTTCCCTTTATCCTATACTAACCAATTACAGAAGTGACACATTCGGATGCTATCGAAGAAACCGAAGAACCTGCGAAACAAGTGGAAGTCGATGTGGTTGAAGACGAACCACAAAGTGCTGAAATAGCAGAGAAGGAAGACCAAATCGAATGCGAACCTGAAAAACCAAAAAAAGTCGGAATTGAAGAAGTAGAGGAGCCCAAAAAGGCAGGAGGTAGGATTGCAAGGTCTATATGGTGTTTATTCAGTGATCCGTAAAGGATCATATCTAATACGGACAAAAATCAAATATGTAATATAGTTTACTGCCATGAGATTTTGGAAAAGAGGAAGCAACAACATTTTTTATACATCTATTAAGGTAGCGTACAGCTTCCATATTCTCATCTCTCAATATATTATCCATTTGGGTATACAGGGCGTTTCAAAAAAACCTGACCCCCTTGCTAGGGTAGGTAGAACACTGCAAAATAAGTTGGGTTTGCTCAGTGGAAAAATGTCGTAACGGCATCCGTTTTCAAGATACAAGGTGTTGAAAAAATTATTTTTTGACACATTTTTCACGATTATGTCGGAACTACTGGCAACATTGTAATGAAACTCTTGTATGGATGTTTCTTGAAATCTGGCACATTGCATGAATTTGTTTTTATGTCTGACTCTCATAGAGGGCGCTAGTTACACGGTTCGTACCGAGTAGTTTAGAACATAACTTTTTTGAGGTTGCATTTTCCGATCCAAATGTGATATGAACTTGAACATCATTCGATTTTACACCATGTTCTGTTTTCGGAATATTTCGATTTGAAAATAATGGAGTAGTAATGATGCTGGTATAAAATAAATTTTATTCAGTTCAATTACCTATTTATTCAGATTCTAAAACGATGAAATTAATCTTGTGCTGAAGTTATTGATGAAACGAAGAATCATAAGTAGGAAATTGAGAGATATTTGACAAGAAACATGAAATATTGAATCAGTTAGAGTAAGTGTTCAAAATGTCCTACGTTTCGACGAATACACGATTCTATATTATTTTCTCGAGAATGTATTATTCATTATGTCTTACAACTCTTGACGTGAATTTACCTATGTAGCATAGACTTTCTGCTCAAGATACAACAAAACTGTGTAATCCATGTTCTTAGTCAAATCTGTTTCGATGTTATTCTTATGATTCATTGTCAAATCGACGAGTTTTGCATCAGAAATGTATTGTTGTTTTCTGTTTTCAATGAATAGGTCAATAGTTGATACTTATTTTTACATAATACTCACTCTAATACATAGCTTTATACCTGTAACAGTTATCACTTCATTATTTTCAAACCGGAATATTCTGAAAACGGAACACAGTATCAAGTTTTACCAAAAGTACCTTTTTGGTGTGAAATTGAATGATTCTCAAGTTCACATCAAATTTGGATTGAAAAATCTAACCTCAAAAAAGTTATGTTCAAAACTACTCGGTACGAACCGTGTTACTAGCGCCCTCTATGAGACTCAGATATAAAAACAAATGCATGCGATGTGTCAGATTGCAAGAAAAATCCATACAAAATGTCATCACAATGTTGCCAGTAGTTTCGATATAATCTTGGAAAATGTGTGAAAAAATAATTTTTTTAACACCTTGTATCTTCATAACGGATGCCGTAACGAATTCTTTTTACTGAGTGAACCCAACTTATTTTGCAGTGTTCTAACTACCCTAGTAAGAGGGTCAGGTTTTTTTGAAACACCCTGTATAATTGATCATTACTCCATTATGTTAATGGATCAATGAATGATGGAAGTTGTATGTTCTATCTATCACGATATTTCAATAATTATTTTCGGAGGATCACCCTATATCAATACATATTCCAATAATTCATAATTTCAAGATTATTGATCACCGTTTGAATAAGAAACTGAAACAATTAGTCAATAGATATTAGAGTATCAAATTATAAATTATCTTATGAAAATTATAAATTATCATATTCCAGTAATAAGTCTGACAATTCCAAATAAACTACTCAACACTAATTTCGTCGCACACCAAAATGTCGCCCCTGTTATAATGTGAATAACTTTTTTCAGTTTACAACAATTTGAATTTGGTTCACACTGTTCGATAGCCCAGTCCTTCAGCTATAATCTGGTACTTCATTGAAACATAAGGGTATTCATATAAAATCTCTACATGGTGTTTTCCGACACTGTGCAAAATTTCGGAATATTCAAAAGGCTCTCAAATGGTGAAAAAAAAAAATTTTCTCAACTTCGACAACAGAGGCTTGAAGATGATCTCATCACCTCGAAATATTTCGCGAATTAACTTCCTATCTCTCTTATTTACAGAGTGATCTCAAAAAAACAACTTTTTGGTCTTGCAGCCATAACTTTTTTTCACTTCAACCGATTTTGGTTATCTCAGGCTCATTTTGAAGACAAATATTCAGATGAAGAGATCTGAATATCATAATTGACTCAAGATGGCTATCAAAGATCTAGAGTTTTCTTGAAAGTGACCAAAATCTGAAACGCCCTCCGAATCTCGATTGGGAGGAGAATTGAATGAAAATCAACGTGTTCTCGGAAAAACAATTCATTCTGGATGCGTCCATATTTTCCTCGCTCTCAGTACTCAAGAATATGCGTGAGAAAACACAATTGAAACATGTTCTTGCCGAAACATCAGACCATTTCTCCTCTGTAATGCATGGCCCGTAACCAACGTTACAAGAATCACAGTAAGTGACTGACAAGTCAGGTTAGAAGTCGTTTTCGAATCATAAACAGATTTCGATAGTTCCGATGCCGCGTCTAACGCAAATGTGGGTGACAACTTTGTTCTCGTTGATGACAATGCGAGACCGCATAGGGTTGTTGGTACACCATTTATGATGAGCCTTAGCTGGTCGGGTTTGTCAGTCCATTGTGATTCTTGTAACGTTGGTTACGGGCCATGCATTACAGAGGAGAAATGGTCTGATGTTTTTGCAAGAACATGTTTCATTTGTGTTTTCTCACGCACAATTCTTGACTACTTAGCAAGGAAGATATGGACGCATCCAGAATGAATTGTTTTTCCGAGAACAAGTTGATTTTCATTCAATTCTCCTCCCAACCGAGATTCAGAGGGCGTTCCAGATTTGGGTCACTTTCAAGAAAACTCTAGATCTTGAGTCAATTCTGATATTCAGATCTTTTCATCTGAAGTTTTATCTTCAAAATGAGCCTAAGATTTCTAAAATCGGTTGACGTGGAAAAAAGTAATGCTGAAAAACCAAAAAGTTGATTTTTTGAGATCACTCTGTAAATAAGAGAGATAGGAAGTTGATTCGCGAAACATCTTGAGGTAATGAGATTATCTTCATGCCACTGTTGTCGAACTTGAGAAAAAAATTGTTTTCACCATTTGAGAGCCTTTTGAATATTCCGAAATTTTGCACAGTGTCGGAAAACACCATGTAGAGATTTTATGTGAATACCCTTATGTTTCAATGAAGTACGAGATTATAGCTAAAGGACTGGGCTATCGAACAGTGTGAACCAAATTCGAATTGTTCTAAACTGAAAAAAGTTATTCACATTATAACAGGGGCGACATTTTGGTGTGCGACGAAATTAGTGTTGAGGAGTTTATTTCAAAACTCATCGTGATATGTTCCCCTCTTCACAAAAAAATCGAAAAATGTTTCTTCCAAACGTGAGGTCTCTGAAATTTTCGAAAAACTGCACAGCTTTGATTATCATCCTGTAGAATCTTATTCTGGAGAGATGAACATTCATTTCAATGAATCAGAATTGATGAAGAAATATCGATTTTACGTTACGAGTGTTACGTATGAAGAACTAACAAGTTTAGTGTTGATTTGCTTCCTGTTCATCATATCGGTCGAAACAAAACTAAAAGCAAATGAAAATGTCAGTTTGTTTTGATCATCTGAGAGTTTTGTTATTTTTCCATGTTGTTTTCACCTGTATATGTGCTTACGTCTTTGTTTATCATCGAAAAACAACAATCACGAGAGAAATCTGCATCAATATACCTATTCATATTCTTTAACGAAGGTAAAATCATCACCCTCATCCCTACACCTACAAAAACCAACACAAATATTTTAATCACAATTTCACTCGAATAGGTCCAAACTATCAAAAGCTAGAAATAGATCTGAAGGAATCCACACTCAAATCTCAAGAACCTATTATAGAAGAACCAGAATCACCGAACGTTTATAAAAGAGGAACCTCTGCTATTATCGAAGAAGCAGAACACGCTGAAATCGAAGAAACCATTTCTCCACGGAAACAAGCGGAAGAATACGTTCCACTGAAACCGAAACCAAAAAGGGGCAAATCTGTGCAAATAGAAGAAATCGATATTATAGAAAACGCTCATGGAAGTACCCCTATAGAAGAAAAAGAGATAAACACTAAAGTTTTCGAGAAAGCTGCCAAAGTATTTGAAGAAGAAGAAGTAGTTCAAGAAATCCCCACAGCAGAAGTCGACGCCAAGCCAGTTGAGGTAACAGATACCAACGTAAATAGAAAACTCATGAGAGGTCAATCCGCTACCAAGGAGCAACTAAAAATCAATGAAAATGTTCTGAAAACTGAACCTCTGATACCGCTCGAGACGGAAGTAGACTCCCTTGGAAAAACACCTAAAATTGCAAGAGAAGCGACAATTGAAACATCTGAAATGATAGATAACGATACGAGTAATGCTTCAGCAAATAAACCCAAAGAAATGCATGTACAGAGACAAATCAGTCAGAAAGGGAAGAAGGAAGATTTAGAAGATGTTGATGAAAAAACAGAACATTTGTTGAGAAAAGCACAGAAGCAGAGGAGCTTGATTGAAGAAATGTCCATGAAGGAGAGTGAAAATATTGAAGGTAGACATACGTAGACTACACTTTTAACACATTAATACTCTTGTTGATATACAGGGTGTCTGAAATTGCTGAGGAACAGAGCTATCTCGTGTAATACAGTTCAAAATGAGTTAACTTATTTTTATAAGAAAATGTACCGTTTGTCCGTGAGACAAGTTCAAAGTTTACATAGAAAAAAACATATTTTTGTGCGCTGTTCAAAAATCCATGGAACAGATTGGATGAAATTTTCACAAAAGTGCATTCCAGAAGATAAACCTTTTTCTAGTAATCATAGAAACCTTGAAGAAATTGTAGAAGGTTGAGACCACCCTCACCCCCTGACTTTTTTTTCAGAACATTCTTAGGGGTGATAATAGTGTTCTAAATTCTTCTCAGTGAGATGACTGATTAATTATTCTCATTTTGTTACTCTTCTGAAAATTTCGTACTCTGCATAGTCCCGAAAGAATGAAAGTTCAAATAAATAATGCTAACAAATATTCCTAGTAGAAGTTTGGTGAAATTATTTGGCAGTGAAAACAGACAAATTGTGGGCGTCATATTGAACATTCGTTATGAAAGAAACGCGCTGACACAGTTTCTACTGTAAACTATATTTTTCATTATAATGATATTGAACTAGGAATATACACCGTGTCCCAGCTGAAATGTCTCCCCCTGTTGAAAATCAACCGCGCGATCGAATTACTTGAAATTTGGTCACTCAGTATATTCGATGATGATCACTCGAAATATGCTATTGAATAAATCGTAAGTAAACAGGGTCACACCGAAGTGCACCTCAACTTTCTTATTTCAATAGGGACACCTAGTATATTATTCCATATTCAAGTAAAGTTCATTTTCACAAAGTCAACAATGCTGGGTTTGATGGGATTTTTTCAAACGACTACGAAGATATGGCAACAAATAAAACGATACATAACTACAGACCCGTAAAGGATTATCTGTGCCATCGATTTGGAGAAAATCTAATCACCACCAATTGCCTCGATGGTGATAGCAACTGACCAGCTGGGTCGCCAGACCTCACCCCACTTGATTTTTATCTGTGGGGCTACTTGAAACAACAGGTTCATGAGTCGCAAATTGTGAATATGGAAGAAATGAAAGAGAAAATCACAAATTCATGCGCAACGTGATACATAGGGTCACAATAAACGTTATCAAAAGAGCTAGTAAATGTTTGCAGCAGAATGGACGACATATTGAGCAATTGAGGTTTCAATCATTTTCTTTCAATTCGATTTCAATCGTGTTATATTAATGAATTCTGTTCATATAAATGTTTTGTCATATCTTCGTAGTCGTTTGAAAAAATCCCACCAAACCCGGCATTGTTGAATTTGTAATAATGAACTCTACTCAATATGGAATAATATGCTGGGTGTCCCTATTCAGATAGGAAAGTTCAGGTGCACTACGGTGTTACCCTGTATACCTACGATTTATTCAATAGCATATTTCGAGTGAGCATCATCAAATACTGGGTGACCAAATTTCAATTCATTCGATCGCGCGGTTGATTTCTTACAGGGGGGGACATTTCAGCTGGGACGCGGTGTATATCTGTCAGCATCATTCAAGAAAACATTATTTTCCTTCAGCACTATGCGCAATCTGAAATTTTCACATGACTGACGAAATGATGATGATTGATCAGTCATCTCCCTCAGAAAATTTGAAAATCGTTCCACTTCCCTCCCCCTTGAGAATATTCTGAGGAAAATGTCGAAGGGTTAGGGTGGTTTTAACCCTTCTACAATTTCTTTTGGGTTCCTTCGATAGCTATATGTTTCACTCATTTGTGTACCAAAATGTGTTTTTCTAGGTGAACTTTGGACTCTTTTCATGGACAAACGGTACATTTTGTTGTATAAATAAATTGGGTCCAATCAACTTATTTTGACTTGTATTACAGATTACAGGTGGTAGCTCTGTGTCCCAGCAATTTTGGGAGACCCTTATAATCCAATCTATAATACTCATCTTTGTATTAACACAGAAACACTGTCCACCCAAAATCAGCTTCGTGTGTTAACGCAATTTCCATAATGTCAGTGACTAACAGCAGCTAGAAAGTCAAGCTTAGTAATCTACGCAAACCGCAAGGTAAGCAATGTTTTGTAACACAGGATTTGAGTAACGAATTTGATGTGATATCAAGGTAAGAATTTCTCTGTCAAATCCCATCGTATTGTTGCTGCAAAAATGGACAACATGTCGTGATTTGACATATTCACCAGAATATTTCCACTTTTTGGCGAAAAAATCTCATTGCTCATAATAAATCATGAAATATTGAATACATCAAATAGTTCTTGTGGAATGTAACAAATTTCGCGATCCATATCGTGTTTAATGGTAGCGAGTGAATATAGTAGACATTCTACCCCAGTTTTTGTTATTATCTAGAAAATCAACTTCTGATGGTGTTGTGAGTATTGCTAGAAGACGTCAGAAGATACACTGAGATCACGTTCCTAGTCATATTCGATCGCACCAATGTATCTTATTTTTTCACCCAGCTGAATGGATTGAGAGGTGGAAATCTCAATTGTTGATGATTTGAGCCATCAAAATAGGGAATCTGAATATTAGAAGCACTGATGAAAACTAGTCCGAAGGATATTTCTCATTAGATACATATTCACAGAAGGTAAACTCGCAATGAATATTCGTTAACATTACGGATCATCGATCAGGGGTGCTTTTTTAACGATATCTGTATAAGCGCAAATATTGCTCTATATATCCATTTAAACCATTTTTTCTATCCATACATCTCTCTCTATTCGAATAGAAGAGCTTACATGGGGTTCGAGAATTTGACCCATGATAGGATCTTATTCTAGTTCGCAGTTCAAGGAGAGTTTCCATTTTTATATTTTTCGTTGTCTAGATTGATTGTTTCTTTCAACTCCTTTATTTCTAGGGCAATCTATCTCAAAACATTCGAAATAAATGGTGGTTCTAGGTAGTATGTGGATAGATGTTTCCACCTGCTACACAAAACCTGCAATTATTCTCCTTTTTAAAGCAAAGATGTCCTTTCAACTGGCAGTACCCTATTAGGACTCTAGTAGTATTCAGCATCTTCGAGACCTTGGAAAAATTACCTGGCTCTCTAATCTCTATTTAGCTCTTCCTTTCATATTTTAATAGGATACAATACTGCTGCTGATCTCACTACGTTTGTTTGTACACTATTCCATGTTTTTCTAGTCCAAACTGTCTCGGAACCCAGAGAGGGGCCAGTTTTTCTCGACATTCCCAAACCATTTTAGAGCTGATTACCATAGAGCTTAGCGATTGAATGGCTGCTTGACCATTGGACATAAGAAAGATATTTCGTCTTCCATTCAGCTTATCTCCAAATAGAACAGTACACATGTTCCGCTCGAAATATGCTTGGGATTTGACCAAGGTTTCCTAGGTGAGCGTCGGGAAACAACGCAACCTCGAGCTGAAATCTATCAATTTTCTCCTTGTATAATGAATAATTATTAGCAAAAAGAGACAAACAAGTCTCGATTTCTAGGGAGTTGGTTCATAACTTCGAACTAATGATATGGAAAAAGAAAGAAAATCGAAAAGAATGAGAGATGAAGAAGAATTATAATTCATATTTCATAGCTCTAGCATTCATCCTGGATACCAATATGAGGGACGGTTCGAGACTGGAGTCTCTGGAAGTAACTTACAACGTGAGGGGATTCGTCAATCTACCCCTAGTCACCACCTGGGACGGCAAGGAGATCAAGGCGGATGGCCATCTCAGGATGACCGCGTTCCACAACGGCTAGGAAGTCAAGTTGGGAATCAGTTGATATATTCAGTGGATATTTTGTGATTATACAGTGTCATTCATAAAGTCGGCATCATATGGGAAAAACTTTTATCAATGACTCATTTTGGAATTTGAGTTGAACGTTGAGTTTTGTTTCAAAGAAGATGGAAAATGGCCTACTCAATCGGGGTCACGTGACTTTCGCTACATGTCAAAAGTGACATTTTTTCAAATTAATCGCTGAAAGTAGGCTTATTTGTTCGAATATCGAAAAAGTTTACTTGAAAAAGTTGTTTCTATTTTAATTTTACATATGTGACTCGGATTTTAATTTTACATTACATTTTTTAGATTTCGACATTTTTTAAAAAATTTCGAAATTTCTGTAATATTAAAAAAATTGTAAATTTGATAAAACTACTTCATATCAGTAGTTTCATCATGCTACTAACTTTCAATTACTAATTATCACTAATTATCGACAAAAATATGATTTTCTTCAGAAAATGATAATCTCCGCTTCAAAATTTTGTTATGTTTGATGCAAACATAACATCGAAATTCTGTTATGTTCGAGTCAAGCATCTAGACACGAAATTCATTCAAATTTATTTTTCCAGTACTGAAAAGATCAATTTGAATGAATTTCGTTTCTAAAAGCTTGACGATGTATCAACTTTGCATCAAACATAACAGAATTTGGAAGCGGGTATTATCATTTTCTGAAGAAAATCATATTTCTGTCCATAATCAGTGATAATGAGTAATTGAAAGTAAGTAGCATGAAAAAGCTACTGGTATGAAGTAGTTTCGTGGGATTAACAATTCTTCAAATATTACAGAAATTCCGAAAAAAAAAAAAAATCAAAATCAAAAAGTTGCAATAGAAAGATCAAATTCGGGGAGCATGTGTAAAATTGGATTGGGAACAACTTTTTCAAGTAAACTTCTTCGATATTCGAACAAATAAGCCTACTTTCAGCGATTAATTTGAAAAAAATGTCACTTTTGACATGTAGCGAAAGTCACGTGACCCCGATTGAGTAGGCCATTTTTTATTTTTTTGGAAGCAAAACTTAACGTCCAACTCGAATTCCAAAATAAGTCATTGATGAAAGTTTTTCCCATATGATGCCGACTTTATGAATGACACTGTATGTATCGAGTGGTATCTCAGCGTGTTCGAGACTTTTAAGTTGTTTTTAGAGGTCTAACCTCTGTTTAGCTTTCTTTTTTCATAATTTCTTCAGATACAGTACTGCTGCTGATCACACGAAGTGTATTCGAGCTTTTTCCTAACAAGATTGTCCGTTACTTCATGTCCTCCTACCCCCGACATGTCCCATAACCCACGGAAGGATGATTGTATTCCTGTTGGCAAGGTCATTAAGTTCTCAGCATTCCCAAATCATTTCGGAGCTGATAATTATAGAGCCAGGTGCTTCAATGGCTGCTTGACTATCAGAGATGGTAAGATGGTAATGATATCTCGTCTTTTTATGTATATTCTATATTGAACTGTACATATTTCCCTAGAGCATAAAGTTCTGCTTGGATTATGCTTGTGAACTCACTAAGGCTTATTTTTTGAAGCCATCTGTGTATTACTGCATGGTTCCATCTTCGAGCTCAATAGTCATCAATTCACTGTTTCATTATTTTTTGCTGCTTAGCCTTGTGATGAATTGTTCCGCAAAGCTGTACTCCTATTTTTCTTCATATTGCGGTAATTCCTGAATATGGCGGTTGAGTGAGTCTCCCTTTGATCACTCTTTCTCTTTCAATGAAATGATATATGTGTGGAGTAGTTGGTACTGGTAATTATTGTAAAAAAAAACCTCTGAGTTATCGCCCGTCATTTGATGGGCTAACATGGTTATGTTACAAATAAAGAAGCATATTTTGGGCTCTTGATGAGCCCATCATTAGCCTAGGGATACTAAGATGTCCTACAATGAGTGTGAACTAGTAACATGACTAATATGTCAGTAAATTCACTTACTAGGAAATGAAAACTTGGAGTAACAAATCGGAATGGATTCCAAATCTGGAAATACATGAACAAATGACATAATTTTGATTTCATAGCTCCACCAATCTTCTTGGACAGCAGATATATTCAGTCGATATTTTGGGATTATATGTATCGGGTAGTATCCTAGCATTTTGAAGCTGATTACGATAGAGCTTAGTGCTTCAATGGCTGCTTGACTATCAGACATGCAAATGATATCTTGTCCTCCATAGCTATCTTCCAGATTGAACTGTACACATTTCCCAATAGCATGAAGTTCCGCTTGGATTATGCTCGAGAATTCACCGAGACTTCTATTCCAGTTTTACCTTCGGTTTTGGAGTCATCTGTATATCACTTCATGTTTCCTTCTTCGAGCTCAATACCCATCGATTCAATGTTTCATTCTTTTGTGCTGCTCAGCCTTGTGATGAATTCTTTCGCAAAGCTGTACTTCTCATTCTTGTCATCCTACGGTAATTCCTGGATTTGCTGGTTTAGTAAGTCTCCCTTTGATCACTCTTGCTCTCCCAATGAAATGATATATATGAGAAGAAGTCTGTACTGGTGATAATTATAAAAATAAAAGACATCTGAGGGAACTCCACGACATTTGATAGGCTAACATGGTTATGTTACAAATAGGGGGACATGTTTCAGGCTATTGATGAGCTCATTATGATCCTAGGCATACTAAAATGTCCTACAATGAGTGTGAACTAGTGACAGGACTTGTATGTCAGTATATTCACTCACATGGAAATGAAAACTTGGAGTAACAAATTTGAATGGATTTCAGATCTGGAAATAGATGAACGAATGACATAATTTTGATTTCCTAGCTCTACCAATCATCTTGGACACCAATATGAAAGATGGGTCGAGGCCAGAGTCCCTGGAGGTGACCTACATAGTGAGAGGATTCGCCAATCCGCCCCCAGTGGCTACCTGGACCTTGGACGGCAAAGAGATCAAAGCGGATGGGCATCTCAGGATGACCACATCTCAGAATGGGGAGGAATTCAAGTTGGAGATCAGCAAGCTTGAGATGAAGGACGGAGGGGTGTACCAATGCGTTCTGAGCAATCCGTTGGGGGATGTCAAGCAGCGGGCTGTTCTGGAAGTGACACGTAAGTAGGGGAGAGTGGGGCACGACGAAGCATCGGGGCACAGAGGTCTTTTCGATTTTTTTTTTATTTTTCCACATGTACCGCTCCCTATATGGCATTCCTATACAGTGTGTCTTACTTCTGATTCGAACACCCCTGTATCTAACGTAATCATTGTGTGAGGATCCTGGAATTTTCTGTGAGGTCAGGTACACTGACGGTTCTAAGACTGATGAGGGTACGAGAGCCGGAATATATGAAGGTAGACTCAGAACCAGGATTTGTGCTTCCTTGGGGAGGTATGCTTTAGTATTCCAGGCAGAAGTGCATGCTGTTTAGGCATGCCTAAGAGAGAATATTGTAAGAGGATACAGAGGTAAACAAATATGCTCAGATAGTCAGGCGGCCATTCAATCTTCAACTTGCAATACAATCAGATCAAAACTGGTCTGGGATTGCCTTTAGAGCCTGCTTATACCCTGGCTTACCACAACAAGGTAACTCTTCAATGGGTGCCAGGACATAAGGGAATTGGAGGCAATGAAGCAGCTGACGCTCTTGCTAGGCAAGGGTCTGCGGCGTTGTTTATGGGACCGGAACCTGTGTTCGGTATCCCCAAAACGCGGCTGGCTGGCAAGGTGGATGCAAGAAGGATATCAGGCATACTGGAACAATGTCCCAGGACGAAGACACAGTAAACTGATGGTTGGAATACTGGAATCCGGACATGAAGGTGGTTCCATGGATGTTAGCGAGCAGTGTATATCCCTGATAGTAATTTCAATTCGTCATAGACTGTTTTTTCGGCATATTTCTTGCTCCTGGAAATTCAACAATCCTTATTCGATAGTTACGTAAGAAATGGGAGTGTTTCCATGAAAAGTAAGACGAAAATGGAATTTTCATACCTTTTTTCCAGGAAAAGTATGAGGAGATAATGGCCTGAGCGTCCTGATTCCGAATTCGGAGTGATTTGCAACCTATTTTGCTTCCTTATATCGTTTTCCGGAAATTGGAGTAGTTCCATGGTTGTTGGCGAACAGTGTATATTATTGAAAAAGACCATACTCGGTCCTAAAGTACATTATTATCTGGTATATCTCTCACTTCAGCAAATTTCACGATCTCTATCCAACGATTACCTAAGATACGGGGGTATTTTTTTATATTCTTTTTTTTAACGTCGGCCTTTTTCTGCTACTGAGGCTAATCACCTCCAACCGGAAATTTTGCCGAATCCTCTGGTGTTCCAACCAGAGGTAGGGATCTTTAACGAGTCCAACATCCATGACCTCGGGACTGCCGGCTTAAGACGGGCCTCCACATTTTAACGCTGACCTTCTCGCAAGATGTCACTACGGTGAAGAAATCATGAATTAATTACGCCATCTTGAAAATTCAATGCAGAGCTCTTCAATATTTCGAAGTCTAATATCAGTACAGAAATCTGCATCGATCTAGTACAATTCAAATCGACTGCCGATTGAACCACCTAGGGCGCTCAGGGCACAAAACATTATGACGGATGACGGCTGACAGAACATTTACTTACAATTCCAGCCGATAGATGGATAAATGATGAATCATATTATTTTCAACATAGTTCAGTCGTTGATTGATATAAGCGTAAGCGTAATATATCAATCAACGACCATACTGAACTGATTACTGAACTAAAACAAGAACTGACTTAAAGAAAGGATAACTCAAAATAACTATTCGTGAATTGAAAAATGAGTGATAAATGTTTGCTATTGCTCAATATTCGACAACCTTGAACGTGCAAATAAGGCATTCTGGAACAAATAACAAACTTTTCACATTTTGAGCTCCATCTAATGGTACATCATCCAGTTCGCGCAAAACGTTCTAGATTAGATGCTTTCAGAGCCGACTGCTGCGACGGTACCTCCATCTAGCAGAGAGTATCTGAACTACGATATTTAAGTTTTCTACCATCTAATTTAGAGAAGATATTATCCATGCAAGATATATAGGCCTATTGTTTACATAAGTTGTATATAAAAAAGACTTTCATCTGAATGGTTACATTTCAAGAGCTGAATTTCTAGTGTGGGTTGCCCAAAAAAATAACGCTGGGTATGAGTGAATATAACGTTATTCTGAGACACAAAATTTTACAATGTTTACATCTTTTTGATCTTCTGCAGCTTTCTTAATCGAACGAAATTTGCCTTCAAAACTATCCAAACCCGAGTCGGAACTTTCGTCTTTATGATGATTCAATCTATTGGCAATCGGACTTCTGGTAACGCCGAAAGTCATTTCATAGTAGAGGTCTGCATTCCAGCCAATGTGAAATGACCTTGGTAACGCCCCTCTTAACGTCTCCTCCGAAGGACGGCATTATCCGTACCATATCTTGTGCTCATTGATATGGTAGCTGTAGCTATGATATGCTATTCCGCTACAGATGTACGGGCTTACGCGTTTCCTCGAATGGTCACCCATCCAAGTACTAACCGCGCTCGACACTGCTTATATTCAGATATCGAACGGCTGGAGCCTTACCTGAGAAGCTAGGGCGACGCCCAGATACGAGGGTGTTTCCATGAAAAATTAAATTCTCAGAACTGAAAATTTTTCAGGAAAACTTCGAACAGGTAGTCAATCGGCATCCTGATTCCGAATCCGAAAGTTCAACCTATTTTGACTCATAATATCATTTTCCGGAAATCGGGATGGTTCAATTGCTATGGGCGAGCAGTGTATATCACTGAAGATGACCATACTTGGTCATAGAGTAAATGTTCAGTATATCTCTCGCTTCAGCAGATTTTAGGATTCCTACCCAACGGATACCTGAGATACCATCTCAATTAATATACATAATATTGTATTACTTTATCTGAACGAAACAGGTCGGCAAGTATGTTCATCAGAATAAGTCGTTTATATGTATAGGAATGCGAACATGTTGGTTGGTCTCCATCTGTATAACTCACAGATTTTCCCAATTTCAATTCATTCAGATGTGATAACAAAATATTGACTACATGACTATGCATTATTTTCCAGCGGAAAAAGATTTGAGGAGACCGAAATTGAAAGAAGGACTGAAGAATCAAACGATTGTGAAGAAGAATTCTGTAACATTCAAAGCTGTGATAGTGGGAGATCCTGTTCCAGATGTTGCCTGGTAATGATATGATTGAGTTACATATTGATGTTATTGAACTTAAATTCTTTTCAATAGGTATTGCAATGGCAGAGAAATGACGAATGAAGAATTCGAAAACAACAAGATGATTCTAGAAACTGAAGACCATGAAATCGAGGATGGATTGAATGAATGCACGTATTCATTAACCATCCCAAGATGTGAGTTAATTGTTTATATATAAACGGTGTAGTTTTTTAGAAAGTATAGAAAAATCACTCAACCCACGTGTTGCATTCAATCTTTTTCAATCAATTTTGTTCACGGATTCCTCGCCTCATTATGAGGTGAAAAGTTCCATTCAACGTATGTCCTGAAATGCATCCTCACTGAGATACAGGCTGTCGAAATTATGAAAAGAGTTAAGATTTATCTAAATTTCTGCCTGTAGCAAAAAAATTTGAACTTGGTATAGATAGATAGATAGATATACTTTATTGTCCAAGAATGAATTCTCATTGACAAAGTAAAATGAACAATACGAATATTGTACAATGTGTCAGGAGCAAATAACAATTTTTAAAAAATACATACATATATAGATATAAATAATTAGAACTAATAAATTAAAATCAAGGGTAAGGGCTAACCTTGCATACTATCTATGCAATTGCATCAAAATAAAAATATATACAATATTAGACTGCATGAATATACAGTGTCATACAAAAATTAAGAAAACCAGCAAGAAAACAGAAATCCAGATTAATCAGAGTCATTATAGGAAGTTCTCATTTTTTAATTTCATCAACCAGTGGCGTAGTAAAGGTCGTATCTCGCCACATGTCCCTTCATTTCAATGTATCTCAAACAGATGAATTATCAAAGTAGTGAATGACCTTATTCAGGATCATCACAACTCAACCTGAAAGTAATGATATTCTGAATGCCTAGATGTAAAGGTTCCGGGGATATTTGCGAAAAAAATTTCTGGCGGTATTATTGAGTAGGTAGAGGCCTAATTTGCTGCGTACCATAATCGCATAGTGCTGATATTATACGAGATATCGATATTACTTTGCAACCTCCAGAATATTTTCGAATGTCGTGAAAATTTAAAACATTGTGTGGGTGAGTCAGAAGTAAATCGACATACTCGAGGTTGATAGTGGTAAGCCATCTCAAATTCGTCAGAACCATTGAACTATTGAATCAACAGTTTTCAACTAAGGAAAACCATGGCAACGTTTTTAATATGTGAAACAGTGACAAATTTTGATTATTTCAATAAATCAATTGGCGCAAAGAATATTTATGAGCTGAGGGAAATACAAAAATTAAATTCGAAAGAAATGTTCGAATAGACCTCCATTTCGTTCAAAACATAATTGACATATTCTCATACTGGACCGTCGCACGTTCTGAAAGATGACTGGAGTGAATTTTTTTTATCGCTTGGAGCGCACGAAAGGGGATCCCTATAAAATGACTCTGTCTCTTTCTATTCCAATGTTCATAATAGCCTCAATTTTGCAACTGAGTATAACCGATGAAAAAAAATAATGGAGTGGAGTATGGTATTCTCGATGTTTTCCATACCTGCGTGTTCGAATAATATGTTATGATCAAATTCATATATTCGACAACTAGTTTCTCAAATAGGTTGCACTTCAAGACATACTTCAATATGAACTGTTCACCTTGAAATAAAGTGTGGAATGAAAAGTTATTGAAGTTTCTCGAACTAGTTCTGACTCACCCGTACAATGCTTTTGATCTTATCAACATTCCAAAATGCTCAGAAGATTGAAAAATGTGGTGATTTTTCGTAAAAGTCCAGCATTATGCGATTATGGCACGCAGCGTATTGGGTCCCAACCTCAAGACATATCTTCAGTTGTTTGCAAATATTTTGGGAATTTTAGGTTAGGTTCACTATTCTCATCTTCCGGTCGGAAGTAGCTTTTGGTACCTCATTGAACATGAGACAAAGTTTGACTGGAAAACGCGTGCGATAGCGGGGAAAATGGCCCCAAAAGACCAGGAAAATAGGTTTTCAGCCAATATCTCCTGAAATATGGCAGTTAGAGATTTTTGGTGCAGATAAAAATTGAAGTTAAGTTAATTTTCTACAAAAATGGTCCTCATCATTTTTCTCGAAAATTTGCCCGGTTTCGAGAAAAACGGCACGAAGCGCACCTCGAATAATGAGCTTCTGTTGTATGCCGGAGAGCACAGTCCGTGTATTTACACTTCGGCAAGGGGACAAATTATTCAATAACTTTGTTGAAAATGCATATTTCCTCATGATCCGAAGTTCATGTGAAAGAGGAATTCTGCTGCTATCATACCCTGCGTGGCCGCATGGTTTGTAGCAGACGACCCGAGCGCCACGTAGAGCACACCGGTGCACGACGGAGGAACGAAAGTAATAAATTATAGCGTGTACATTTAGATAAACTGGTTTTTTCCCGGGATATCAAAGGTATGACTTATATACATCGATGGAAAGGTGGGAATTCCCCCGTTACACTAGTTAAGGTGTTAAAATGTTAGAAATAAATAGCACAGAGAAAAAAACCACCGAAAAAAAAGTGCGTTTTTTCCTTGACCCCGCTTTTTCTAATTCTATTGAAAAATGGACGACTTCGTCTAACAAAGTAATTGCACAATCGAAAAGTAGACCTTCTCAGCTTTCAAATGATGTATCCTAAAACCAATCGAATCATGTATAAATTTTTAATGATGGTTGTTCACAAAATTTCCCCGCGCTCCAAAAACAGCAAAAAATTTGGATTCAATAAACAAAGATCAAATGAAAATCAAAAAAAATTAGAGTATATAAATTTCAGGAATGACGAAGGACCTTATGAGGACCCATAATCAAGAGAATTTTGAGTAAATCAGTGCAATACCAAAAAAATAGGAACAAATTCCTGGCGAGGTCAAAATTAACCGGGAGCAGAAAGTTTGACCCATGTTCCGATATGACCAAAAGAGTCAAGCGTGACTCAATTCACAGGGTATGATAGCAGCAGAATTCCTCTTTCACATGAACTTCGAATCATGAGAAAATATGCATTTTCAACAAAGTTATTGTATAATTTGTCCCCCCGCCGATGTGTGAGTACACGGACTGTGCTCTCCGGCATACAACAGAAGCTCATTATTCGAGGTGCGCTTTGTGCCGTTTTTCTCGAAACCGGGCGAATTTTCGAGGAAAATTATAGGGACCATTTTTGTTGGAAATTAACTGAACTCCAATTTTTATCGAAACCGAAAATCTACAACTGCCATATTTTAGGAGATATTGGCTGAAAACCTATCTTTCTGGTCTTTTGGGGCCATTTTCTCCGCCATCGCACGCGTTTTCCAGTCAAACTTTGTCTCAAGTTTAATGAGGTAAAGTATATCCATTATCAATTGCAGAATACCTCGCACTGTGCGGCGTCGGCGTGTTTGAAGTTTCCTTTGAAGTGACTGCAGGTGCGGCACAAGATTCTGCAATTGTTTTTGGATAAACTATACCAAAAGCTACTTCCAACCGGAAGATGAAAATAGTGCGTAATTAATGTTAACTTTTTCCCTTTATTCATTGGACTAAACATGAAAAAGGGCTATTTGATGACAACTTCAATTATTCAACAGGTGATTCCTCCAACTCTGGCATCTACACCGTAAAGGCGCGCAACAGGTGGGGCGAGTGCGAGTCCAGCGCCCACCTCACCATCGTCATGCGTCCGGAGATCGACGGCCCTGATGACGTCACCGTCGTGCCTGGCGAGGCGGCCTCGTTCAAGGTCACGGTGCTGGCCAATCCGGAGCCGCGGGTTGTGTGGACCAAGGACGATCGGGTCGTGGAGGGGGAGGGAGTCGAAATCGTCGAGGACAAGGCCAATAGGACGTACAAGTTGGTGTTCCACGAGGTCAAGTTGTCTGACGAGGGGTACTACAAGGTGACGGCGACAAACGATCAGGGGGAGTGCAGCGCTGAGGCTAGAATGAAGACCATAAGTGAGTATATCGAGCAAGAATAGGATATGAGAACTTATTCGCGAATGTTGAAGATATACATTGTGTTTCAACACCTGGCCCCCCTGCTAGGTTAGGTAGAACAGTGCAAAATGAGTGGGGTTTGCTCGACAAAGAAATGTCGTAACGGCATCCGTTTTCAAGATAGGTACAAGGTGCTGAACAAATGTTTCTTCACACATTTTTCACGATTCTGTCGAATCTTCTGGCAACATTGTGATGAAATTTTGTAAGGATGTATCTTGGAAGCTGTTTGTTGTTTTTATATCTTACTCTCATAGAGGGCGGTAGTTACACGGTTCATATCGAGTAATTTCAGACATATCTCTTTTGAGGTTGGATTTCTCTATCCAAATTCGATGTGATCTGAAACACCATTCAATTTTACACCAAAACGGTACTCTGTGTAGAACTTGATACTGTGTTTCGTTTTCGGAATATTCTGATCAGAAAATGATAAAGTGATAACTGTTTGCTGGTATGAAGCTATAAATTAATGTGAATAATATGAAAAACTATCGCCTTTTTATTGAAAACTGAGAACAACAACTTATTTCAAATACTCGACTCATTGATAAGACAATGAATCACATGAATAACATTGAAACAAACTCGACTGGGAACATGGATTACATAGTTTCGTTATATCTCGAGCAAAAGAAAAACACAGAGATAAATTTACGTCGAGAGTTCCAAGACAGGATTGGACATCACTCAATTGACCTAGGAGCTGATTCTCAACCGTTAGATATTTTTCATGATATTCCATGTTGGAACTGTGATTAATGGAAAATGAAAAGGGAAAACACAGTTCATTATAATTTGTCTGAATCCATCCAAGGCTGGATTCTTACAAAAATGTATTCTCAAGAAAGAAATATAGAGTCTTGTATTCGTGGAAACGGAGGAATCTCGAACACTTACTCTAACCATTGTCGATCTAAATGGAAACCTAGTTAGGTAGTTAGTAGGCGAGAGCATAATATTGTCTGTTCTTTGAAAAAATAAATGAAGGCGTTCAGTAGTACAGAGACATCAATGTGAACCAAGTAAACTAAGCTATTCATTTGTCAGACCTAACCGTAACATTTTTCATGGTCCTGTCAAGTTTGTAAATAAAAATCTGTCATGTGGAATCCCGAAAATGAAACATTATCACGAAGGATATTATCAAGTATGAAAACCATCTACCTATACTTGAATGGAAGCAGGAAGATGTTTAGGCAATGCTGTATTAGTATGATTCATGATGCAACTTGAATTTAAGTTGGAACTGTGGAAACTTCGGAAACTCAATAGTGCTATTACACTTTTTCGACATGCAAGCCAAGCAGAAAGGTAGGGGCTGCTTTTTTCCTTCTATATTTTTGATAAGTTACTCTATAATTCGTGAAATTCCATTATTTGCAGTGAAAACATGTCTTTAGTGATGTAAACCATGTACACATCGGAATCACTATATACTTGAAAATTTCAGGTACCTACCTACAGCGAAGAGTACTTACATTAATAGCTTTTCAGTTGAAAAACGGAAAACTATGAGTGATGTGGAAGTATCACTTTAGAAATCATTATGTGAGTAATGTTCAGAAGGAATGTACCAGAAGGATGATGATGTTCCAGAACAGAATGGAAAATTTACCATCTGAAATAAATATATAGAAGCACTAAGGTTAGACTCAATCTGGTTATTTCATCAATGTCTCATGGATATTCTGCTCCAAACACAAAATATCATTATATTTTCTATAGATAGGTACCTCCTTGAATGTCGAGCTGCAAGAATATCCAGTCCACAAGATTTTATGAAAAAACACACAAGAAAATGGGGCAGTGAATAAAATCAGAAACTTTTCATCCTGTAGTTCGATGAGCTGAATCCAGATAAGCAGTAAGAACAACGATTTGTTTGCTGGAAATAGCCAGGCATTTCATTCTAGGCTACAAATTATACACACCCCAATGTATATTCAATTTATCCATTTTTCAAGCAATCAATTAGATGATGAGGAACATGTGATATTCCACTCCAGCACACTCAGGACCATTTTCGTAGTGAGCCACTCAGAATTTCACTAGAGTAAAGTGATTTCAAGATTGTATAGGAATCATCCTCAGATATATGGTATTCTATTGTTCAGGGTTCTTTGTCAAGATGCTGGGATATTTAGAATTTTTTATTGGAATATAACTTGTATGTATTGTATGAATGGCAATACAATTTGATTTTTTTAATAAATTGTACATAATTATGAAGAATTATTTCAATTTTTATTCTACTATATAGTTTGTTCTCTTTTGATACCCTGTTTATTGTTGTACAGATGTATTGGCAGATAAGTTTGAAAACACTATATATATTGTACAAATATTGTATATAGGTGAAGTATTTTTGAAGTAAAACAATGATTATTTTTTATTAAATCATCTTATTGAAGCTACGAACTTCACTAAATATGAGAAGATGTGTCTATTATTGGCACAAATTAAACCACAGGAATATTCAATACCAATATGTATCTTTTTAATTTATATTTAAGTCAACATTTTGAATGAACTTTATTATTATTTATTATCATTCTATAATATCTGTTCAAATGCCCGTTTCCTCCTCAGATGCTTCTTCATCGTCAGGTCCTGTTCCTTAAGGCAGGAATTCCTCTTCAGCATCATATTCCAAACAACATTGCCGAGTCTGAAAATATAAAAATATTGTCCCTAGTTTCAATGTCCTGTACCATTCTGAAATGAATTTAATGACTTTTGACTATGGGACAACTTTTAGAGGAACCAAAGTCAAGTTCTTGGTGAATTTCATACCGAAACTAATAATTAGTTAGTTAGTATAGGTACAAATTTGTTAAATACCATTTTATTTATATATTTCTACCTTGAACAAACTTGGGACCGTACTCTCTTTCCAAAACCGTTTCCTATTCTTCATTGGCAAGAAACAGTTCCCTTAAAATGTTGGAAACATATAGTATCATGTTCGCTTACTTCAAAAACTCACATTCCTGAAATATAAATATCATTAAGTTCCAAATATTATGTGATTCAAGAAAAAAAGTTCACCTTGATATCCAATGAATATGGCGTGGACCCATTGACGCCTCAGGATTTGAGGCTCAAATTCACAACAGTGGGGATTGGGGAAACCATGTCTTGATAATTCAATTACACCTTCACCTCCTGGAGTGCGCAGTTTTCAGATGACATTGCAAAATAACACAATCGCACTCACAAACCAATCAACAAACTCTGATAGAAAACCAATACTAGAAGAAATGATTAGGTATAGGTATAATTGTAATTTCCAAGAAAGGAAATCAAAGTTCAACACATCCACAAAGACGGAGTTATAAAGTTAATGACAACTGTCAGAAAATAATTTTATGATTACATGAATCTTCTCCATCGTCTTCCTATCAAATATCACGTCAATGATGGAAAGCACGTCTGTGGTTGAGTACATATTGGAGAAAAATAGAAGGAGAGAATATCAACCTAATATGGTCTATTTTGACAGAAACAAATGAGCTTTTTCCATTTTCAGGATGCCAGCGCCACTTGACAGGCAGACAGATTTTGATTCAAAGAACAGACAATATTGTACCTCCTCGCGTACTAGGTCGCCTACTAGGTTTTCATTTAGATCGACAATGCTCTAACTGATTCAATATTTTGTGTTTTTAGAATTTTTTTTCTCAATTTTTCACTTGTGATTCATTCTTCAATCAAAAACTTCAGCACAAGATAGTTATATATAGAATAATGTTATTGCTTCTGGATCTGAATGAATTGGTAATTGATTATTGATCTCAATTAAATTTGTGTTATGCCAGCATCATCTGTATCACTCCTGCAATTTTTTCAAATCTATATATTGCAGAAACCGGTACAAAGTATCAAGTTTCATCGAAGGTAGTGTTTGTTGTTGAATTCAGCGATGTTCAAGTTCACATCAAATTCGGATTGAAAAATATAACCATGAAGAAGATATGTTCAAAACTACTGGGAACGAACCATGTAACTTGCGCCCTCTATGAAAGTCAGATATAAACACGAATTGATGCGATGTGTCAGCTTTCGAAACACAACCATAGGTAATTTCATTACAACGTTGCCAGTAGTTTCGACTATATCATTAATAATATGTAGAATAAAAATGCTTCAACCCTTTTAATATTGAAAACGGATGCCGTAATTCTTTACTGAGCAAACACAACTTCTTTCGCAGTCAGGTTTTTTAAATCACCCTGTATTTTTGGAAGAATTGAAGCAAATCACAAGATAATTTTTTTAACATTTTTCAAAAAATGTGAGCTACCACGATAACTACATCTTTCAACTATCATTGAACGTCCAGCAATATTGCAAAAGCCATTGATACTTCTGGTGCTTGTGGCTGAAAGCAAACGTTTGGGTTGGGCTATAACCTCTGATTTTACAAAACATTCCAGACATACTCTGATACCCATATCTCCCAAAATATTTTTTTCACAAAAATGTATTGACTCATCTCGTTTTGTTCTTTCGTCTCCTATCATCCAATACTTTGATGGCCCCTATTCCGGAAACACCCTGTATATTTCGTTGCACATACGATCGAGTGATTCTTGCGTATACTTATAGTAGAAGATCCGAACCTAAATCGACCTTCACCGAGCTGATAATAGAACGAAATATATTTTATCATGAATTTAGTATATTAGAAAACATATTGTAAATGGGTTGGCTAAAAAAATCCTGGGCAGACTATTTTTAATTATTTTTCGAAAAATTATTTTTAATTAAATGTTGCAACATCAGGATAATAAAAAAATTGTGTCCTGACTGAAAGTATAAAACGTATAGAATGTGCAGCCGTTGGGTTGTCTACTATTTACCTGGGCGAACTACTGGGTTGTCAGGTAAACACAGGTATATCGATGCCAGTTACTTTCACTGGATTGGATAATTTAAAAAAATTTATATCATCATAAGCGCTGTTTAATTGCGAACACGTTGATATAGGGTTGTCTGCGAAAATTCCGGTCCTATTAGGGGTTTGCGAATTTTAAAGATTTTAATTTCAACGCGCGTGGAAGTGTGTGACAGAGAGATCCGAGGTAAGTATACTGTGTAATAATAAAGGACCCAACATCGCAGTCGCTTGTGATGGGACCCTGAATAGTAGAAAGTGCGCATGCTCGGTGTGTAAACTATGGAGGGTAGTGGTACCTCTACTACCCTTCATATAGTAAACAGTGCGTGTTATTTTGGAGCAACTGATATTTCAGTAGCAGAAAAAAATAATTAATTAATTACATAATAATTAAATATATTTAATATAATACTAATATATAAAAACAATATAATATCAATATATTGCGTTATAACCATAATGATATATCTATAATCTATAATAGACAATAAAAATATCAAATACTTTCTTTGAAATTTTTTTGCTCTTTCTGGAAATAGAAACGAAGTGGACCGCCAAAAATTTAAATTAGGAAATAACAAAAAAGATAGACTAGACATCTTGTATTACGATTTAAAATTTTATTAAAAAACAGTATAAATACAAAAATAATATTAATGAAAAATAAATTCTAATAAATATTTTCTATTCAATATCTGATTCATCAGAAGTATCATTTTGACTCTCGAATTCGTCTGATTCATTAGATTCTTCCTCATTTGCTTCCATTTCGACAATGTCCTGGATTTTCAAAGGAGTTTGATCTCCGATAAAACCTGTTGGTTTTAAGAAATCATCAAATTGCCAACCATAGTTTTCAGGATTTGACTTCGCACACTTTCTACTATTCAGGGTCCCATCACAAGCGACTGCGATGTTGGGTCCTTTATTATTACACAGTATACTTACCTCGGATCTCTCTGTCACACACTTCCACGCGCGTTGAAATTGAAATCTTTAAAATTTGCAAACCCCTAATAATAGGACCGGAATTTTCACAGACAACCCTATATCAACGTTTTCGCAATTAAACAGCGCTTATGATGATATAAATTTTTTTAAATTATCCAATCCAGTGAAAGTAACTGGCATCGATATACCTGTGTTTACCTGACAACCCAGTAGTTCGCCCAGGTAAATAGTAGACAACCCAACGGCTGCACATTCTATACGTTTTATACTTTCAGTCAGGACACAATTTTTTTATTATCCTGATGTTGCAACATTTAATTAAAAATAATTTTTCGAAAAATAATTAAAAATAGTCTGCCCAAGATTTTTTTGGCCAACCCATTTTCAATATGTTTTCTAATATACTAAATTCATGATAAAATATATTTCGTTCTATTATCAGCTCGGTGAAGGTCGATTTAGGTTCGGATCTTAGACTATTACATTCTTTGGAATTTCATTGAAATCAGTTCAGTGACATCTCACTTGTTCGGGAAACCCTGTATATTCGGAAAAACGTTCTTGGTATGTGAGTATACCCTATGATACAGATATAGTCAGCAAGATAACAACATAGTAACTCAACCAATAAACTAGCTATAGGAGACGGAAGTTGAGATGCAGGACCCTGTACATAATACATTTTCATAATGTGATTCATTCAATTTTGAGATCGTCTTTACTATAATTATGTGAACCTCTCCGGACAATTAAAAAAATTGCAACTTCGAGATAGAACAAGTCATATTATTGTTCAGTTCTTATATGGTATGATGATCAGGAATTCGAGAAGTCCTGATATGAGATTTGATTCGTGCATTTTATCTTGGAGAAAAAATGATGCAAAATTCAAAATTACTGATTATACCTATACTTTTACTGGTTTTCCAGAGAAACTGTGATGGTTTCTTCATACAGTTGATTTGTTGGAAGTTGGAGTCTCATGATATGGTAGACTATACATCAGGACTCTGCCTTCTTATACAAAATACAAAATACGCAGTTAATTTTTTTTCTGTTTCACATTCGATCTGAAAATCTCGAAAACTGAAAACCATGAAGAGTAAAATAATCTAATATCGCTTCAAATTTTGGTAGATAACGAAGCTTCTGCAGACACATGTTCATGAAAAAATGATTTTATTTTTATTCGAAAAATGATTCTGTCAAATCCTGATACTGAATTTTGTTACACCTTATAAATTTCCCTATATTCACGCACATGCTGTTCATAATTACCCCAAAACTAGTACACCGAATCAACTAATCACACAAAACCTTCTATTTCCAGAGGAAGCAGAACCCACTAGTAAGTTCAAAGACATTGCAAGCTTCAAATGCTTTTTCTATGAACGGGAAAAATTCCTGTACAAATAACACCGAAGCAAACATGCACCAGCACATTTTCTCACACTTGTTAACCCCTTAGTCAGAATCATATTTCCTGGACGGCTGATTCACTATGGATTTCACGCTTTAAACAATGGATTTTTCGAAAACTAATTGGGATATTGAAAACTTCACAGCAAAATCTTGAGTCACACGTTATTCTCATTCGAATGGAGCCTTGATGACACTACATTGATTTATTCTGCAGACTCAATCCAACAAATCAGGAATGCAATTGAAAGTGACTCAATTGATTTATCTTCATGTTTGTCCTATAATGAATTAAGTATGAATTACAGCAAATCAGCATTCATGTATATCTCTAAACGACGCCTCTCAAGTGAACTTTATATCAAATTTAATAATAAAATCATCAGATATTCCACAGTCATCAAATTCCTTGGTATATTCCTTGATGAACATTTGTCATGGTCCAAACATATTGAATCGATCAGAAAGGAAATATCTCCAGTTATCGGAGTACTCTACAGGATAAGACACCAAATCACTTTGAAATACTTGAAATGTGTATATTTTGCCTTGGCTCATCCAAAATTACAATACTTGATTTCAGTTTGGGGTACAGCTAGGTTATCAATCATAAATGTAAAAACTTCACAAACGATAAGATTTCCACAAAATTTATTGAACACACGACATGTTTCGCTAACACAGTAGCTTCGTCAGGTGATATACTGGTACAATGAACTAAACTAACGTTGGCTTGCTTAACTTTTATATATCTTACCTACCCAACCTGAAAGATTAGTTACCTGTGGACCGGTACGATGAACCTCCATTTTCGGAAATTAGGCACAATATCTACATAAAATTACGGTATACCGGAAACTTGAAAGAGTTGATATCAAATACATATTATTACTTACTAAGAAAACAAATTCAACAGTGGTGAACTATTAAAGTCTAATTGATCACTGAGTAGAATGTCAAAATTTTTGAGTTTGTTGATTTCTAATGATTCAAAATGATTGAGTTTCAGTCCTTTATTTTCTACGTGCAGAATTTCGAAATTATCATCAAAACTATGGTTTTCTTCTAATATATGGTTGGCGTATGTTGAATTTGTTTTCTTTTTCATAAAATTCATCTTATGTTTGTTGTTACATAAACAGGACTTAAAAGTGGCATATAGAACAAATAACACGTTGGGACGGTTTATCAAGAATAATAAAGACAAAACTTCTAAATTCGAAAAATCAGGGGTATACAAACTCAAATGTGGATCTTGTCCTAAGGTATATATCGGTCAGACAGGTCGTACGTTTAATCAGCGCATTCATGAACATAAGATGAATTTTATGAAAAAGAAAACAAATTCAACATACGCCAACCATATATTAGAAGAAAACCATAGTTTTGATGATAATTTCGAAATTCTGCACGTAGAAAATAAAGGACTGAAACTCAATCATTTTGAATCATTAGAAATCAACAAACTCAAAAATTTTGACATTCTACTCAATGATCAATTAGACCTTAATAGTTCACCACTGTTGAATTTGTTTTCTTAGTAAGTAATAATATGTATTTGATATCAAATCTTTCAAGTTAACCCGGTATACCGTAATTTAATGTAGATATTGTGCCTAATTTCCGAAAATGGAGGTTTATCGTACCGGTCCACAGGTAACTAATCCTTCAGGTTGGGTAGGTAAGATATATAAAAGTTAAGCAAGCCAACGTTAGTTTAGTTCATTGTACCAGTATATCACCTGACGAAGCTACTGTGTTAGCGAAACATGTGGTGTGTTTAATAAATTTTGTGGAAATCTTATCGTTTGTGAAGTTTTCACATTTATCATGGATTTCCATCAAGTAACGGCCGAGTCAATTCAGAAAGAAAAAAAAATCAATCATAAAGCCAATATCGAAATCTTTCAAAACAAAGTCATCGAATGATACAAACTAGATCACTTCGAACCAACAAGAAATTTATATAAACCTAAGCAATTGTTGGAAATCAACTCCATTTACAAATCCAAAATATCCAATTTCATCTATTCCGTCAAATAAAATTATAAACACTCAAATCTGAATTTTGGATTCAAAAGTCATAAACACGAACACATAACCAGACAAAAAGATATGTTGACTCATCAAAATTGAATCAGGTATGGGTGAAAGATCTATTTTATACAATGACACAATTCTCTTCAATGAATTATTACCTGCCAGTCTGAAGAAGAAACTAAGTGTTGAGAAATTTGAAAAGAAAACTGAAAAAATATCAATGTCTTTGATTCTCTTATATGTTCCTGAATCAATTCAAGAACTTATATTCAACAGTCTCTAAAAGGAACAACATTATATAGAGGCTACTATGTATATGATTCAAAAATGATTATCTGAGTATCTAATTAAGTATATTTATTTTTTAGTCGCTCTTTCATAATTTTTCCTGCTATAAACATATATGTTTCTTGGGAATAATGGAGACTATCATTATTATATTCCCATTTCATATATGGAAGGTGTGAAAATTTTGCGCAATATATTCCATTGCATATTTTGAAAGAGTGAATCCTCCTGATTATAAAAATATATATTTTTCATACATTCCATGTGGTAATACTGGGTGATTCGAAATGATAATACTTTAAATTGATTGAAATTCTGGTCTTCAAATCATCTATAGTCTGTTCGTTTGGAAGGCGAAGTAATGGAATGTGCCAAACCAACCATGGGCGTACCATTGATTTCTGCTTTTGGGCTTGACCAACGATAAATCGGAAAACATTTGTAATTCAGAGCGATGAATTCAGCTCGCTCATATCATATCATTTTCAGTTGCATATTCGAAGTGTCTTTGGAATAAGATTGCTGTCAACTATGAAAGCAATTCATGGTTGTTTCGGTGTTGTTGAAACACCAGAGATGTCCTGCCTTGATTGTTAGAAAACAATCGTCCTAACTGTATAATCGTATGCGAAAAGATAACGTAACGTGAAGGTATTAGTGAATAATTTTAACATTATACAGAGAAGTGCACAATAAACGGCCAGTGCTGTATCTTCCTAATCATTCTAGATCAGATTTCGAAAATGTGGATAGCAAGTATACCAAATTGCTCATTCATTAACAAAACTATTTTTATTCTATCACTTCAAATGGGACACCCTGTATTGTATCCCATAATCGGCAAGGGATTATTATGACGAAATCAACGATACCAGGTTCGATAGGGTTATTTCAGATGATCACGAAGATATTTGCGTTCGAAATTTCCATATGTCAATTGGTGTGACTTAGCACCATCAAAACTCATTTCTATGTCACACTCATTGAGCCTTCGTAATCGTTTGAAATAACCCCATCGAACGCGGTATCCTCGAATCCGTTATGATAAGCCCTAACAATTCATGGAATAAAATGCAGGGTGTCCCATCTAGAAATCAAAAGTTGCGGTCGTTTCTAGTGGAACAGAAAATAATGGACCATGCAGATATTGTTTTGTCAGTGGATGAGCAATTTGGTATACTTGCTGCCCACCAATTCTAGAAATCCGATCTAGAATCAATCAAAAGATACAGCAGTGGCCGTTTTTTGTGCACTTCTCTGTATATTCCAATATGACAGGCGTGAGTAACACAACGGTATAGAAAATATTGAGAGGAAATAAAACTAATAGAAATATTTAGGCTCCGTAAAAGCATAATTATTGAAATGAGGGAAATAAAGCCTGATTAATTTGATACAAATGATTTTCGTCGTTTTGAAAAACAAGTACCTATATGTGATTATTGTGAATATAATGAAAGTTAATGAAAGTCCTTATGAAATACTATCAATACAGGGAACTATCGATATAAAATAAATAGGTATGTGACGAAAAGTCGACTAGAGTGTACAACATCATTATATGATTATACCTTCCAATGCAGTCAAAATAATGGAAAAACAAAATCAGACTTCATAGGAAAAGAAAACAGTTCTTTTGGGGCCTTATTTAATTTACTAACTATTTGGTACGTAATGGCCCTTTCTCAATAAGATGATAATTATGGTGTGTGGGTGACCGACTATTTTCATTTTTTTTGCTTATTTCAGTATCTTTGGTAGAAGTCTCTGGTTTATCAAAGTGGAGTGAAATCTAAACTATACTAAATAATTACCTCCTATGTGAGTAGCAGATCAATCAACAGGGCTACATGTTTCGGAAATATATATGACTATCATCAGCCATACATCTAATGATTATAGTCCTATAATTGCTTGGAAGTAAAGTAAATGAGTACATGAAACACATGGATTAATGATAATATACCCACATGAGAATGATAACAAGTTGCTATAGATATTTCCTAATGAAATTGAAAATGGTGATAGTTTTCATTTTATCCCCAAGCCTCAACGATATCAAGGCGGAAACCAGCTTTGAGAACTGTCAGGCACACATCAGCGATAACTCGAAATATTATAAAAACGTGTCCATCTTTCTCAACACAAGGCAGGTCGGAAAGCGTACTAACATGTGTCACGAATCACAAGTCAATGAAAAAGGCATTAAAAATACCAATCTTCACAACTAACGTTGATCCCATGCTATGTTATCTTCCCTACGCCCATGAAAACTCGGAGTGCCTATTATTTCCTTTGACTTAATTAGGCCGGCGAAGCGACGCGTTTGTCGGCGAAAGGCCTGCCCCAGCCGCGCGTTTGTCGGAAATTCGGAGCTCCTCGTAGTCCGTACTTTGTTGTATTAAAGCGGCAAAATCGACTCTACCCAAAAAAAGGTTATACGTATAATTCATGAAATATCAACGCCGCTCTAGTGGGTACTCTGGAAGATTTCTCTTTGAAAATTTGCGACAACATTCCATTGCCACATTCCATTACTTCGCCTTTTAAACAAACAGACTATAATTGTATTCAAGTTTGCAGTCACGTCCACTGGCAATCGATCTTTTTGATAATCTCCTGGTTGCAGCTCAACTTGAGTTGAATTTGATGATTCCATGACCAAAATTTCAATCAATCTCAAGTTGTATTTCTTCGATTCATCCTGTATACCTGGAATGTACGAATTTGTTTTTCAATCAACAAAAATCTCTCTTTCAAGATATGCAATGAGAAATATACATTTGAAAATTCAAACAATGGCACATTCGAAAAAAAAAACATCTGATTCAAGATTTTATTTTGAAATTTCCTATATCTCAATTACTTTTCAAAATATTGGATATTGAGAGCGTGAAATCTATAGTCAATCACTCTGGAATCAATTTTGCTTATGTAAAATTCCACAAACGATAAGATTTACACAAAATTCCTAATCACACGACATGTTTCGCTTATACAGTAGCTTCTTCAGGTGAAATATTGGTACAATAAACTGAACTCACATTGGCTTTCCTTACTTTAATATCCTACTTTTCCATTCTCAAGGATAAGAATTTCATGTAGAAAGGTTTGATAAACCCATCTTAGGAGAATAGGCACAATATCTACATCAAAATGCGGTGTACCGGAATAACTTGAAAGAGTTGATAGCATATACCTACTAAAAAAACAAATCCACAGCTCTAAATTATTGAGGACTCGTTAATCGTCAAGTAAAATCTTCGCATTTGATTGCTTAAGATTCAAAATGATCAAGTTTTATTCCTTTATTTCACTATATGATCTTCTTCAAATATATTGTTCGCGTGAGTTTGATTTTACAAATATTCATTTTGTCAGGAATTAAACCAGTTTCGAGAGATTTGCAAATTATGTTTAACAAAATAGAAGTTAACTCAAATTTGATTACCTCCACAATCTTGACAGTAATATAATCAAATCCACAGCATTTTCCAACAAACATAATTATCATCAATGATATTCTCAATTTCTGAAATATTTGTTGGAATAAGGAACATAGATAGAACACTTGAGCAATCTTTCACAGGTCAAAAATTGTAGTAATTTTTGACGAATAATTTTGATCTACATTGATGAAATGATTATCGATTTCATTACTCATTTCCTTGAAGTCGTTAATTTTTACATTATTCACAGTAATACATCTGATATTTTCAGTTTTGTTCTTCGTTTTGTTGTATTAGATTGAGTTTATACCATTCCATACTGATTTTGGAGTACCATTAAAAAAAGTATCATCATGAAATTCCTCTTTTTGTTTCTCGTATTCTTTTTTCCACTAATTCATTATAGAAATTATATTGCTCAAAATATTTTATATTCGGATAGATTTTTTTTATAATGAAATTTGTCCCGCAATTTAATCAATTCACTTATAGTACTGTTGAATCATGTCTTTGAGTCACATTTTAATTCAAGTTCAGTTGATTGTACGAATATTTCACCGTAAGAAGCTACTGTGTTAGGGAAACATGTCTTGTGATTAAAAATGTTTGAAAAATCTTAACGTTTGTGAAATTTATTACATATGGATTTCCATCAATTAACGGCCGGGTCAAGTCAAAATTTCGCTTATTTTATAGCTGAGAGACCAAAATTCATCACTGGCTTGGTCGACGATCAAATCGAGCACAAAGGAGAAGCCATCATGATGGTGCGGGCAGACGGCTTGCCGAAACCAGAGATTCGTTGGTTCCTCAACGGAAAACGCATTGTAGAAGATGAAAATCACAAAATAGAAACGGTCGCAGAGGCTCAAGTCACGAGCAAACTGAGGATTCTGAATTTCGATGAGCTGAATTCTGGAATTGTAAGTATACAAATGATGGTATTACATAACAAACTGAAGACACAATCATGAGGAGATACCAGAAATCTAACAATTTATTTCTCGAAAATACTCAGATATTTCTCCAGCAGACAATTTGAAAAGGAATATTCTCAGAAATATTACGTACATGAAAAAAATTGATACTTATAAATAAATACCTACAGTGAGAGTTCTAATTCTCTATCTGATAGAAAAAAAAATGTCTTTGTATATTCAACGGAAAACAACTACTTTCCTGGCTATATGCCACGACAAACATTGAATTTTTTCTATTGAAGACACACAATAGATTTCGAGAACAAATTCTCCTGACGTCTAGCATCCTACAGTTGGAAATATACACTGTGTCCATAAAGTCACCCCGCCCCCCCCCCCCCCCCCCCCTGGTTAACTTTAGAACGGATAGGATTTTTTCTCTCAATTTTTTCCTGTTTCAATGGTAGTTTCAGTGCTACATATTGTAAAAAAATAAATATGTATCCTCCAAAATGGCGCCTGGGCGCCATTTTGGAAGATTTCTTTAAATGGAGGGGGGGAGTCGAAAGATACCTCGATTGAAAGGTCTTTTGATTCTCTATACATTCTCAGAATCTCAGACGAAAATATTCTCCGAAACAAAATGGCGGATGATAACGTTTGAAATCTCACACCAGAATTCTTTCGACTAGATGGCTATTAAAGTGCTCGCATGTGATCTTCAAATCTCTATTGGCGTATAGAAGAGTTCTCTATCTATGAAGATATCAATAGGAAGCCATTTTGAAGAAAATAACATGGAGAGTGATGTTGTGGACTTAATCTTCACAAACTATGACAAGTCATGAATTCGACAAGTCATCAACTCGTATATTTTATGAAAATGGTTGAAACAACTTCAAACACTTGCTACATAGAGTTCCACATGGAAAGTCTCTGAACTACAGATAGTAAGAGATTTATTTCAAAATATCTTCTCCTTAACCACCCTGTGTTCCTTGAACCAGCAATATTTTCATGAGGCATATTGGGCTAAATCTTTAAATTCGGGTGTTTACTATCTGTAGTTCAGGAATTTTCAATTCTCAATTTGATGAATACAATTATTAGAATGTTATAATTGAACATAAATCTCTCCAAGAGCGAATAACAGAAAAACCGTTGAGGTCAGAGAATTTGATAGAGAGTAAATTTGTCATGTGAAATTGAACGAGCTTTCAGATTTCACACTTATTTTGATCATCAATGAATTGACATAGATGATATGATGTAATTTATCGAAGCAACAGAGTACCACAAAATGAGTTGCAAATTCATATTTCTCATGTCAGAATACTCAAAAATGCAAGATAACATATTCATGCTGTTGAAACTAACAAAGTTATTGTGAGATTTTGAAATAAAATCTCCCTCTAGAACACCTTGTATCTCCTGAACCAGCAACATTCTCAACAGGCATATTGTGCTAAATCTCATTATTTTTGTGTTTACTATCTGTAGTTCAATGATTTCCCATTCCTAATGAATCACCTTGTATAGTCATCACATTTGCATTCTTCCAGTACAAAGCAATGGCAGTGAACGTAGTCGGAGAAGCTGAAACTACTTCACGAGTTACTATGCTACAGACTCCACCATCATTTGGTAAAAAGCTGGACAGGAATTCTGACGTCAATGAAGGAGAACCATTAGAACTCAAGGCTAAAATCAACGGTAGTCCCAGACCTACTGTGAGTAAAACATCGAATTTTCATCATTCCTTAGACTTTAACAAAATAGTTATTTATTATACAAGGGAAAATAGTAGTAGATTTTAGCTTCAGGCTGTGATGTTGTCTCCCGACGAGTAGCTGATAGGGAGACAAAAAACCGTGAGCTTAAATCTGATATTTTTCCCGTGTATAAATAGTTATTTATTATACAAGGGAAAAAAGTAGTAGATTTTAGCTCCTGGTTGTGTTGTCTCCCGACGCGTAGCGGAGGGAGACAACAAACCGTGAGCTAAAATCTAATATTTTTCCCGTGTATAATACACTATTTTTTTCTGTGACAGAAGAAAGAACGAATCAATATTGAGAAGATATTACATTATTTTGATATCTGAAAATTATCGACGTGAAATTTTAAGTTTTTAACAGTAGGGACACCGCGTTGTAAGCATCTTTATCATTCATTTGAAGTAATCAAATATCTGATGTCACTTCTGTCAGTCTAATTTTGTGATTTTATTTCAAGAAATTGCGAATTCAGTGGTTATTTAGCAATATACGTAACCGCGAAGTCGAATGGAAGATAAAAGGACTTGCAGTTCTTTCTCGGAGACGGTATTATTGACTCATTTTTCGGAACTATAGCACAACAAAAGCCATCAACAGTGTATATATATGTGATATATATCCGGGAAAGAAGTACTCACTTTTTTCCCACGGGAAAAAAGTAATTTATGAAAAGTGACATTTTATAACCTGCCAACAGGGATGAAATGCCAAACTTTTTTCCCGTCACAGAAAAAACAATATTCTTCTCTGTGATAGAAGGAAGGACGAATCAATATTGAGAAGATATTACATTATTTCGAAATCTGAAAATTATCGACGTGAAATTTTAAGTTTTTAACAGTAGGGACACCTGCGTTGTAGGCATCTTTATCATTCTTTTGAAGTAATCAAATATCTGATGTCACTTCTGTCAGTCTAATTCTGTGATTTGATTTCAAAAAATTGCGAATTTGGTAGTTGTTTAGTAATATACGTAACCGCAAAGTCGCATGGAAGATAAAAGGTTTTGCAGTTCTTTCTCGGAGACGATATTATTGACTCATTTTTCGGAACTATAGCACAACAAAAGCCATCAACAGTGTATATATATATGTAATATACAGAGAAGTGCACAATAAACGGCCAGTGCTGTAACTTCTGAATCATCTGGGATCGGATTTTGAAAATTGGTGGGTAGCAAGTATACGAAATTGCTCAATAATTGACAAAGCAATTTTTGTTCCATCACTTCCGGTTTCACCGCAAACGACCCCAACTTTCGATTTTTAAATAACACACCCTGTGTTTTATTCCATAATCGGTTAGGGATTGTCATAAAGAATTCAACGATATCAGATTTGATAGGGTTATTTCAAACGATTACGAAGATATTCGCGTTCTGAGTTCCCATATGCTCAATGGGTGTGACTTCCAAATATCGAAACTTCTTTCTCTGTCCCACTTATTGAGCAAATGGAAACTTACAATGCGAATATCTTCGTTGTCGTTTGAAGTAACCCTATCAAACCCGGTATCGTTGAATTTGTCATAATAATCCCTAACCGATTATGGAATAAAATACAGGGTGTCCTATTCAAAAATCAAAAGTTTGCGTCGTTTCCGGTGAAACCGGAAGTGATAGAACAAAAATTGGTTTGTCAATCAATGATCAATTCAGTATACTTGCTACCCACTAATTTTCGAAATCCGATCTAGGATGATTCAGAAGATACAGGCCTGGCCGTTTGTGTGCACTTCCCTGTATATCCGGGAGAAAAGTTCTCACTTCTTCCTCACAGGAAAAAAGAAATTTATTAAAAGTGCCATTTTATAACCTGCCAGCAGAGATGAAATGTCAAACTTTTTTTCCTGTCACAGAAAAAAAGGAATTATTAAAGAGCATAAAGATTTTCCTGATTTGTAGGTTGCTTGGTTCAAAGATGGTGAGCCGATACCTGCAGATGATGGTAACATCAAAACTACCATATTGCCTGATGGAACTGTCAAGCTGAACATCGACAAATGTAAACCTTCCGATAGTGGAGCGTACAAGTTGGTCGTCAAGAATCCAAACGGTGAAACCGCATGCCTTTGTGCAGTTGCAGTAACCCGTAAGTTGAAACAACAACCAATGGGTTGCGTGCAAGAACTCAATCAATCAATCAATCAAATCATTTATTTTCCATGACTGACAACATACATTGTATAGGAATAGTCAAAGATACTAAGAAACTATGAAACTTACGAACTAAAAAAAGAAAAAAACTAGAAAACTTACATACTAATGAGTGTATATAACAGATGACCGACCCTGGAGGTGAAACATTGAAACAAAACTTCACTTTCTTTATTTGTTTACAAATGATCGACATACTTTTCCTCAATTATTTTGGCATAGGAATTGTGTTTTTCGGCTATATTCATGGAGATACGGTCTGGATTCTTTTTACATTTCTATTCAGCCATCTGGTGAGAAATGATGATATTGGACCAGGAGTTCGGGAAGGGATGATCCTCTTAGCAGTATCTTCGCCTGTCCTCATTGTTGATTTATTCTACCTAAAAACTAACCTCTATTGGCACATTTCACTTAGTGATTCTGAGTTGACGGTTGTTGACAACTAGGTGTTGATGTTGACATGTATCTAGGTATGTCAATATCGAATTAAAAGTTCCCGAATGTGTCAGGACTGTCAGGAGTTTCAACTATTAACCAATTGAAGTCAAGATACTTCTGATAGGAGATTATGAAAAAAAAAGCTTTCTTTCTTCTCCATGTGGATTGAAATTTCGTCTCACAATTTTTTGCAAATTTTCCTCCAAATTTTGGAATTGTGTATAAGAAACGGTAGCCTGTACATCACTGAACAGCTACACACCGATAGTGGATCATATTTTTGCAATTCCCAAAATTCAATATCTTTCCCATAGTCACTATATGATGCCATTCAAGATCTAAGGTAGGCTTTTCATCAACAGTAAAAACACAAGACCTTTCTCTTATCGGATAAATTCCTCTTCCTTACGAGAACATTTGCCAATCAGTTGAGATAGGAAAGAAATTCATCAATTAAAAAACAGTTCGAGTGTTTTTTGACATGATAAATCAACGACAATGTATAAATAAATAACAACAATAATTAACTTTATTGAAAAAACTATCTGAAGGAGCAGTTATCAAAACTACAATTTTTGAAAATATTATGGTTTGGTGTCGAAATTTTTATATTTTCTTCTCTGATGGTTTCGACACATGTCGAATATTCGTTCGTACACTTCGTGATATCCGATGAACGTAAGTTACTAACTAGATTTTCGTGATATTCAGGGTCAATTTGTAAGTTATTTTTATGAGCTGCTGGTCACTTATTCCTGCTTTGGCTAACTGTGTAACTGTACTAGCACGGTTTGAATGATTGGTTATTTCATTAGTTGTGGTGTCAAGGCCAATTTTTATTGCTGAAATTTTGGTCCATGACGATATCATGTTAATTCCCACTGGAACATTTTTAAACCAACCTTTAGAATTTTTGTGCCTCCAAAAAGGGTTTGGAGTTAAAAAAAGGCTTTCAGATGTTATGTTCTCGTTTCTTTTTTCTAAAATTAATTTTAATAACCTCACTGGACAAATAGTTTCATCGATTTGATTTTTTGTTATCCATTTGCTGTCTGCCAATCTTTTTGACCCACCTTGTGCCGTCTTAGAAAATATTGTATTATATTCTATTCTACCTGTAGTAGTTTCATCTTAATTTTTCTCTTCTTTGAAATATAATATTTCACAGTTCACAGCTTATCTTTCCCTCCATTCATAAGAAGCTATATGGGAAAATCTTCTTTGCAATCCATCTGGTTCATTTACATTCCATAGTCGGCCATTTTTATGATATCTCTCTTATCTATTGCAACAGAACCTAACTTTCTTTTATCCGGAATAGCTTGTTATTCTTTCCGTTTACTATTTCTTGCATCACGAGCTTCTTTGAAAGTTATATCGGCAAAAGGATCAACTTTGATATTGTACTCACTGAAATATTTTTCTTGAATCATCTTCTCAGTCGAATTCCAGATTGTTTTCAAAGCATATTCCTTGTAATCACCTCCATTTTGCTACTTCATGTTATACGCCCAATCCTTCAAAATGTCTGCTATTTGGGGCACCGGTGTTTTTTCTCCCAATTCGTAATTTCTGGCTTCACAAAACTCCATGAATTGTCTCCAAATCGACGATTTCGTGTTTTTAGTTGCTTGCGGAATTGTATTTTTTATACATTTCGAGATTTCTTCCGAAGAAATTTCTCCAAATCGGCTCATTTTGCGTATTTTCGTATTATACAATACCTACCAATCAAACATGACAGGACAGAAATCGAAGTGACGGTCGCATACTCGATGAAGGAACATGCATTTTTACAGCGATAAAAAAGGATGCACCTTTTTTATCGATGTCAAAATGACTCACGTCGTCTTCAAATTCGCGAAAATCACGAACCAATAGATGGCTCTATTAAACGTCAAATCAACGTCAAATTTCAAACTGAGTATGAACAACAAAAACATTGCCGTATGCACTCATTGCAAATTGGTTATTTCGAAATCATTTTGCAGAATAGTGAATAATAAGTTGACTTTTTGAAGTACGTACAAGGTTTCCAGTATGGAAAAAAATTAGTTTTTGAGCAGAGAAAATGCCATTCTGATGTGGACAATGGTGGTATTCATCATTGGTATCACACTACAATTCCACAGTTTTCAAACATATGGAATGGTCGGAATGGTCCAGTCAACACTTGCATGGACTGCAAGGTATAAAGAAATAATTGAATTCATCAAGAAATATCACTGGCTTTTATGAAGGAGATGGAATTCTAGTGAAGGGGTTGGAAAAAAAGATATGGTTGGAGAGGCTGCTCAGAATGAACAATATCATCGATTCACATAAACAAGGATCTCCAGCAATTGAGGACTTGAAGTTATTCTCAAGATCGAATCATTGCAACCAACATTCATACAATGATTCTAATTGTGCTTCAGAAAATGTATATTACATTATTATCATAAGGTAGGTACTGGTTTTTTCATTGTGAACAATAAAAGTTCATGCAATAATTCGAGTTATTTCATCAGGTAAAAATGAGGTTCTGGAATATGCACTTCAACAAATAAATTATTTTCGAATAAAACACATAATTATGAAACTCAAAACAATAGTCGCCATATTTGTTTTCATTGTTGTTCATACTAGCAAGACTTGTACAGTTAGCCACCAGAGGCCGCACACTTCGTGATTTTCGCGAAAAGGGTTTTCCGTGTAGGAATCGATTTATCCTAAATAATCTTCACCTTCATATTTCAAGCTGTGAGAATTTCTGAGGGATCAAGACACTTCAAATTTGAAACTTCTTGAGTTTAGGCCTCTTACTTTACTTGGACAGTGAGCTAATCGTTTTATACTCTGTATATTCGGGACTCTACCATACCTAGCGAACTCGCGAACTCTCACTGTCATACATCATATTCCTGTCCTGTGTGAGTAACCAACCTGGAGCCATAAATAACACTGCGGGTTAGGTCACGACCTTACTGACTGGTCAGCAAGATAACCGAATGTACGAATCTCTTTCTGATGGCATTTTTTTATATGTTAGAGAAACCAAAGAGACCCAAGTTCTTGAAATGCTTCAAAGACGTCAAGATATCCACTGGCGAACCATTGCGATTGGAGGCAACAGTAGAAGCCTACCCGCCTCCAGAAATCAAGTGGCTCAAGGACGGTGTCCCCGTTCGTGCCTCCTCCAACGTCCGCTTCGAGAACCACCCTGATGGAAGGTATGCCAATTACATTTCGTTCAGAGTTTCCTGCATATTTCATCTGTAGCTATCTATAAAAATCGAATCGAATTTTTCTGATGTGACGTCATACTTGCCTGTTTGACTCAGATGGTTTGAGATGTCAATAAAACATTGTCACACGATTCGAAGAAAAATACTGGTTATGTAGGTTTCTTGAAATGGTAAAAATTATATGGAAAAAAAAACTACACACTGTATTTGTAATAAAGAGAGTGATTGAAGAATGGGGGAGATATGGACAAGACAATAGATTCAATCAAGGAATATTGGTAGAGGGGAGTCCTATCCATGATTTTTTATGCAGTCATACTGAAATATCTCAATAGTTTCCAAAACTACCTGAACATAGTCCTCCTAGCATGAATTTGGGATTGGAGCAAGACAAAAATATTCCTATAGTTATCCAAAATGGTTCCAAGTCCAATTAACATCAGTATACCTGCAGGCATTTGTGAAGTAATGATAATAATCAATGATGAAAACATGAAAACGAACATCCTATCCTGATTGTTTTTACCAACATGTCAAATATTCAGAACAAGTTCCAAATTTCAGCTGCTGTTTTACGTGACGTCATTGATGATATCACAGATCTGTAATTTAATCAAATTGTTGGACCGTCATCTGGAAGGCTGTGTCTCACGCCAAAATCTTCCGAACCATTTCCATCACGTGACATGTTGTGATTCGTGATGTTCCGATGATTATTTTTTGCAATAAAATTGTGAAGAATGAGTTGGTCAGGAAGTTTCATTCTGGTCCACTACTAGCAAGGCGTCAGCCCACTGTGATGGTTTGTGTGGTGATTCGGAAAATATAGGTTCTCGTCATCTGATAACGAAATGATATATCTTTCTATTCATTGATCAAAAACATACAGGTTACCCTTATTACATGTTTCTGTAACTCTTGGTAGGTATGCTCAAAAACAACATAACATTGAACAAAAAGAGGAGGATTGTCAGGGGTTCAACACCAAAACGACTTTAGTGTTCACTTTTTATTTCAAAAACGGGTATTCTGAATGATTCGAGACTTGATCTGAATATATCCAGATTATATTCGATTCTGATGTACTGGTACATTGAGTTTATTGTACCCCTATATCACCTGATGAAGCTACTGTGTTAGCGATACATGTCGTGTGTTTGAGAATTCTGTAGAAATCTTATCGTTCATGAAGTTTTGATATTTGAATATTGAAATCAAATTTTTCAAATGCCGTAAAGTAATCAAATGACCTATAATGAGGGCAAACATTTTCGGAAAAAAAAAAATAGTCTGGTTCTCAGTAACAATAATTTTGTACGACATTAAGTCCTACTCAATCATTTTGCGATGAACTTTTCAATTTCAGAAATGCCGTACAGGAATATTCTCTCGAAATCGCCCTCTCTCCATGGAAAGTTTCATTCTACTCTGTACTTACATGCACCGCTTCCAACTGACGGCACAGTGCTTAAAGGAGTTGTTCCGTATTGTGCTATAACTCTGAATATAATTCATACTGGGTCATTTGACCTCTTCCAAAAGTAGCCTGGGATTGTAGTCTACAATGTTTCAACTTGCCTTTGAGGCGACGGAACCCGTCGACCGATTTACAAGAACAAAAACTCCATAATATAGTAGCTCTATTCAGGAATGGGAAAAATATTTTAATATTCAGATTTTCTAGGCCGACTTTCGTTTGTTGAAGAGGTCAAAATTTCAAAAAGGAATATATGACAATTTTTCCGAAAGTGTGACTAGCCTATTCGATTCCCCACCAAGCCCACCATATATATGCTCGGTATTTCCATCAGCAACACTCTTTCATGGGATAATCATGTCAGATTCATCGCAAAAGCTGCTTCACAAAAACTGGGATTCATGTTCCGTGCGAAAAGCTACTTTACACCTCAACAGCTTCTCATGATCTACAAAGTGCAGATACGGCCTGTTCTAGAATACTGTTCCCACATATGTGGTTCAGCACCAAAACATACGCTGATGCTCTTGGATTCCATCCAGAGAAGAGCCATTCGCCTGGTGGGTGACGCCACACACACTCACTCACTCTTTGACATCATTGGAACATCGTAGAAAGGTCGGCGTCCTTTCACTTTCCTGTCGATACTTCCACGGGAAATGTTCTTCGGAAATCTCTGCTATCATCATTTCACTAGCAATACCAATCAGACGAACTTGACAAGCCCAGTCAGCACATCCTTTCGTTGTCAACATCGTGAGATGTACAGCACTTTAATAAGGTTTTGAAAATTGGTGGGTAGCAAGTATACCAAGTTGCTCATTAATTGATGAAACAATTTTTCTTCTATCAAATCTATCTTTCAAACGATTACAAAAATATTTGTGTTTGAAGTTTCCATATGCTCGATGGGTGTGCCTTCGCAATATCAAAACCTCTTTCTCTGTCACATTCATTCACCATATGGAAACTTAGAACGCGAATATCTGCGTAATCGTTAGAAATAACCCTACCAAACCCGGTATCGATGAATTCGTTATGACAATCCCTAACCGATTATGGAATACAATACAGGGTGTCCCATTTGAAAATCAAAAGCTAGGGTGTTTCCGGTGAAACCGAAAGTGATAGAAGACAAATTGTTTCATCAATTAATGAGTAATTTGGTATACTAGCAGCCCACCAATTTTCAAGACTCTTTTTCGAATAATTGAAAAGTTACATTTCTTGTGTTTCGTGCTCTTCTCTGTATAAAGGGTTGATAACACTGGTGAAATAGTCATTCGATGGAGGAACACATAGAATACTCATCAGATTAGAAGTTTCATCGTTTTTACTTCTACAAGAAGATCTGTCTCGGTCAACCAAATTTTAATGGAATTGAAGTTGACACATTTCATATTATAACCCATAGCTTTTTTCCTGGCATAGTTATTCACCTAACAAGTGCGGGAAAAGTGGTATACATTTCCGCACGCGACGGCCGTAGCACGAACGAGGCGGAGCGGAGTTCGGGCAAGTCGAGGTAGTAAAAGAAATGTTCCTCAAGAGTTAGGTATAAAGTTTTTCCTACGAGTGTTTCGTCCATATTGTTTATAAAAAATAAGGTTTACTAATGGACAATATTCAATAATGATTCTACAAAATGACACATAAGACAGAATAGTTACACGGATCATTTAGTAAGTCCTACTAAGCATATAGACGTAGGGGTCTATATGCACGACTTAGTCGCAAGGTATGATTGATGAATCTACCTATACACCTTGCACTTAAGCCACTAGATGGCTATGAAGGCTAGATCGTCCTTCTGCCCCCTCAGGACTTTGACTTGTTCGATATATGGGGGTACCCTTCGTGAATCGATTGTCAGCTGGCCAGTGCAACTGATGAGACTTATGGCAAGTCGAAACAGTCTGTCTTGCATCAGCTGACAATCGATTCACGAAATCTCCCTAGAATCTCTTAGTCTTGAGATTCCAGGTTTATCAGACCTAAATATCCCTATTTTCAACACGACAAATAATGAAATTCTTTTTTTATCGATATAATGGGAAACTTATTTGTAGAACATGTGAATGACAATAACCATAGATTAACATTGAAAGTGCAATTCGTGTTTGTTGCATGATGTAATATAGCAGATACCGCAACATCTTGAATAACGTCTTTTCTTATTAGAATTTGAAAGGTTAGTGTTTGGCCCACTACAGAAATGCCTTGATCAGTTTGTTGCTGAGAATTACTAGTGTAGTGAATGGAGAAAGGTAGATTGGTCTGTAATGCTTATTTGTTGACTGGCACTACTGTCAGTTGACTGGCGTTCTGGTGCCAACCGTTATCACCAAATGTCTCCTGCTATTTCCTTCGAAATCGTGCGGAAGAGTGAAAATAATGCGAAAGAGTAAAAATAATGCAGGAAACTTAAATCGTACGAAAAAGTACAACTTTCAAAACTAAAAATCATTCGGAAAAGTTACTTTTCCGCACGCTCGTACGAAAATATAAATAATGAAAACTAACAAATTTACCTTCTATTTCGCCAGAATTGGTTAATAGTTATTATCACTTTGAGTATCAGTAAATCTCCTTGCAGTCTTTGGAGAGTGTTTGTCATTCTATGAGTGTTATATTCGACAGTTCCTTATCAATCGAGACGATTCTCAAAGTTACTGTGTGATGAAGTGTGTGAAAAACGGTTCACTCTAGTTTTCAAAATGGTGAACTTCAACTTCAGTGTCATTGATGTTTGATTGACTTATGTCGATAGAGGGCAAATAAAAAAATCATAAATATGAAAATATGTCATCGAATAACTAACACCCTACACAGTGTGTCCGTTTTTCGACCTCCACCATGAGGATCTCATTTATTATAAGAGATACAATGTCGGTTGAATCAAGGCAAAGTTGCTCATTTTCATACTGAAGATTTATCTGTAAGGAAATTAGATGTGTCATGTCTAGTTTTTGAATTATTGGTGGTTTATTACCGGCACCCTGTATAAGATTGTGCGTTGAAATTTTGTTAGGTGAGATTTAAGGTATACCTGGATCGAGAAGGCTTTTCACTGTTTCGACAAAAAATTGTCTAATAGTCGTTTACGACATTTCTGCCTTTTTAACAATCAAAAGTAGGCCTTGAAAATATAGATATTCCAGGTTTGTTCACATTTCCGAATAGAGCTCGTTGAGTATCAAATTATGGAATTTTTTATTTTAAAAATCGGTCGACGCTTTCTTAATAAGGAGGGTGTTGCGGGTTGAAATCGCATACACTATACAGGGTGTTTCATAATTGAATATCAATATTCGGGAAGGCGATCCTTGGTCTCATTCTGGAAAGAAATTTTCATATTAACGTATGACCTAACCGTCCTAACTTTAGAGATACAGGGTGGTAAAGTTCTCGATAATTAATAGTTTTTTATTGAAATCTGTAATACCACTTCAGATATTCTAATGAAGGGCATACATGTACTATGTATCAAGAGGCATCAGTAAGTGTACCAATTTCTGTTTGCGACCAATGGCGTTTGTATGGAATTTCACATAATCTATTTTGGCAGACATTGATGGTACGCCACTGATTGATATCAAACTTGGAATCATTCCTGAAATTCCCAATCAATTTTTTCAATCTGATGCACGGTTTTCACTTGGAAAAATTAAAAGCTTTCCACTACATGAATATATCATTATCATCAATATGACAATATCACAATGCAGAGAAATAGACTCCATTCATTGAATCAAATTTCAGGAATACAATTCATAGTTTATGATCTTCGCATCCGTATTTGGTATTTTGGAATTATAACTTTTCATTGAAGTAGGCTTATTGATTTTTGAGAACTTTACCACCCTGTATCTCAAAGGTTAGGACGTTAAGGTCATGAGTTCATATAAAACTTTCTCCTCAGAATAGGCCCGAGAATCGCCTAATCGAATATTCAATGATGAAACACCCTGTATACAGGGTGAATGCTGTTCCTCAAGAGCGATAATTTTTGGATGATTTCAAAGAGAAAAGTCCATATCAACATATGTCCTAAACCTCTCAGTTATTGAGCTACAGGGTGATGAAATTTCAAGAAAAAAATTCTTCATCATAATTTTTTATCACTCTTAGATATTGTTATGATATTCCCTATCCACCTTTTCATTATCAAGGAGCATTCTTTCACGTGAAAGATATTCAAAAATTCTCACCAGTGGCGTCCGTACGGGGTTTGAACTGACAATTTTTGAAGAAAAAAATAGTACGCCACTGATTTTTCTGAGAACCAGATTTTTTTTCAATTCTTATTCATTTTGGAGCAAATTTGGTGTCTAGGCTTACTTTCATACAACTTACCGTTTTCGCGTAAAAAAATACAAAAACCAAAGAAATTTGTTCCTTCAGTTCTTGGATATTGTTTTTGGTAATTCAGTAGACACTCACTATAAGTGGAAACACATTTCGATTTGGGACGAAAATCAAACTTCAACTTTTACCAGTGATGTCCTCGTAGACCTGATATTGAATGTTTTGTTTAAAAAAACGCTGTACGCTTCTGATTTCAACACCCTGTAGCTCGAAAACTAAGAGGTTCAGGACATATGTTGATATGAACTCCTCTCCTTAAAATCATCCAAGGATCATCGCCCTTTAGGATCAGCATTCAATTATGAAACACCCTGTATATCATTTTGTTATCAGGTGACGGTTGAAATTTGCAACCGCCTCTGATAATATCACACAATGAATGAAAACTATCGTTATTAATCGAACACAATTCGATTGTTCCAAGGGTGGCGCTGGTGGTGGACGTCACGAAACCCGAATCGGCGGGCGATTACCAGCTGCTGGTGACCAACAAGTTGGGCGAGAGCGTCGGAGAAGCCGGAGTTGTCGTGGAGAAGAAGCCGACCAAGCCGGAGTTCGTCAGCAGGCTGCAGCCGCAGACGGTGGTCGAGGGCTTCCCCGTCAAGTTCGAGGTGAAGGCCGAAGGGTTCCCGACGCCTACTATCACATGGTGAGTTCCTGGATCCACTCTTGATCGATTGATTAATTTATTTATTCATTTATTCATTTATTCATTTATTCATTTATTCATTTATTCATTTATTCATTTATTCATTTATTCATTTATTCATTTATTCATTTATTCATTTATTCATTTATTCATTTATTCATTTATTCATTTATTCATTTATTCATTTATTCATTTATTCATTTATTCATTTATTCATTTATTCAATTATTCATTTAGTTAAAGCTAATATCCAAGTCTATGTAGATTAGATTAGATTTGGAATGGGACCTTCGGGCTATCTGCCTCCACACTGCGACCTTTTAAGATCTATTGTGCCTGCCCTCAAAATGGATTAGAGTTCTTCAGCTAGCCCGCCTTCTCTATGAGACTCTATAGGCTAGCTTTCAGATCTCCTGTGTATCTCTGGGCTCCTGGTTTTTCCTCACCCAGCGTAAGGAACCTTAGTCTCGACAAGCCCTCACAGTGGCAAAGTATGTGTACTGCTGTTTCTTCCTCTCCTTGACAAAACCTGCACAGCAGTTCTTCAGTCAGACCCATCGTACTCATGTGTTTGTTGAGCCTACAATGCCCTGTGAGAAGTCCCACTAGTATTCTAGTTGAACTTCGTTTCTGGCTTAGTAGATATTCTGTGAATGTTGGCGATGATTTTTTTAATAAACTCTTTTGCCTGTCTCATTCCTGGCGAGTTGTTCCACCATTCTTGAGATTTAGTTTGCATCCATGATTTGATACTAGTCTTTTGTATAGCTTTCGCAATACAACAGAAGGGTTCTGGGCCATTAAGAGCTCTGTTTGCTCCTGCTCGGGCAAGTGAGTCTGCCTCTTCATTGCCCTCGTACCCTGTATGTGCTGGTACCCATGCTAGAATCAATCTGTTCTGACTGCCCAGTGCATTTAGGTTTCCTAAGCAGTTCCATACTAGTGTTGAGTCAACTTGCATAGAGTTGACTGCTTTGATTGCCGCCTGGCTATCTGAATAGATTGCAATGGTTTTGCCTTTAAACTCTTGCCTTATCAATTCTTTCACGCAATGATATATTGCAATAATTTCTGCCTGAAACACCATCGCGTATTTGCCTAAGCTCAGTGAGATTCTTGTCTTTGGCTTGGCCCCAACGTCAAAGTCAATGTAATAAAGAAACAGTTATGAGATCTAAACGAACAAGGAACATCTAGACACTTAATTCACACACTCAAGATCAACACAAAATATACAATAAAAATACAGGTCATTGAATAAACGATTTAAAATCTTCGAAAGTTTGATTTGGTTCGTTTCAATAAATGTATCTTGAATGTATTGATGGAAAATGCATTCTTCACGTCAGATGGCAAGTCATTATGTTGTTTCAATTCTTTTATAAAAACGGAATTTATAATGATGCATTTCTTTATTATAAGTCAGCTTATACACCAAATAACTTGGTGCTTCACCTCTTTGTATTTTGAAAACAAATACCAATACGAAAAATTCAAAATAATCCTGAATAGGCAGCCAATTCAAACTTCTCAACATATCCTTTATGGGTGTGTACTTATTAAATGCTAATATATAATACACATTGCTCTGTTTTGCAAGTTCTACATTCTATTCAATACATTCTGATTCAAGATATAGAATTGTTGAACAAAAATTGAGGTGTGGAAGAATTAGGGTATGGTTAATAATTTTCTTGAATAAAAAATGACACTACGAATAAGAAAGATAATATATTCCATACTTCATTATAGATATTATTTAGTTCGCATGTTCTCGGAATGATAGTTTACGAGCCAGTATGACTCCTAAATATTTGAATTTCTCAACTTTTTCGATACAATCATTTTCAGGCTTCAAGTAATAGTTACTCATTTTCAACTGTATTGCTTCCCTTCCGATGAACATAAATTTAGTTTCTGATAAATTGATTCTGAGTAAATTCTGGCATGTACTAAGTTATAGATCACGTGAAAATGCATGATTATATCAGTGTATCGTCCGCAAAAAGATAAATATTGGTGTTAATGCCCAGATTCATAATATCGTTGATGTACAATACGAAAAGAACAGGCCCTAATATACTGCTTTGGGGTACACCAAAATCATTTACTGCTTCTGCAGATGAGAAGCCATTGAAATTAACTTTTTGTTTCCTATTACCTCAAGAAACATATATCTGCTCATAACAGGGATACATGAACACATATAAAATGATAATAATGATAATATTGAAAGGTTAATTAATGAATTCTATTCAGTGAAAATAACTTCACACTTTTTCTCAAGATGAAAGTTATAACATTTCAATTTCAAGTGATCACATCGTGTCGAATATTTTTCAAACAAACTGTCCCGACCAGGTATTGTTTTCAAGATTGACTTCAAATCTTTTAACATCATGTATATTTTTCAATTCATTCGGTAATGGATTGTATAAAATTATTCCATTATGAATAGTTATTTAACCAACTAGTGCATTAATGAGGGCGATTAATGATCGAGATATTTTAACGTGCGAGCGAAGCGAGTGTGTTAATGTTCGAGATCATTAATCGCCTTTTAATATACGAGTTGGTTACAAAAATTTTCCGTCGACTATATTTCTCATTTCTCCTGCAATGAAGAGAACTTGGTTCGCGAATTCATCATCCATCCGGAAAATGCTAATAATAACCCAGTAGCCTTGTTACTGACATTAGTGTCATTTGACATTTGTCGGAATGGTCAACATAGGAAATAAATTCCTTGTGTTAGAAAACAGGGATTGAAATCGTGTCAGAAACTTGGAAAGGCGAACCCGTTAACGGAAAATCGTAGATGAAATCCATATTTTCGATTTAAATGCAGATTCCGCTAGTTATAGCATAAACAATGAACACACGCGGTGTATGTTTGGTTGCCTATAAAACAATCGTGCATTAATAGACAAATCGTTCATCAATAGGGGTCATTAATGAACGATTTCATATATATTAAACTTAGACGTTAATACGAGGTCGACGGAAAATATAGATTATTCGCCAATGTTCGACTTGAATGTATTTGCTATCAAGTAATTCAATTATCCAGTCCCATGAGTGATTAGACTTCCATAATGTTGCTTCTACATTGATAGAGATCTTTAGGTTGGCTACTTGGAGCGAAGTCCTCCAATTGTCAGCGGAAATAGAAACAGGTGCAATTGTCAAAATGGACAGTTGGAACTGTCTTTTATTGAAAAACGTTACATAAGTACTTCTACGCATTCGTACATCTGTCATAAGTGATAAAGCTTCAAATATTAGGGGATAAATCTTGAGTCTTGAATTTTTCCATGATTCTAGGTCGAGGAATGGCGCCGAAGTCATCTCGGACAACAAGCACATCCGCATCGTCGACCGGCCGGACGGAAGCAGCGCCCTCTTGCTGGACTGCGCGGACCGCATGCGCGACGCTCTCACTTACAGGGCGACCGCAACGAACGAGGCCGGCGAGGCCGAAACGTCGGCCGCGTTGACCGTCAAAGAGGCGGCCAAGCCGGGCGAGCCGGAGGAGAGGCCGATGTTTTTGCATGCTATCAAAGACGTGCTTGTGGATGAAGGTTAGAATATTGAATATATAGAGCAGAAATATTGAAAGGTTGTAGGTTCACTATATGAAAAGACTGGAGGAACTAGGAAAACAATAGAAAAAGAATATAGAGATGGAGAATAAATTGAAGTCAAAAGATTCAGATACCAAATTTTGGCGGAATTCACAATTATTTCCTCAGTTATTCCAAATTTTGAACAAATCCAACAGAATATTTTTAAATGAATGCAAGAAAACTGAAATCACGAATATCCATCAGGTAATAGACGAGTTGGCTATTTTTTTTTTCATTTCCTGAATAAAATTATTACCCAAGTACCTTTTGATTCAATATATAATTAACCGCGAATAAACAATTATGTCACGATTTTGAAATGAGCAGAATAAGCGCTAAATGATCTACGCATAGTAATGATCTGTGGATTTCTAAGCCTATCAAGCATCGAAATGTCATTGTATTCGGGCCCAGCCAACTTCATATATTCCAATGGAATGCAATTCAACAGCCAATTGATAATCGAATATGATAATAATAATAATAATAATAACTCGTCTTCATTCATTATATACAGGAAAACAAGAAATAATTATAATCCATTAAAGATCCCATATCCTGTCTGCAATTGCTGAATAGGCGGAGTATCAGCAAAAGGCTGTTTTTCAACTCAACCTTCGTGAACAAAACAAAAAAGAATTCGTAGCATTCTTGATCAAGTGAGAACAAAAAAGACAAAAGAGGTTATCGTGGATTAACACATTAGTTTCTAATGATGATAACAACAATAACAATAATAATGATAATATCAACAACAACAATGACAATAATTATTGTGACAGCAGTAATAATAATTATGATAGTAATAATAAGGAGATTTATAGACCAATCGAAACAGAGACATGCAGAACAAATGATACCCGAAAAGTCCCGACGCAACACGCAACCAGAAAATGATAAAAAAAAAAATTTGGCATAAAAATAATAATGTTAACAATGATTATGAGGATAAAAATAAAAATAACAATGTTGATAATGATAACAATGAATGAGAATCTATCAGGGGAAAGACTAAATATTTATATAAATGGAAATCAAGTTGAGATAGCACAATTGTACAATCAATTATGGACCTACCTGGACGAAATATAATTCTTCAAGCTCTTCTTGAAGTCACTCAGAGTGTAAGATATAAGCTCTTTAGGAAGCTCATTATAACATTCGCTTGCATTTTACGAAAAACTACATTTGAATGTTGAAGTGTTATGTCTTGGAATGACGAGGGTAGATTTGTTGCGGCTTGATATTTGGTTCATGAATGAAACGGTTTTCAGTAGTTTCGATGAATAATCTGGTTTTCCAGTTCTCGAGACTTTATGCACACGTATCAGGAGATGTAAATGTCTCAATTGTTCTAGTCGTAACCAACTAGAGGATTTCATCTTAGCAGAGATGTGATCATATTTACGCACCCCATAAGAAAACCGCAAACATAAATTTTGTATCCTTTGAGAATCAGTTTGTAATAATGCTGGACCATATATACTATCGCAATACGATAATTTTGAGAATATCAAAGACTCGCAAAGTTTGAGTTTCAGCTTAAAAGAAAGAATATCTGTATTAGTATCTGTAAAAAACTAGTATGTTTTGTGAATCTCAAATCGGAGTCCAACCAAAGTCCTAGATTCTTGTTTTCTTTCACAATGGGAAGAACATCAGTGCCAATTCTGATTTGCAGCAGCTCAGTTGCGGACTCTCTGACTCTCTCACCATAGATTTTTTAGAATTGAGCTCCAAATTATGTGCACACGAAATTTCAAACAAATATTTCAATTCATCATTTATTGAGGCTTGTGATTGCTGCAAATCAGAAGGTTAGAATGAAAGATCAATCTGGGTATCATCTGCATAGTGATGAATTGTACCAGGTGATTCAATAACGGTTACGAGGTACAGTATCTCAGGAACTAATAGTTTATTAAACACGCCTCCTGGCGAGGGCGGTAAGAACCAGAATGGTATGTATAGATCTTTATTTCACTCACCAAACCTTCCCTCCTCGAACCATACCCTTTGTTAGCAATTTATTAGTTCCTGAGATACAGCTTCTCGGTTACCCTTATTGAATCACCTGGTACAATTACTAATAGAGTTATGGAAATCAGATATGTATAAAGAAAAACGTAACGGTCCAAAAATTGATCCTTGTGGAACTCCAAAGGATACTTGTAATTCCTCAGACATCTTTCCGTCTAGAATCACCTTCTGTGTTTGACCGGATAAATAATTAGAAACAAGAGATACCGCTTTATGTGTAAATCCAAAAGACGTCAATTTTTTGCGAAGGATATCGCATGGTCTAGGGTGTCGAAAGCCTTACTGGAATCCAACAGCACCAGACAGACAATTTTTTTGATACATAGTTGAATAGAGAATTTCAAGACGAATAAAATTGGCTACCGAAATATACAAGTTGCCATTTGAAACGAACAATGTGGGTCTACTTCCGATCAAACAGGTGGTTGAAGAAAATTGCCATCGAGTTCAAGGGGAGCGTCATCATCGATGATATAGCCCTTGTAAATTTTAGATCTTTATCTCTTCAAATGAAAAAAACTACAGGCTGTTACATGTCTCCTGTGTCACATTCAACTGTATTATAGGTCAACAGCTCGTTGTCGAAGCAGCCTTCACGGGCAACCCCATCCCCAGCGCCGAATGGACGAAGGACGGCGCTCCTCTACTACCCTCCGACAGGGTGCTGATGACATGCGACGGCCGGCGCGTCGGTATCCGTATAGACAAAGCGACGCCCGCCGACGCCGGCGTTTACGGGGTGCGGATTGTTAGCCCTATGGGGGAGGACAAGACGGAGGGGAAGGCTAAGGTCAGGAAGGTGTTCATGGCGCCGACGTTCACGCAGCGGTTCGGCGATTTGCAGCAGGTGAGTCGAAATCAAATAATAATAATAAATGATGATATTGAGTCAGCATGAATGTACCGGGTCAGTGAAAATATATCGAAAAACATTATATCGAAAGACAAAATATCGAGAACAAAATATCGAAAAACCGAATATCGAATGGAAAAAATATGTGTTGTATTTGAAATAAGGAAGTTAATAATAATTCCGGAATAACTGAAAAAGTAGCAACATCGAGAATAACAATCTCAAATCCACCACGTTTTTAAATCACCCTGTATAGATATTCAGAGAAATGTAAAAAACGGTTACCGAGATATTCACGTGGTTCCTTACTTTTGCCCAACCCTGTATGTATAATTATACCTGTGGTACATTCGGGTCAGTGAAAATATATCGAAAAACGTTATATCGAAAGACAAAATATCGAAAACAAAATATCGAAAAACCGAATATCGAATGGAAAAAATATCGAACGGAAAAATGTCGAACGGAAAAAATATCGACTGACATAACAGCGAATGGAAATATTATCGAATTACATAGTGTCGAAGGGAAAAAATATCGACACAGTATATTATCGAATAACAAGATATCGAAAAGGAAATAGATATTATAATTAATAAAACAACTGACTTTGATAAGTTGATTTGAAAGCTGGTGTCAAAATGTCTCCGAATTTTCAATATGTTTCTAGCCAGAAGGGAAATAATAAACTAGATCACAATGGTTATTTATACACCCGCGAGAAACAATCAGACACCGTCAGCCAAGATCCAGTCGGCGAGAAGACACACTTTCCGTATTCAGTGTGTGATGGACTATGTAAGTGCCAATATTCCATTCACACCAAAGGTGCGACGGATGGACACCACATTGCGTCGCACCCATCACACCCAATAGAGCAGTGCTATCAACCATCGAACAACACTGCCTTGAAAGGATACAGATGTTAGTGGCAGCGAAACAGTTACTCAAGAGGCGAGGGAGAGGGCTGGCGAAAAATATACAATTCCGCGAAAAGCTCTCTCGCTTATTTTAACCGCCTCCAAGTGTTTTTGACAATCCGCCGACTGCTGATCAGGTGAAAACCTTCTAATGGGGGTATTTATGCGATGAGGCATCTATTCAACAGAGATACCCCAGTCCTGGCACAGGGCCTGGGTCCGAGTTACTGCACCAACCGATAACGACTGAAGGGGTTCGAGAATCCTTCAAAGGCTCTAAGAACTTTGCTGCTCCTGGTCCCGACGGGAGCAACAACTTCTGGTGGTGAAAGACAGACTTATTAGGACTGTCCACCATAGGATTCTCAATATCATGAAGAACACTTTCGGAAAAAAGAGTTGGTCTACCAGATAATGTACCTTTACAGATACAGTGTTTTGTTCGAAACTCTGTATAATATGCAATAGGTGATTGAAAAGCATTTGGAAATGCTTCATGAAATTGTTTCCGGCAGCTTTGAAGTGAATATTTCCACGCTCCATCAGGATTACTATTACTTCTGAAGTGTGCCATTAATAATGAAGCATCTATTTCACAAGAAGGAAACCATATTGGTAATCCCAAAAGGATATATGAATACTTTTCTAGATGATAATAAAGATACGAGTATTTGTTCGCCTTGAATTTCTCATGAATATTTCAATAGCTATCGATAAAACATTTACTTAAGGATATCCATTTTGAATTCACCAATGATATATCTCATGGATGTTCACATGAGGCTCAGGAAGAGAAGAAGTTGGTATTCGAGAATTCTTAAAAATACTAAGACGGAAACGTCAATGAAGAACAGAAGATTTCAAGCGATGGTTATTTTTATGAATTTCTCTGAATCGGTTGGTTTTTTCCTAAATGATATCTATTTTTTATGTTATGTCTTGGATGGCACGAAAGGAAATTCCTATTAGGTTCGAATAATATCGTGCGTACCTAGGGAGGATATGGAGAGAAGGAGGTTTCAGAATTTTGCTTTTGAAGTTCATAAATCCTTCGGAATACTTCCATTGGCGAAGAATTCCAGAGTTTTTCTGTTCCACAGACGGTAAAGTGCTTCTCGATATATCTGAACGTTAACAACGAAAAGATGACTGGGGTTGCCAAGTTCATCTCTAGTGTTGCTAGTGATGAAATGATTCACATCACAATACTGATCATCGATGGACATTTTATGTACCAAAATCCGACATGAAACGAGTATCCATTATGTGAAGTGATATAATAAAGTTGGTACAGCGATTTTCTCGCTGCCGCCATATTGTAATGAAAAAAAGCATGTCTTATTCGCCAATATCCATATTAGTGACAGAGCATCAATATCTTCATAGATATTTTGCTATTGTCACAAGATGTTATCTTGATGACAAATTTTCATGTCTTGTTTATGTAGGAATGAAGCTACCCTAACAACGCGGGATCTTGCTGGTACATCCCGCTAAGGTCCTACAAATGTCCCAATGTTTCAGACTTAGGTACGATATCCCAGAGATGTTTCTCTTGGGACATCATCAGATGTTTTCATTGGATGTTCTAGAAACATCCCATTCGATCTTTTTTTATAAACAATATCATGGTTCCGTATTCGCTAATGATGATTGACATGATTGAATAGTTCAAACAATTGTGTCATTTGAAACATTGAAGAGTTGGTAAAAAATAGAAATCAAAACTGTATTCGTACTCATATACTTATATATACCTATACCAAAGCCGGCTAATTTCAGTAATTTCATCTATAATAAATTGAAATAATTATACTAAATATTCCTCAATAGGATTACCAAAGTACCTGCTCAACTTCATGAACCATGTAATAAACGACAAAATGGAAATATATCACTCCAGCATATTTATTGCTGAATTTATTTGTTATACCAGCCGATAGATGGCGGTACAACTACGTTGCTAAGAGTTACTAACAGCCGTCGGCCCAGCGCCAACGAATATGAGCCTCAAACAACTGTTATCAACTTCCATAGTTATTGGACCGCACCGACCTTATATTTTCGGATTCGGAATTCGGATTGTTACTTTATATCTGGAAATAGGTCGTCCTTTTTCAGGATTTCAGATCGAAAATAATTCATACCGTAGAAGTTTCTTTAAGTACCCTGAATGTCTCTGGTACATCCCGTATCATCCCACAAACATTCTGATGGGATGTTCATAAGACATCGCAAATGCTGACAAGGGTGTTGCCAGCAACATCCCAAGAATGTCCCAAGGAAAATAGGGATTTTCCAGAGATATTCCTATCACCCCATATGGATGTTTCTACGACGTCTTACAGATGTTATTGTGTTATTAGGGTAGTTTCTCTGTTGATGCTCTGAAATAGGTCGAAGTTCTATGATTTCCATTAGGTATCGTTTCTGATGGAATAATGATTGAACTCTACTATTTGTTTCAAGCTTCCAGAAAGAGATGCCAAATTCCCATGCAGAGTCACCGGAGTACCCCAACCGGAAGTCGTATGGACCAAAGATGGCGAACCACTGAGAGAAACCGACAAATACCATATCAAGAGAGACGGAGATTTGTGCTGTCTCTACGTCTTGAACTGCACAGAAGGGGACGCTGGGGTTTACAGGGCCACCGCTATCAATCAAGAGGGGCAAGATAACTGTACAGCCACTCTGGAAATTGTCAGAGAAATGTGGGTAACAAAATTAATCAACTATGAAAATCATCCATTCTTAAAGTGGCCCCACAGCATTCATAAATGAAAGAAGAAACTCCAAGTCGGTCGACCACACTTTGTATAAAAAACTACAATCAGGAAGTGATTGGTTTCGGCACAACTACCATCATCAGACTAAATAAGACCTAAAATACATCATGCATGAATGTTAAGGAAAACATGTACAAGGTGGGCCAAAAGAAGTCATCCGATGTTATTTGGTTCTCTTTTTTTTCTAAATGAAAAGCTTCGATTCTGTTTTTTAATTATGTTTATTTGAACCTCCAGAATTGAGAAGATGATATCGGCCAAATAGGCGCCGCCACAATTGATTTCTTCACGGGCTCGTTTTATGGCATTTTTCATCACTTCGGCAAGATCTTCGGGCGACAGATTCGGGCATTCGTGTCGAATGTTGTCCTTGAGGGCTTCCAGGGTCTCAGGCTTGTTCACATAAACACAAGACTTCAAAAAACCCCACCAAAGAAGTCTGCAACGGTTAAATCGGGCGATCTTGCGAGCCAGAGCAAATCGCCAAAACGAGAGATGAGGCGATCTGGGAACGCCGCCTTCAGAATATCGGTTGTGGCTCGCGCAGTGTGTGCCGTTGCTTCGTCCTGTTGGAACCACATGTCCTCCAATCCTTATTCGTTCAATTGCGGCAAAAAAAACTCGGTAAACATGGCCCTATAGCGCGCATCGTCCACTGTTGTCGTTTGACCAGCGGCGACCTCGAAAAAAAATGGCCCGATGACTCCTCCAGAGTAAACAGCGCACCATGCAGTCACTTTGAGCAGGTGTAATCGCTCCTCGTGCATCACTCGTGGATTTTCAGTGCCCCAGAAGCGATAGTTCTGCTTGTTCACATACCCGCTGAGGTGGAAATGAGCCTTATCGCTCATTATGATTTTTGTCGAAAAATCGTCCACGAGATTGAGGATGGTTTGGCTTGGATTATTCCGCTTTCTTGGGGAGTGTATCGCTCCATGGCTTGTTCACTTGTATTCTACATCTGTCTAGTACACAAATGTCGAAACAGATCTGACATTGGCCGCCATTTGCAAAAATAAGAGCATCTTCCAATAGGGTGATTTCTTTTGGCCCACCTAGTATATGGTGTCAGAATGGAACAAACCTGTTATGGGTCAAGAAAAACGAACAGTACCATGGAAATCACAAAGACTAACCTTATAAGTTTCGTGAAGTGTTGGATTAAGTGACATTCTTTAAAACGGCTCTGACTCTAATGAGATCGATCATTTCAAGAAAATTTTGAACGTTTTTCCATCGATCACATGTTGAAAAAGAGCAGAATATAAAAAAAAGTCAAAGAAAGGTATATGGAGAATCAATCTGGAGGATTGACAGTATTGACATAACGTAGACATGGGACAAGGTAAACAAATGACAGGAATATGAAATTGGTTGTCAATATCAGAGGAAACTAATATATACAACCTGGCAATCAAGAGTAACAAGAAGAAAAAGAATAAGAAGAAGAAAGGAAAAAGGCAGAAGAGGAAATGAATAAATAAGAATAGTAGACAAAACACTCGAAACTCTTTAGGTTTGTCCAGTCTAGTCCGACTCTGTTATAATGTTTGCAGATTGCAATTTCTTCTCATTATTTCCTTCTTTCTTTCATTCTATTTCAGTCTTTTCCACCATGTTTCTTGTTTTGTCTAGTCTTCTTATTTATTTATCTCCCTTTCTGCTCTTTTCCTGCCTTCTTCTCATTCTTTTTCTTCTACTCACTCTTATTGATTGCTAGGTTGTGTATATTAGTTCCCTCTGAATTTCATAGTCCTGTCATTTGTTTACCTTGTCCCATTATGTCAATAATCTCAATCCTTCAGATATATCTTTATTTGACAATGTTTTTTTAAATCCTGCTATTTTTCAACATATGATCGATAAATAACGTCATAAATGTTTTCGAAATTATCGATCTCATTAAAGTCAGATTTTTCTGACTCTTCAGCCGTTTCGAAAAGTTTTACTGAATCCAACAATTCACGAAACTTATTAGGTTAGTCTTTGTAATTTCCATGATACTGTTTGTTTTTCCTGAACATAACAGGTTAGTATATAACAGGTTAGTTTCATTCTGACACCTTAAACATGTTTTCCTTAACATTCCTGATGTATTTTAGGTCCTATTTAGTCTGATGATGGCCCTTGTGCCGAAACCGGTCACTTTTCGAATGTAGTTTTTGATATAAAGTGTGGTCGACCGACTTGGAGTTTTTCTTTCATTCAAGAAAATTGATGACCGATTGCATGATTATTTGTTTCTCATCGTCCAAATAACAACTCGGTATATTATAGATCTTGTTTAAGAGATGAACAATCAATCGCAGAATATCCCACAATCATATATCATAACATAAACAATTCACAGTTACATTATGATATCTACACATGAGAGATACTAAATAGTTAACAAACTAGATATGGAAACATTGAATCCCTAGGTAAGAAATAGAGAGGGAACATTTTTGTTCGAATACTAGGCAAAAAATGTTGTACCTAATTTGCCGTCTGAATTTCAAATTCTGCAAAATTCATTCACCAATACCTGAAACTTTCCTCACGAGAATCTAAGTTGAATATGGATGCAAAAATTATTAATAATCGTTGTACCAGAATATCCTTAGATCCAAAATATTCAGGAAGGTTATTGGAGACGTTCTCATTCCAAAAACGTATTATAACCTTTAGATTAAATTTTATGCCAGGTATGTGATTTTTCGATACCTGAAGCATTCCTCACGAGAATTCCAGTTGAAGTGGAATGCAGAAAATATCAAAAATCGTTATTCCAGAATATCCAAAATATTCAGGAAGGTTATTGAAGACGTTCCCATTCCAAAAGCGTATTATAATCTGCAGGAATTTTATGATAACAAATTTCAGGTCGAGTATGTGATTTTTCGATACTTGAAACATTCCTCACGAAAATTCCAGTTAAAGTTGAATGCATAAAATATTAATAGGTAATCGTTATGCTAGAATATCTAAAAATCCAAAATATTCAGAAAGGTTATTGAAAGCGTTCTCATTCCGAAAGCATATTATAACCTGCAGGAATGGGCTTATATCACAAAAAACTTTTATTTCATAATTCGATAGAACTCACCCAAACTAGCTCACCACCGCAAACCATTTCTTGCTGTGAGCTCCCTACGTTTTATAAAAAATTATTGAAATCCCCGATTTTTCGGACCTCTGAAAACGAGGCGATGATGTGACATCAAAACCCTAATATTGAAACAAGACTATTCCAGACAGAGATGAATGATACTTGATTTCTGACAGAATGAATTAGCGCGAGATCACAGTTGAAAGGATTGATAATATATATCAGTTGCCTCAGTCTCCGTCGGGCGTTTGGTATTTTCTTTTAACTATGGCGAGATGAGGTTTCTACGTCATAAGAGGGTCCGTTTTCAGAAGGTACTATCATTTATGTCCAAAAATAATACATTCCGTTAACTTTTCGATCGAATTATGTCGTCAATCATTATTTATGTATAAAAGGACCATTATAAACATGGTTTGAGTTGAAAGTTCTACTAAGGTGGACACGCCCATTTCATGATAACAAATTTCAGTTCAGGTATTTATGTGATTTTTCAAAATTCAGAACTAGCAGAATGCTATCCCTCTCCATCAGCAACATGAAATCTCAGATATACAGGGTCTCCCAAAACTGCTGGGAAACAGAGCTTCCACGTGTAATAGCGGTGAAAATAAGTTGATAATGTCCATTTCATGTGTATACTATAATGTACCGTTTGTCCGTGGAAAGAGTTCCACGTTTACATTAATAGAATCAGGTGCATTTCAATTTTTTACGTCGAATTGACCTTCATATTGATGGAGGTGAGCGTTAAATCGAATATTCTTCATGAAAAAATTTCCACTGTCAAATAGATGTTGTATAATAATGTCATTACACTTGTACTGGGAATATCTGTCAGCAGTATCGGGAAAAATAATTATTACCCCAGGAATATTGGAGTAGGAGGTTTTGACAATAGTAATAAATTGAGGATAATCAATTTGTCTTCATGTTCGAGTACTGTATCACCACCTTCAAGAATGTTAGGTGGTGAGGGTAGTTTCAATTCTTCCATAATTTTTTTTTGGGGTTTCCTCGATATCTGATATACCCTACTAAATGCACCTTGGTCAAATCCCATTGAATTGTTTCACTTATTTCTGAACAGCGAACAAAAATGTGTTTTTTAATCTGAACTCTGATTACTCCTCACTGACCCGTACATTTTGGGATATAAGTCATTTTGATCATCATAGCTTTGTGTCCTAGCAATTTTGGGACACCCTGTATTATGAAAATGTAATAAAAAACTTCATATTATTCAAGCTATGTCAATAAGAACGATGTTCTTGGACAATACAGTACAGTTGGATTGATTGACTCATTGTTCACAGCAAAGCACAAAAGAAGATCGAACCCCCGGTCTTCCTCAAACGCATCGGCGATACGGAGCTCTTCAAGGCCATGACGGCCAAGTTCACAGCCTGCGCCTCAGGAATTCCAGAACCCACCGTCGAATGGTTCCACAACGACAAGAAGCTATTCCCGTCCACCAGGATCCGGATGGACAAGGATACGGCGGGGCTGTTGAGATTGGCGATTAGTGGGGTGGATGTGGATGATTTGGGAAGGTATTCCTGCAAGATCAGTAACGAACACGGCAGCGATATTTGCCATGGTACTTTGAAGTTCGACGAAGGTTAGTTTGTCCGCATTCATCAACAAATAAAATACGCAGTATCCGTATTCAACTGACAAGCCAACTGCACAATGGGGAAGTTTCCTATATTGAAAAAAAAATAGGAACTTGACTCCTCCACCATTCCTATGACGTACTTTCTGAAAATCCACATTCACACAGAGTTGAACTACAATTCCCGTGCCAGTATGACGTTGCCGACATCATCAATATGTCTAGATTTCCGAAACTTGTTTTTTTAATGCATAATAACTATATCACAACATCAATGGGATATAATAGGTTCTTCAATCCTACTTTGTCAAGTATTATGAATAATTCCCATAAATCTCTCATTGACTGAATGAAGTTGCTTACTGATAAAGATAAATTATGATATTTTGCGAAAGTATCTATTATTTTTCACTATCGTTATATCACAATATGTTATTCATAACTTGTCAGTCATTTTTTTGGTAATTAATTCGTTCCTTGATAAAACGGATCTATTTTCTACAAGAGTTGCAGATTATATCTTGCTACAGTGCCTTATACTCCAAGTCCGTCCACACCACTCGAAATACTGACAGGCACAACAAGAGGAAGGAGCCATGGGTGTCGGCTTCATTCTGTTCTGACCGATGACAGTAAATTAGAAGAATAGTATCATTGAATGTAGCCCATAGTGATTCATTGATTCAATGATATTTTCATGCGGAGTCGAGCTCTTTTCGAGATAATCTAATGCATAAATAACAAAACCATAACCTGTCAGGATGGAGCCAACCACCCTCTGCATTCCTGCTTCGAGTGCATTTGTGGTTATGTATGTTTCTGTTCACCAGCTTCACTGCTTCTTCTATTTTTTTCATTCATTTTTCATTCGTTTGCTATTCGTTAGCTATTTGCTAGCTATATTCTTCATCATCAGCTATTTCAGACTAGATTCACAATGTATGTCACAGTTTGTCGCCCCGAAAATTAGAAATTGCTCAAATTTGAAAATGAAATCGACTTAGACTTTATCGGTCGTCATTCTGTACAGCGTGGACATAAAACTGGAAAGTTCCGAACTTATTTTATCTGACTTATCTGAAGGAAACTTACCCATTGTACGACAGCGTATCAGTGCTACAATTCCTTCATTTTATTCAATCCAATTTTTCTCAAAATATGGGTACTGCGAGGCTCTCGAGGCTGTCAATTCTAGGGGTAAACTCTGATGACTTAGGGAGGTATTCGTGCAGATCAGTATCGAGCACGGCAGCGATATTTGCCTGCTACTCGGAGTTTTTACGGAGATTTGTTTGTCTACATATATCATATTGAGCAGTATACGCTCTATATACGTTTCCCACTGAGAAGGCAACTGCAAAATCAATCACACCATGACGCATCAGCGCCACAACTCTTCCATTTCATTGCATCAAAATCTCGAGATTTTAAGATGTATTCATTATTTCCCGAAATTCAGAAAATGTTTCTCAAAATACGGATACGGCGGGGCTGTTGAGAATTGAAGCTATTAAATTTTGAGGCGATCACGGATGATCTGGGGTAATATGCGTACAAGACCAGTAACGAGTATGGCTCTGATGTTTGCCATGCTACTCTAAAGTTTTATGAAGGCTATAATTTGTCCACATTCATCTTCGACAAAATACTTATCTTCATCCTTCATCAATAGCGCTTCTAGGATTTAGTTGTGATAGGTGATAAGTAGGTTAATGTTCAATAATCACTTATATTATAATTCGTCGTAAGAACGATGTAGGGAGACTCTTATTGCTAATATATAGGGTGAATCGAAAATGTGTACCGAGTTTTCTGGAGATGATAGCACATTGAGAAATAATCATGATTTGATGAATGAATAAATGGCCCAGAATGTATATTAGAGCAGATGAATCCTTCCAAAATTGATCAAGTCAAGATATTTTTTCAGCATAACGTCCAAACGGTGAGAATTTATCTTCTTCGTTTATTATAAGATACATTTTTCTGATACACTCCCACATTTCTGGAATTGTTAGGAGGGGTTTTGACGTGTGTTGGTCATGATTTGTCGTAGACAACTTTCTTCCTCGTATTCTGTTTGGTAGAGAAACGGGAGCATCTGATAGAGCGAAAAAACTTACATAAGAACGGTTCTTTTATCGGAAAACGAAAAATTTAACCGTTTTTGAGATATTTGAGTTTTTGTAGTGACATGATATCAGCAGATGAATTCATTAGTAATAATATTTCAGGAGGCTTAAAAATTTTTGGCTGGAAACAATATCTCTATATTTCATTCTGAAACATTTTTTTTCACACAATCTTTGCACAATACTCAAAATTGTTTCAGAATTTGGAACGCGTCCGGAGGAAACGAATAACCAGTAATTTCTTGGGATCTCAGTTGGAAATCTCACAAATAATAGTACTTTGCGAAAAAACTGAACAAGGAAATCAACAATAACAATTCTTCAAGATCAATTTTATTTTCAATTCACATCAACTCAATATACCTTGGTACAACAATAATCTGTACCTCAATAATATTTCATGCAACGATCATGAAATGACAGCTATAAATAAACGAGCAATATAGATTGCGATCGTTATATACACCATTTTTTTCGACTAATAAATAATGATAAAAATATATGAATCCATTCTAAACTATATATTTCAACATAATCCAGCATCTCCGATCAATGAATTGCCTGTACTTTTCACGCGTTGTTGTACCCCATTCACTATGGAGAATATCAATTCACTAACGAACAATGGTTGTCAATTCCAAAACAAGTTCCTTTTCTAAATATGGTTTTCATACTCAAAATAACCAAAGGTCTTCAGCCAACATATTTTAATGAATTTAATGTTCTCAATAGCCAAATACATCAACACCAGACAAGATCAAATGCATATTTTCTTATAAATGTATACTCATACCCATACTGGTGGTGGCATGAAAAATCTTTCAGGCCCTACGGGAATTCAATAATTTTCCAAATGCCATTAAAGAGGCAAAAATTGTGAAAGGGTTCAAGAGTGAATTGTTGGAATATTTGAAGCGTTAGTTGGTTGAAAATGTGTGTGAGTATGTGTGTACTTGATTATATCAATATTTTTTTATATCTCTTATTATGTATTCTCGTTTGTACCTTTTTGTCGTTTTCATTTTTATTTTTTGATTACTGTTATTTACTTTCAGATTTCAATCATGTTATTCACATTCAGATTTGAATTCCAATATTATTCCTGCACTGTGTGAAACTCAGAATTATCATTATGTGTTATATCTGAAACTGTTGGATTCTGTCCAAAAAAGGGCAATTCGTCTCGTGGGTGATGCCTCACTCACAAACTCACTCACTTCTCTGGAACACCGTAGAAAAGTTGGTGATCTGGCTCTATTTTATAGATTTTTTCATGGACAGTGCTCTTCTGAAATATCAACAATAATTGTACCTCCCTTGGCAGTCCCCGCGAGATTAACCCGTCGAGTTGAGGCTTCGCACCTCTTCGTGGTCACTTTGGAGACCTGCTGAATATCTCTTTCCAAAGACTCGTTCATCCATTGAACAGCGAGGCTCTGGAACAAATTGCCAAGGAAGATGTTCCCCGAGGCATATAACCTCCAGAAATTTAAGAAGAACGCCAATTCCTACCTTATTTCCCTTGGTTCTCACGATGTTCTCTGATTATTACAGGATATCCCTTTTCGTGGGAACCAGAACATCAAAAAAAAATAATAATGCAGAAAAATACTACTACTATCATTTCGATGAAACCGTGAAATCGACGTTTTTTTGTCATTCGCAGGCCTCGAACCGAAACCAAAACGCCCCATCACCGACCAGTACGCCGACTTCGACAAGTACAAGCGCACAGGTGCGCCCATGCCGCTCTCCGACCCGCCCATCATTTCGCGCATGACCGACCGGCACTGCACACTGTCATGGCGGCCGTCTATGCCCGGTGGGCCTAGGCCGCCTGTTACCTACCAGCTGGAGATGTGCGAAATGCCGCACGGCGATTGGTTCACGGTACGGTCGGGCATAAGGAGTTGCGCGTGCGGGGTGAGGAACTTGGAGCCGTTCAGGGACTACAAGTTCCGAGTTCGTGTAGAGAACAAGTACGGGATCAGCGATCCGTCTCCGTTCGCTTTAACTCACAGGTGGGTACTCAATCGACGACAGTGTGTATTTTAGACGTAATTATTTTCGTCTCAGAAACGTCTTTCATATTTCCATCGGAATGAACTGCTTCGAGATGTGTTTTCTGTATATTTTTCTGCTGCTTTTATATGCTTGCTGACTCCACGAATAATGCCTCGAGCCATAACGCCGTTATTTGTCGTCCGATTTTTATGAACATTAAACAAAATGTAATGATTCCTCAAACATTCGCCCATGTGTGGAAAACACTCTATATGGAGTAGGTCACATTTTATCCACACCTTGAAATGGAGAGATGAGTTTTCATACGTCCTGAAACAGAGAGACACTTACCTGTTTTGAGAAGTACGTCCTGTAGACGACTGGTGGTGATTGCTGTAGCATTCCCATTCCAACTTCAACTCACAGAATGATAATAAAAATGATGATATCATTAGAAGGACACCACTTCTTATCGAGTGAAAATTAGAAAAAATAAGTAATGAATCTTCTCCTCGGCCCAAGACAATCGGAGAATTCTCAAACACTCTCTCGAGTGCTTTCCATCGTGTATATACGGTGTTTTCTGGAATGAGTCATCTCCAACAGGATGAAGAACTTCCCATAATTAATCATTCAATCAGATATTACCCATCATTCTTAGAGAAGTTGCACAATGATGAAAAATTGATGAGAGTGAACATCAGTTTTACTCACCGGATGAACAATGTGACTAATCTTTCATCAAAGTCACGAACAATATGGCGTCAAAAACCAGGGCACGATATTGTTCTCTTCTATGTACCGAAGGTTCTAGTGTCATTGATCAATCGGTTAAAAGATATATGACCTGAGATTGGCACAAGCAGTTCTATTTCCAGTATTGATGATCCAAATATCAAATTATACAGCGAAAACCTTGAGTATATCACAAGAATCGTGCAGAGACTGATTGAACAAAAGAACATGAAAATAAGGAATTCACAATAGATTTCATAATGATACCGAGTCGTATATAAACTTCACCGTTTGAAGCAGCAAGAAGTTATTGACAGTTTGTTTGCCTTCTACAGAACCTGAATACATAACTCAATGTGAAGCTACTAAAAATAACTGTGAATGGAAATATTCAAGCAGATTAGAAATATTGGACAATGGAGAAGTTGAAACGCAATCAAAACAACATTATATTATATGAAAATGCCAAGGTGCACATTTTCTCCTACAATGGGCGTCTTTGAGATGTCTCTTCTATAGATCTTTCAATTCATCATAGACTTAATTCACAATGAATGCTTCTAGCCATATCTCCGTTATTTGATTGTTCCGATTTCCATGAACATAAAGCCAATTTTTATACATTTCTGAAACATTAGCCTGTGTGTGTACAAAACGATCTATATGGATAAGTTCACATTCTATCTAGACTCTACAATGAAGACGTGAACTTCCATGTTTCGAACCTTCATTTTTATACGTTTTGAGAGGTAAAGAAACGAATCTGTTCTGAGATGAACGTCTGGTCTGGTGGTGATCGCTGTTGCATTCTCATTTCACAGATTCGACTCAGAAGTCAATATGGATGATGAAGATAATGAGATCAACACATATTCCCAATTGCTTCATATTATGTGTTCAGGATGTTCTCAATGATGAAGCACCTATTTCAGTAGAAATAATATTAGAGAACTCACCAAAATAAATCATTCAATCAATTACCTATTATCTAGATAAATGCAGACAAATGGAAGCAAGCATCAGTAGCTATAATTACCTGATGAACAATATAACTCCTGATGCATCAAAAGCACAAACAATATGACGTCGAGAACCAAGGCAAATTCTATGTCATTTCGATTATCAAAAAACTCTCTAAATGATACATCATATGAGATTACCAAAAACAGTTCTATTTTGAGTAGGAAAGAAGATAATCCGAATTTCAGTTCGAACAGAGGAAACTTCGAAAATAATTCAAGAACCGTACAGACGTTGATCAGATAAGAGATGATGGAAACAGAGAATTCACTCGAGATTTCATTATAGTAGCAAGTTATATAGAAATTTTTTTGGTACAGCGGTTTTATCAACTCCTACAAAGCCCGAATACATAAGCTATGTGAAGTTACAAAATAAGTGTATGTACATGAACATAATCAAGAATGTTGGACAATGAAGATGTAGGAACGCGATCAAAACATCAGATAATTGAAATATGATGTAAAGCAGTTCCAGGCCGCCCTCCACCTACCAGCTGATGTGATACTATACTGGATGACTTCTCACATGATGGGGATATTTCGATATCCCGGAAGAATCAAAAACTGTCTTTCTCCAGTGTGTGCTTCTCGTTTGAATATTGCAAGATGAGTATTCATTGCACTTCCATGATTTCCTTGTCCCCAATTCCAACTGTACCATGCAATGAATTCGCTAATTGAATATTTTCAACTGCTTGCTTAGCTCTCTAATGAAAGAATTCATTGTCGAATGATAATAAGCGCTAATCAATAGGAGCGATCATCACTCACACTATCAAGTGAAAGAGGAACTCAACCATACTAATCTGGAAATCACGTTATTCACAATGTGATTTCTTCAGGCAGAAACTAGAGCTGGAACTTCCCAAATTCCGGCCGTATCTGCCGCCCGAGATCGACTTCCGCCCCGAGACCTCCCCCTACTTCCCCAAGGACTTCGACATTGAGCGCCCTCCCCACGACGGTATGGCGCAGGCGCCACGATTCCTGCGCCAAGAACACGACACCCAATTCGGCGTAAAGGACCAGGGCGCGAACCTGTTCTGGTTCGTGTACGGGTACCCGAAGCCGAAGATGAGCTACTACTTCAACGACGAGCTGATCGAGACAGGCGGGAGATTCGATTCCAGCTACACCAGGAACGGTCAGGCTACTTTGTTCATCAACAAGTAAGTTATCCCTACCCCTCAGAGGCTAACGACTTGTCATCACGGGAATGGTGAACCCGAGATACCCTAGCCAGATATTAATCAAATTTCAACTTGTCTCGCGTGATTTCCCTCATTATCTTCCTTTTCGAATCTATCCTATCGACCTTCCTTGGCCAACTCCTCTTCACTTGTTTTCCTTCAAGCCCAACCTCACCATCAAGTGGTGTGGGAAGGGCGAACCGCGGCCGCTCGACCGATGAAGCATTTTGGAACAATATTTGCTATCTTCGGGTCAGATGGGACTGGTCAACGAGGCTCTGGCAACCTTATTCAAGCTGTGGGGACCAGTGGCTATGGAGAAACGGCATCAAATTCATATGTGATGTCTCTTACGGGTCCTCTGGGAAACAGAGCGACATCTCACAGTGAACAGCCTCAGCCCTGTACAGGGGCACCTCAGGGATGGACGAACAACTTGCTCTGTCACTCATAGGAGAAGGATAACTTCTGGTCTCGTTCGTAGACGAGAACCGGAATCTGCAGGGAAGTGAACGAAAAGGTTCTTCAATATTGAAGTGGCCCTTAATAATCATCATGAGAAGTTTATAGTTAAATTGATAACAGTTGAGATACAATAGGCCACTGGGCCTGATTATGTCATCAGACGAGCTTAAAAACGGAGAGGAGTGTTTAGTGGGTATACCTTGGAGTCTAGGGAATCCTACACAATCGAGTTGGGGATTAGACCCATCAGATGTCCCTAAAGGATTTCAACTACTTCGACGAAAAAAACGTTAACGTTAGCAGAAGTCAATCACGAGATTTCTTCGTCAGCGATCATTTCCATGAGGTAAGGCAAAAATTGCTCATCTCATGTCAAAATACCTACTCAGGCTCAACTCAGTTCTGAGTTCGGAGTTAGGGACGGTACTTGTCGAATCCCGATTTCCTCTCTGAAATCAAGCAATGATCATCCATGATTCTTGACTTCGCATTGAGTCGTGTACTGATTCAGCATTATATTTTGAGTAGTATAGTATTTTATTTCTCTCTGTCTCTCGGTCTCTCTCCCAATACGGTGTCAATAACTAGGGCGCGAACATGTTCTGGTTCGTGTACGGGTACCCGAAGCCGAAGATGAACTATTATTTCGACGACGAGCTGATCGAGACGGGCGGGAGATTTGATTCGAAATACAGCAGTAGCGGACAGGCTACTTTTTTTATAAATAAGTGAGTTACCGTCAGCGGAAGTCGATCACAAAATTCTCTCGTCAGCAATCATTTCCATAAGATGAGAAGAAAATTGCCCATTCATATACGAAATGCCTACTCAGACTAAATCCGGTCCTAGCCTCAGAGTTACAGAAAGTGATGCTTATCGTATTGTGTACTTTGACGCAGTTAACGGAAGACGATCCCAAGAATCTCTCCGAGGAAGTCGAATGCTTACTCAGACTTAAATTGATCCTGACATCTGAGTTACAGACGATGCTTTTTGAATTTCGAATTCTCAGTTGAAATCGAGCAATTATTACCCAAGATTCTTGAATTTGTATTCAGTCGTGAACTGATTCACCATCAGATTTCGTTCTAGTATAGTTTTTTCGTGTCTCTGTCTCTATCTCTTTCTCCTGATACGGCTTCAACGATCAGGCGCTAACCTGTTCTGGTTCATGTACGAGTACCTCAAGCCGAAGATGAGCTACTTCGGTCATGTTCCGATATGCCCGAACAGTACTGCCCAGTAATTGTTATCGTTACGATTGCCCTGTTAGAGGCTGGAAGTTTACTGTTGGTCACTTGTGGAGTGAATGGTGATGTAGTGCCAGTATTCATGGAATGTCAGGTTAAGCGTTCGAATGGTTGGGTATTTTCAAATCCTTCGGGAATATGTACATGACAACTACGAAATAGCCACAATGCTCAAAGTGGAATGATATGTTAAATAAATGCAAAAAGCTCAAAGTCATTTCCACACAGTGTTCATAAACTGAACAACAATGGTAGATTTCGGGAGAAAAACAACTACTTCCCTGGCTAATGCCACGCAGGATATTGAATTACATCCTCCCGAAATCTATGCATCGACTCGTATAAACGAATACTGATACAAGTGATTCTTTCCTGAATGCCCTATTGATTTCGATTAAGCAGGCCGCTAGACAACCACAGACCGGTTTCGAGCTCTTTGACTCTCATCAGTGCAGTGTAGTCTCCAGCCAGCAGTCCTAAGACCGCCGACTCAGCGAAGCCTAGCCAAACAAAATCAATTTGGCATTTTATCCACCCCGAGGCGTCTTTCATCGACAAAATGAAAGTAACGCCATCTGAGTAGAACAGAGGAAAGAATCACTCCAAAACTGAAATTCCCATACGGGAAATTCCCATAGGGCATTCAGGAAAGAATCACTTGTATCAGTATTCGTTTATACGAGTCGATGCATAGATTTCGGGAGGATGTAATTCAATATCCTGCGTGGCATTAGCCAGGGAAGTAGTTGTTTTTCTCCCGAAATCTACCATTGTTGTTCAGTTTATGAACACTGTGTGGAAATGACTTTGAGCTTTTTGCATTTATTTGATATGTACATGAATTAAAACTGAAAAATTTCATAGAGGCAGTAGATGCTGAAACTTACACACACAATTTTTTTTATATACTCCTAATATTATAGCTAACTTTGGATGGATTTTCACATACTGACACTTCCGTTGACTTTGATTGATCTGAAAGATCCATCAAATCTACTTGTGCTGTGAATTCAAATCGCTGGTTTTAACCAACACTCTATTTTTTTTCTTTATCCACAGTTTTTTTATCGCTTGGAGCGCACGAAAGGGAATCCCTATAATGTTCAAAGAACATCATGCGTTCCTAGGGAGGATAGGGACAGGAGGTAGGTATTGGAATTTTCTTTGAACTTTTGGAGAATATATGTTGTTGGGAATACTTCCACAGGCAATGAATTCCAGAGCCTAGCCGTTCTATGGATGAAGGAGTTTTGATAAAGTGCTGTTCGACATCTTTCGAGGTTGACAACGAAATGATGTGCTCACTGGGCTTGTCTAGTTCGTCTGACTGGTAATGCTAGTGAAGGGATGATAGCAGAGATTTCCGAAGAACATTTTCCGTGGAAGTATCGATAGAAAAGTAAAAGGTTGCCGACCTTTCTACGGTGTTCCAATGATGTCAGAGAGTGAGTGAGTGTGGCGTCATTCACCAGGCGAATGGCTCTTCTCTGGATGGAATCTAAGAGCATCAGCGTATGTTTTGGTGCTAAACCCCATATGTGGGAACAGTACTCTAGAACAGGCCGTATCTGCGCTTTGTAGATCATGAGAAGCTGTTGAGGTGTAAAGTAGCTTTTCGCACGGAACAAGAATCCGAGTTTTTGTGAAGCAGCTTTTGCGATGGATCTGACATGATTATCCCATGAAAGAGTGTTGCTGATGGAAATACCAAGCATAGCTATGGTGGGCTTGGTGGGGATGGTGGAGCCAGGCATTACAATATCGAGCATACTGAGTTCCGCCTCTCTAGAGAAAATGCAGGCTTGAGTTTTGGTGGCGTTGAATTCGACTAGGTTGTTTGTTTCCCTGGCTGTGATTTCAGCAAGGTCTTCATTGACAGCATTGACCTGCCTGCGCCGTGAGTTCTTAGTTTCCTGGGAAGGAATGGGAATTCTGGAAGAGAACGCAGTATGGAGGGTACTATCATCTGCAAAGCTGTGTATGGGGCAAGTTGTTACTCCCAACAGATCATTGATATGAAGAAAGAATAATGTTGGTGCCAAAATTGATCCTTGTGGAACGCCGGAATTGATGCCAATTGTATCAGACGATACACCGTCCACCACCACATGAATCGATCTGCCTGAAAGAAAATCCGATATGAGATGGCATAGCTGAGGTGGTAAGCCGTATGATGATAGTTTGTGGAGGAGTCCTTCGTGCCAAACACGGTCAAATGCCTTCGATATGTCCAACGCGACAACTAGAGATTCCCCGTGTTTTTCTAATGAAGCTTGCCATAAATGGGTGACGTAGGCAAGTAGATCTCAAGTAGATCTTCGGTGGCGAAAGCCGTATTGTCTATCATTGATGATTCCCGAGCTCTCCAGATATTTGATAAGCTCAATATTGATGGCTTTCTCCATCACTTTGGAGATTACTGATAACAGGGCAATGGGCCTGTAGTTGTTGGGCAGGTTTTTGTTCCCTTTTTCAAGGATTGATTTGACTCTAGCTGACTTCCAGCATGATGGAAAAATACCCGACCTATACGAGACGGTAAACAACTTGCAGAGAATCGGTGTTAAGTCTGGTGCACATTTTTGAGGTAAATAGATGGAATTCCATCAGGACCGTTAGCCTTATTCGTTTTGAGACCAATCAAAGTTCGTCTGATAGTGCGTTGACGGAAGACGATTTCGGGCATTCGACTCTCAACGGGTGGAATGTCTGGCGGCACTTTTCCTTGGGAATCTAAAGTAGAGTTTGCTGCGAAAATTTCTGCAAAAATATTTGCTTTCTCCTGCGATGTTGTTTCCAATCATCTCCACTCCTGATTCTCATGGGTTGATCACCAACTGCTTTCCTGAGGTAGATTTTACCATCATGGCAAAATGCTGATGATCACTTGTAATCTCGTACTTTCTTGAAAAGTTTTTGATTTGCTTCTGTTAGGTCATCGTTAAAATAGATATTTTTGTCACCATCCAGATTGCATGCCCTTGACTTCAATCCTCTCATATCTTCTCATCTCTTATTTCTGAGTTCATTCTCTTGAATACCTTTCTGATCTAGGACATCAATTTTTGCTCCAAGTTCATCTAATCTCTTCTTAAGATCATTATCTTCCTTTTTGAGACGTTTCAGTTCTGCAATCGCTTCTTCTTATATATTTTTCTGCTCATCAAAATAGTTCGACATGTGCTGCATAGAATGAAATTGTAAGTTATTCAATTGGTATTTTTTCGAAGCATTGGGTAGCAGTTCATTTCATCAAAAAATGTATGCATTCATTCATGGCACTACCATATTTCAGGTATATGCACATTAGAACTGAATTCACGCATTTTTTATGTGGGGAAATTGTTCGTGAAACATCGTGCGTGATAAATACTGTAGTCATTGAGATCATTGATCACAAAAGAATATCAATTGAATGCAGAATACAAAGATTCTGATTTTTTTTCTGAAATCTCAATTTTCTTTTCAGAATGCTCGAAAGAGACGTCGGCTGGTACGAAGCTGTTGCCAGAAATGAACATGGAGAGGCCAGGCAAAGAGTGCGTTTGGAAATTGCCGAATTACCCTACTTCCTCAGGAGACCTGAAATAGATTACGTCATGTTGAGAGGAAAAGCCAAGTTCGAAGCTAGAATAGTCGGAGTGCCATATCCAGAAATCAAGTGGTACAAGGACTGGAAACCATTGGCCGCTTCGACCAGAATCAAGGTGAGTTGGTGAATGGAGACTGGAAATGTCGTTATTTGTAGTGGATACATTGAAAAATCCATCAACAATAATGTGATTTACGAATTCATAGTATTGTCTTATCGAATCACAGTTAAGCATGTCTTGGATTGAAATGACCTCAACATTTATGATTCGAGTTTTGTTTTTCTTCAGAAAATTCAACCCAAAAATCTGCTTGTGAAAATGGCTCATCCTACTAAGTCGTAAGCAATGTCTCCTGTTCAATTCCCAGGCAACAGGATCCTCATTGAATTGTCAGCTCTCATGTAATGTTATGTTAGGATTTAAGAATATTTTAATTGAAATAATTAGATACCTTCACCTTTTGCTGGTTTTGTTGGCTTCTTTAGTCTTCTGGCCTGTTTTTCCCCTGAATCTCTTCTGGCACAAGTTCAAGGAGCACTCAATAGTATTGTTTGTTGATTGACAGGGCGCTATTTGGGTTTAAGTTTAGTTTCGAGGGTTTAGTCATTTCAATATGCTGTGTAGGGCGTATGCGTAATGAGCAGATAGATTTTTGACTGATTTCTTTCGGGTCGAATCGGCATGGCATGATGGAATTCCACCCATTATCCCCAAAAAATGTGCACTATAATCAATACCAATTCTCTGCAAGTTATTCACAATCTCGTACTAGTCGGGTATTTTCCCATCTTGCTGGATGACAACTAGAGTCCAACCTATTCCAAATTTGAGTAAATAAAAAAATGCCAACTATAGGCCTATTGCACTGTTATCAATAATCTCTGAAGTGATGGAGACAGCCATCAACATTGAGCTTATCTGGAAAGATCAGGAATCATCAATGATAGACATTATGGCTTTCACCAATAAACTAGAGATCTACTCGCTCACGTTATCCATATATGGCAAGCTCCATTAGAAGAGCATGGGAAATCCTTAGCTGTGGCGTTAGACATATCGAAAGCTTCCGATCGTGTTTGTGACCAAGGGATCCTTCACGAACTAGCATTATACAGCTCACCATCTCTTATCGAGGTTCCTTTCGTATCGTCAGATACTAGTGTCGTCAATTCCGGCGTTTCACAAGAATCAATCTTGGCACCAACATTGTTCCTACTCAATATCAATGGTCTGTGGAGGGAGCAAGTGGTTATATACTCCCAAACCACGCCCCATCCACAGTTTCGCAGATGATATCACTCCCTATACCACGTTCTCATCCAGAATTCCCATTTGCTCTCACTAACTAACTAAGAACTCACGGCGAAGGCAGGTCAACGCTGTTGATGGAGATCTTGTTGAAATTACAGTCTGGATAATCAATAATCGAGTTGATTTTCCGTGAGAAAACCTACTCTATACCTCAACAGCTTCTCATGATCTACGAAGATCAGTTACGTCCTCTTCCAGAATACTGTTTCCACATATTGGGTTCAGCACCTAACTGATGCAGTTAGAATATATCCAGAGAAGAATCATACGTCTGGTGGGTGATGCAACACCTACTATTTCTTTGATATCATTGGAACACCGTGGAAAAATCAGCGACCTCTCACTTTTCTTTAGATATACTTCTGCATAATTTTGTTCTCAAAGATCTCTGCTTTCATTCCATCCCTGGCAATACCGGTCAGACGAACTCGACAAGCCCAGCCAGCATATAGTTTTGTGATCAACCTCGAAATACGTCGAACGACGTCAAGGCTCTGAAATGTATTGCCTAAGAAAGAACTAACTAATCCCTAAAGGTCCAAAAATAATTCAAATACCTACCTCCTCTTTCTGAGCTTCTAAGGCACCTACGATGTTTCTCGAACATTATAGGGATACCCTTTCCTTTTGTGCGCTCCAAGAAATAAAATAAGTTATAAAATGCATATTTGAGTTGATAAGCCGAACAGTGAGTTTTTCAAAAATTGTGTGAACTATTTAGGACCCAAATGTTACAATACTCTACCGTTAGATATAAAATTGTTACGAAAATATAGATTCAAAAAGATCTACAAAATACATATTCACCACAATTATTCGAAATTGTATAATAATATTTCCTTAGGATAATGTGTATACATTTAGTTTCTCCGAATACTTTGAATCATGTCATATAAACATAATATGAACAGTTCACCTCAATCTTTTTCACTGAAATATTCATGTACACTTCGAACATTTCCATTCAAGACACATACAGATGTGTTTTCACCTAGGTGTCATAAACTTAATATATGCAAAACATATGGTAAAAATATATAATATGGATATTATATCCAAATAAATGAAATAAAATAAATGAATAAAAGCATTTTCTCCGCAGATAGCTTTCATCGAACCCGACCTCCACATCCTCACCATCAACGACGTCATCCTGAAAGACGAAGGCCTGTACTCGGTGAGCGCGCGCAATGTTGCCGGCTGCGCGTCCAGCAGCGCCATGTTGCACGTCGAGGAGAACGAGCATGAGTACAAGATGAGGAACTACACGAACTTGTCCCCGTTGAAGTCGAAGAGAAAGGCGTACACTGACTTCTACGATATCGGTGATGAGTTGGGACGCGGGACGCAGGGTATAACCTATCATGCAGTGGAAAGGTTGAATGGTGAGTTTGAAGGAAGTGCTGTTCACAGCCAAACGTTCCGTATTCACTGATGAAGCAGAATCTGGAATTGAACTCAAACTCAACATCAGTATCATAAAAACGTCTCGCCTTTTGTTTCTCATCCTTCTGTTCCTAATAGAATAACATGCAGTGGAATATGAACCTCGGTTTACCCTACCCACATCCTATAAAGAAATTATTAGTAACCATATTACTAATGATATTGATTACATAAAGAATTTGATGAATGATCATCTAGGTGTGCATGAAAATAGGGAATTCATCTTCTATAACATATCCTATGTATAAGCATGTTGGTGTCGAAGACAAGGGCATACAGAATGTCCTCTTGTTTTTCCTGGCGATATTTGCTTCATACAGTTCACAGCTGGAAAATTGCAAAAGTACAACCAGTTCCTGAGAGAGGCTAAAAGACCCTACCTACCAACTACAGACCGATCGCACTGTTATCTATCATTTCAAAGATCATGGAGCTCATGAAAAAACCTTGAACATTCAGGTATTATCAACGATAGGCAATATGGTTTTCGTCCTCAGAGATCAACTGGTAACCTGCTCGCTTACGTCTCACAGCAATCTATTGAACAATATGGTGAAACCTCAGCCGTGGCACTTGATATCTCCAAGGCATTTGATCGAGTCTGGCACAACGTACTACTCGCCAAGCATCCATCCTATAGCTTGCCTCCCAGCTATGTTCTCTGATAGCTAGTTTTCTCTCAAACAGGTCTTTCCATGTAGTGGTCGATAGAGTTTCATCAGACTCTCTTACCATAATTGCTGGTGTTTCGCAAGGGACAATTCTAGCACCAAAACTATTTCTACTCCATATCAACGATTTGTAGTACACAGCATCGCGGATCATAGTCCACTCCATACCGCCTCCTCTTCTAGGGCTCCAATACCAGCCAGGCAAATCTCAAACGAACGAGGGGGAAATGTTGACAACATAAATATGGGCTTGGCAAAAATTTTCGAACGGGGGTCCGATAACCTTGAAGATTTCAGATTTTCTAGAGAAAAGGCATGCTTGAGCCTGTCAGGAGTAACCATACCTTTGAAGACATCCATTTCGATGCTTGGTATCACTATCAGCAATAACCTTTTTTGGGAAAATCACTTGAGATCAATTGCTAAAAGTGCATCCCAAAAACTTGGTTTTCTGTTTCGGGTCAGGAGCTATTCCACTTCTAGTCAGCTTCGTATGATCTATAAGGCGCAGATCCGACCTGTCCTGGAATATTGTTCCCATATTTGGAGTGCAGCACCCGAACATACCCTGAAACTGTTTGATTCTGTTCAAAAAAGGGCAATTCGTCTCGTGGGTGATGCCTCGCTCACAAACTCACTCACTTCTCTGGAACACCGTAAGAAAGTTGGCGATCTGGCTCAATTTTATAGATATTCCGATGGACAATGCTCTTCTGAAAAATCAACAATTGTTCCTTCCTTGGGAGTCCCCGCGAGATTGACCCGTCGGCTTCGCACCCCTTCGTGGTCCCTTTGGAGGCCTGCAGAACATCTCTTTCCAAAGACTCGTTCCTCCAACGAGCTGCGAGGCTCTGGAACTCATTGTCGAGGGAGGTGTTCTCCGAGGCATATTACCTCCAGATATTTGAAAAGAACACCAATTCCTACCTTATTTTCCTTGGTTCTCACGATGTTCTCTGAACATTACAGGATATCCTTCTCCGTGGGAACCAGAACATAAAAAATAAAACATTTTCCAAGGAAGCATCGCAAGAATATGAAGCAAATATATAGACATATTTTCCTATAAGTAATTATTCCTTTATTACAACTATGACAACAGATGATTTATAATAACAATGTATTGAGTATTCATCTATGTATTATCTTTGAAATTCCTTCCACGCCAACCTCCCTACTTTATACAGAATATGCGATGATGAGTTCTCCTCAAGTGAAATTATCCGGAAGTAAAATACCTCTCCATTCGGATTTCCGGGCGAGAGGTGCTAGAGGGGGTTCACCATCGGCTCAAAAAGTCCTCAAGATAGACCTATGCAACATCCGAGGTCTAAGTAAGAACATCAACGATGTCCATCGACACCTTCAAATTGAAAAGCCAGACATATTGGCTCTTACTGAGACACAGGTCAATTCGTCCACCAATACGACCTATCTGCTCTGTCCTGGGTACGAACTCCACACACGTTTCAGATTCAAGGGAGGTCTCTGCCTCTACTCTAAAACGAATCTCTCATGTCAACGAGAAAAAACTTTGGAACCAAATAAGTTTGATGTCATGTGGTTCAAACTCGATAGCCAGAAACAGACCAAATACCTTTGTTGTCTCTACTTATCACCAAATGATCCATCCTATGAAGAGCTCTTCGAATTCTTGTCTCTGAAGCTTGACCAAATTCAACAGAACCATCCAGCAGCAGAAATCATCATCATGGGCGATTTCAATGTACACAACACTGCTTGGCTCGTACACTCTAACAGAACGGATGAAGCTGGGCGACAAGCCGAATCTTTCGCTATCACTCACGGCTTAGAGCAGCTTATCAAAGAACCCACACGAATTCCCGATGCCAATAACCATTCAGCTAACATACTTGACTTATTCCTCACTAATAATTCAGCACCCTACACCATCGATGTACGAGCTCCACTTGGCAATTCTGACCACACACTCATCTCCACAACCTGCCCATTTTTCATTCCATCAACTGCTCCGGCACCCCCACGTCTTATATGGCATTACAATTCAGGAGATTGGGACGGTCTCCGCATGTTTTTCTCCGAGTTTCCTTGGCATAGAGTATGCTTTGACTCTGAGGACCCTTCACAGTGTGCTGCGGAAATATCCGAGATCATCATGCTCGGAATGGACACATACATACCTCATTTTTCGAAAAGATCATCACCTTCGAAACCCTGGTTCAACAAAAACTGTTCTAGAACTGTTGCCTTGAAACAAACAGCCTACCATCGCTGGCTCAAAAACCCTAACCTCGCGACTAGAGCAGAATACGTTGATGCCAGGAATAACTGCAGCCAAACAATAGATGCTTCGAAAGAAACATACAATGCCAAGATAAGATCGAAACTCATAGATTGCCCCAATGGCTCCCGTTCGTTTTGGTCCCTTGCTAAAGCGGTCGGAAGAAATTTCACTAATAGTTCATTTCCACCACTGTCCAAATCCGACGGCACATTAGCAACAACATCGCAGGAGAAAGCGAATATTTTTGCAGAGATGTTCGCAGCAAACTCTACTTTAGATTCCCAAGGAAAACTGCCGCCAGACATACCACCCGTTGAGAGTCGAATGCCCGAAATCGTCTTCCGTCAACGCACTATCAGACGAATTTTGCTTGGTCTCAAAACGAATAAGGCTAACGGTCCTGATGGAATTCCACCCATTATCCTCAAAAAATGTGCACCAGAATTAACACCGATTCTCTGCAAGTTGTTTACCATCTCGTACAGGTCGGGTATTTTTCCATCATGCTGGAAGACAGCTAGAGTTCAACCAATCCCCAAAAAAGGGAACAAGAACCTGCCCAACAACTACAGGCCCATTGCCCTGTTATCAGTAATCTCCAAAGTGATGGAGAAAGCCATCAATATTGAGCTTATCAAATATCTGGAGAGCTCAGAAATCATCAATGATAGACAATACGGCTTTCGCCACCGAAGATCTACTGGAGATCTACTTGCCTACGTCACCCATTTATGGCAATCTTCAATAGAAAAACACGGGGAATCTCTAGCTGTCGCGTTGGACATATCGAAAGCATTCGACCGTGTTTGGCACGAAGGACTCCTCCACAAACTACCATCATACGGCTTACCACCTCAGCTATGCCATCTCTTATCGAGTTTTCTTTCAGGCAGATCGCTTCACGTGGTGGTGGACGGTGTATCGTCTGATACCATTGGCATCAATTCCGGCGTTCCACAAGGATCAATTTTGGCACCGACATTATTCCTGCTTCATATCAATGATCTGTTGGGAGTAACAACTTGCCCCATCCACAGCTTTGCAGATGATAGTACCCTCCATACTGCGTTCTCTTCCAGAATTCCCATTTCTTCTCAGGAAACTAAGAACTCACGGCGCAGGCAGGTCAATGCTGTCAATGAAGATCTTGCTGAAATCACAGCCTGGGGAACGAACAACCTAGTTGAATTCAACGCCACCAAAACTCAAGCCTGCATTTTCTCTAGAAAGGCGGAACTCAGTATGCCCGATATTGTAATGTCTGGCTCCACCATCCCCACGAAGCCCACCATATCTATGCTCGGTATTTCCATCAGCAACACTCTCTCATGGAATAATCATGTCAGATCCATCGCAAAAGCTGCTTCACAAAAACTCGGATTCTTGTTCCGTGCGAAAAACTACTTTACACCTCAACAGCTTCTCATGATCTACAAAGCGCAGATACGGCCTGTTCTAGAATACTGTTCCCACATATGGGGTTCAGCACCAAAACATACGCTGATGCTCTTAGATTCCATCCAGAGAAGAGCCATTCGCCTGGTGGGTGACGCCACACTCACTCACTCTTTGACATCATTGGAACACCGTAGAAAGGTCGGCGACCTTTCACTTTTCTATCGATACTTCCACGGGAAATGTTCTTCGGAAATCTCTGCAATCATCCCTTCACTAGCAATACCAATCAGACGAACTAGACAAGCCCAGTCACCACATCCTTTCGTTGTCAACCTCGAAAGATGTCGAACAGCACTTTACCAAGACTCCTTCATCCATAGAACGGCTAGGCTCTGGAATTCATTGCCTGTGGAAGTATTCCCAACAACATATAATCTCCAAAAATTCAAAAAAAATTCCAATACCTACCTCCTGTCCCTATCCTCCCTAGGAACGCACGATGTTCTTTGAACATTATAGGGATTCCCTTTCGTGCGCTCCAATCGATAAAAAAAAAAATGTGGAACATAATTTATCGCAATCTGTAATGGCAGCTTCAAGTATCAGTACAATTCCAGATTCTGTTTCATCAATCAAAGTGCAAAACTTAAAAAGCAAAACGTACAGAATTTTGTTGTGAACGGCGCATCACTCGTTTTTTTTTTCTGTAAAGGAAAAATAGCATCTTGCAAGCATCTCACAGATATCGCGTGTTGTCCGTGGAGTCAAGGGTACAAGAATTCAGAGACAGCCACTGTTAGAAATGATGTAGCTAGACGCTCGTCTATCCCCTTCATTCTCACGTTCAGCACTCAAACGCTGCTGCGCTGATGCTCTTAGATTCCATCCAGAGAAGAGTCATCAGCCTTGTGGGTGATGTCACAGTCATCAGAACACCGTAGGAAAGTCGGCAACCCTCCACTTTTCTTTAAATACTTCCACAAAAAAATTTCCTCCAGAAACTCTGCTTCATTTCATCACTAGCAATATACCGGTCAGACGAACTCGACAGGCATAGGAACCTTGTCTCTCTTCAAGATTCCTATTCATCGCACATGCTTCAAAGACTAGTCATCAATCTTATACTTTGTTGCATTTATGTAGGCTCTTATTTCAAACATGAGACAAATTGGTTCCGTACCGGCATAGGCATACTACTTTTCACATCACAATCAGTTGACATTCAGGAATTCATAGTAATTTTGATAGAGGTCCCACATTTCATGACTCAACTATGCCGCTGAGGTGTTGCACGGCAAATGCGAGTTGTGCCCGTTCTTGTACAACGAGCTGGACATGCTTGACGATCTCAGGCACAGGAAGCTCTTCTCTCTTCACATTTCTTATTCATCATACAAGCCTCGAATATAAATAACAATCATCAATTAATACGTTTTTTATGCTTAGTTGCATATGTGGGCTCTCATTTTCAACATGGGACAAATTTTTTCCATAGCTGCATAAGGACACTTCTACTAACATCACAACTAGTCGATATTCATAAATTCATAGTGATTTCGATAGACATCTCACAGTTCATGAATCCCTTTTATTTTTCCATTCAGGTCGCAACTATGCCGCCAAGGTGATGCACGGCAAGGGTGAGTTGCGCCCGTTCATGTACAACGAACTGAACATGCTGAACGAACTCAGGCACAGGAAGCTCATCTCCCTCCACGACTCCTACGATACAGACGACTCTCTGACGCTGGTTCTCGAGCTGGCGGGTGGCGGCAGTCTTGTGCAGGACCACCTGCTGAGGCAGGAGTGGTACACGGAGAGCGACATCGCAGGATTCGTGAGGCAGATGCTGCAGGGGCTAGACTACATGCACGACCGAGGATACGGCCACATGGGTCTCAATGTGAGTAAACTGCCATTCGAGAAGTTCCTTGAAAGTAAATTGAAAGTATAGTCTTCGGAGTGGAGTGGTGTAGTTCATAGATGAAAAACCCAAGATCATCTCCAGAACCTTTGATGAATGAAGATATAAAATATAAACTCGACCTCTCTGATAATTTTATGAAGGATTTTTCAAATACAGTCAATTTTTCCTTCCTCTACAAATGTATTCACTATTTGTTCTCCAGATCATGGAGCATTTGTCTTTGATTGCTCTGTTATTGTCTACTCTAGTTGATTCTCAACTGTTTCCATTCCCATGTAAGTAAGCAATCATTGCATCTACATCCTCAATCAATACCGGGTTTTCTCGAACTTTGAGCAACTTTTCGGCTGATAATGGGCATATATATAAGATATAAGAAACATGTACCTTCAAGGTCAATGATCTTTGATCATTCAATAAAATGTGTTGAGATGACTTTCGGTTTTTTATATATGAAATTATACAGGGTTTCTATAAATGATCGTAGCATCATAGTATCTGTTGAAATAGTGCCACTCTCTGCTTACGTTGTTGACAATCGTTGAATTGACAGAATGAGTGAAAGTTCAATCTCCATAATAGGAATGCGGCACTATTTCAACGGTCACTACGATGCTACGATCATTTATAGAGACCCTGTAGTATTTGCAAAGTCAGTTGAGACACCGAAAAAAATGTAACCGGTCATACGTCGCCAAAACCCCTAAAAATCTCACACTTATCTCCTCCCCTCACCTTAGTTAAGAAGTATCGAATCAGAATGATCAACCAGATCGAAATTAGTCATCACAGAATCGACGATTATAGAATACGAAGAACTAACTTGTCCCTCTATCGACAACTATCTAACTCGCGCATGGAACCGGAACTCGCGATGTATATTTTTATGCGCACCCACTACCATATATCATTATGGCGGATCATTTGAAGGAGAATCACCACAACCTGCCACGGACAGCGACGAAGAAAGATCCCGTTTGAATAAAAGCTGTTTTCAAAGGATTCTCAGATTGCTCATACGGACACGGTCGAAATCACTCATATGTCCATTTTGAAGTGAGTGTTTTTCACCATACGGCCATTCAGGGTTATGAAAAATGAATTAAAACTATCTTTCGACTGCATCAACTGATCCTCAGTTCCTCTTCAGTTCTTGAGTATTCGTTTCGATGCCTATACGAACCTACAAAAATTACAGCCCAGGGATGTCCCAATCATATATTTGTACCGACAGTACACTTTGAGGCATGAATATCAATTATAGTGATACAGAATCCGCAAATACGCAAATGCTCAAAAATCTTTTGAACTTATTCAACTTGCACATGCTGGTGACTGAACCAACTCGAGTATCCAAGCACAGTGCTACTACTATTGATTATTTGTGCTCTAATATTGAAGATGTCATCTCTTGTACCACAATTCCTCCAGGATTATCTGATCATGAGGCAGTTGACAGTAGATTCAACTTGATGGTTAGGTACTGACTCGAGCAAAACATTCTACAGTGGAACACTATATAGCAGAACAAATTTTAGGAAGTTCCATGACCTATGCTTGAACACGAATTGGGAAAAACATAAATTCAAACTCACTTCTACATCCTTCCAATCAATTTTTTGAAACACTTGAAACAAATTTTGATAAAACGAAAAAGGAAGAAGCCGTGGATCACTCAGGGTATTATTGTCTTCGCAAAAACTTTGAGATGTCTACACTATGTCAGGAAATTATCTCATGAAGAATGTTTTCACAATAATTACCTATCTTATAGCTCCATCTATAAATAAATTTCAAAATCGCAAAATTGATGCTCTATAATGAACGTCTTGGTAGAGCAAATAATAAAACAAAAGAGTGCTGGCAGGTTATGAATGAGTTGAGAGGTAAACGGAAGATACCGCAGGAAATAACATTGCACCCTGACGCGCTCAACAACTATTATTGTAGTATAGCAGAAAGCATAACGATCATCTGTAATGTTTAATATTCCACTGGTAACCACAGCAGCCTCCGCCAGATCTCCTCTTGTATCCATGTTTCGACTGGCAATCGAATATAATGTCTTTATAAATATCGACTTGACTACCTCAGAAAAAAACCTATAGAACTGCAATATTGAAGCACATTCTTGCTTTATCAATTTGAGGTAGCCCCATTCATCAATTTTTTCATCAATCTATCAATTATTATATAGAAATTATAAATCTCGAAGCTGATCAATCCTTGATTCAATGATTGTACTCACTGTTCATATAGGTATACTAAAATCTCATTTTTTATACCTATATGTTCAATGTAGGTATAGGCATCATTACTTTCGATCTATGTTTCGAAATATGTTATTTTTATGTATAATTATCCATGTAGCTAGGTTGTAAAATCTGTATGAATAATAATAAATAAATAAATTAATAAATAACCAAATACATCACTAATACCCACAATCAATTGATGTATATGGAATTAACCAACAATGCTATCTTTCAACACTCGAATATCAGCATCAGTGAGCTCAGGAATGTAATCAACGATATAAAAAACAAAAATTGATGATATATCTATTCGAATATTTCAAAATCTCGCAGAGTCCGCACTGTGGACCTTAGTACCGTTAATTAACCAATCGATCAATACTGGTACTGATCCGCAATTTCTGAACACTTTTATCATTATACACATTCACAAGAAAGGATACAAAGACGAATCATCAAATTATCGCCCCATTACGCTCATCCCGGCACTCGCTCAAATTATAGAGAAATTAGTGAGAATGCGAAATATTGAATTTCTCCTTCATGTTTAGAGTTTTTGAAGACATCAATAGTGGTGAGGTTGCCGCTGCAGTGTTTTGTGACTCTTCAAAAGCTTTTGATTGATGCGTTAATCATGGAGTAGGTACTGCTTCGGAAGCTCCACTACTACGGGAAAATAACTCTCTTCGCTGATGACCCTACCATATTAAGGAGTGATAGATCTGTGGAGGCACTAAAAATTAAAATAACTAAAGACGTCCACATTGTTTATCAATGGAGCAAATCGAACCTACTTTCCTTCAATATTCAGAAAACTAACGTGATAACATTCCGATGTGAGGTGCCTCTCATATCTCTGGATCATCAAACTATCGAAAATAAATTGAGCACAAGGTCTTTTTGTGGACAAGAACTTGAAATTCGATCTGAATGTTTCATACCTATGCAATAAACTTGCATCAGGATGCTATTGCTGTCAGAGTGATATCAGACGAGTTGGGTTATTCTGCTGCTATGACGGCCTATTACGCTCTGATTGAATCTCATTTGAGGTATGGAATTGCATTTTGGGTAGCTTGTAATAACTGTATTCCACAGTATGCCCGACATTGTTATGTCTGGCACCACCATCTCCACCAAACCCACCATATCTATGCTCAGTATTTCCATCAGCAACACTCTCTCATGGGATAATCATGTCAGATCCATCGCAAAAGCTGCTTCACAAAAACTCGGATTCTTGTTCCTTGCGAAAAGCTACTTTACACCTCAACAGCTTCTCATGATCTACAAAGCGCAGATACGGCCTGTTCTAGAATACGGTTCCCACATATGGGGTTCAGTACCAAAACATACGCTGATGCTCTTAGATTCCATCCAGAGAAGAGCCATCCGCCTGGTGGGTGACGCCACACTCACTCACTCTTTGACATCATTGGAACACCGTAGGACGGTCGGCGACCTTTCACTTTTCTATCGATACTTCCACGGGAAATATGCTTCGGAAATCTCTGCTATCATCCCTTCACTAGCAATACCAGTCAGACGAACTAGACAAGCCCAGTCAGCACATCCTTTCGTTGTCAACCTCGAAAGATGTCGAACAGCACTTTATCAAAACTCCTTCATCCATAGAACGGCTAGGCTCTGGAATTCATTGCCTGCGAAGTATTCTCAACAACATATAATCTCCAGAAGTTCAAAAAGAGTTCCAATACCTACGTCCTATCCCTATCCTCCCTAGGAACGCACGATGTTCTTTGAACATTATAGGGATTCCCTTTCGTGCGCTCCAAGCGATAAAAAAAGTCCACTTTCATCCTACAAAAAAGGGCCTTGAGATATATAATATGCAAAGTTAATCCAAGAACCTCTTGTGAATGGTTATTAAGGGAGCATAGAGTGTCAATAGTAGTATCCTTGTTTATCATAGAGTCGGTGTGTTTGATTCACAAAACCAGAGATAATTAGGTAGTCGTGGAATCATTTTACAACACACGCCAGTCAGACATGGTAAAGCTTCCCCGACCCTGCAGTTCACTAATAAAAGATGCCATAATATATAATGGCCTGAAAATGTACAACCATCTTCCAACTACAGTTAAATCTATCTCTGATATGGAAAAATCCAGAAGGGAATTGAAAAAATTGTTAGTCCCTGATGCTTTCTATAATGTTGAGGATTTTCATGAACAAGTATTTTAGACGGAGCCTTACGTGTGCACATGTTTGTGAAAAAATATATTCAAGTTAATATTTGTTGTATACATTACATTATATCATATTATTTTATTTCAACAACATACTTAGGTTTGTCTACAAGGATTACATTCTTAAGTGACAATAAAGCATATTTTGATGCGATTTGATTCGATTCTGAAAGCGGCGTACCTAGGATATCCCTATTTGTTGTTGGGGTTACATCATGTATATTTCTCAATTCATTCGGTAATAAATTGTATAAAATAATTTCATTATGAAATACAGATTGTTGTCCATGTTCGACTTGAATGTATTCGCTATCAAGTAATTCAATAACTACAGTTCTCAACACACCAAATGGACCACTCATAAGTTGACTATATTTCGAAGACCTGTATTTTTTTTAAAAATTGACCGATCTTCATGTGGTTTTCGATATCAGATGTGATGTTTCATCGACTTCAAAGAGAGCTAGAACAATCTGAAAAAGTCCGCAAAACAAAACTCACACAGGGTGTAAAGTGGAACCATTACACTATGGTTTACATTTCCAATGCTGCCAGAACTCGAGAAATTTTTTTCTGATCAAAAGTCAGTCATATTATAATACACTGGGACCTCATCTCGGGACGTTTTCGTGATTTCTCCTTAATTGGCCATTGGAACAAAAATTCGATTTTTTTTCGAAAGTCTTGCATTTCTTGATTTTTTTCTCTAGAACTCCACTTGAGCTGACTATTGGGAAGAACTGTTTTCATGTTTCGTGGAGGATAATGAAAGACGAAAAGACGAAAAAATTCCAATATTAATTGCCCAAGTATGAGACACAGAGCATTGTTGTTCAATGTACTGAGTGAGAAGTGAAACGCGATGGAAAATAAAATTTGTAACACTTCATATCAACTAAAACTATTCGAAAAGGGTGATAAGAAAATAGGACAATACAGGGTGAAAATCTTCAATTCAAACTTGTTTCCTGATATCGATGATTCTCATCATTTTATCAACGGATTTCCAATATTAATTGCCCAAGTATGAGACACAGAGCATTGTTGTTCAATATACTGAGTGTTCCACAACTTATCTGACAAATTACGAACTCTAGAAAACAATAATGTTAGAAGAATGTGGTGACCAGCATTATCTCCAGATCTGAATTTTATTGAACATGCGTGGAGCCGAATGAAACTTGACCTATCGAGAAGGCGAGGCACCCCAAAATAATGACAACCTTATCCAGAATGGGCGGCAATATCAATAGACTTCATCAACAACCTCATAAAATCTATGCCAAACCGATTTCATGAGGTTTTGTTGAATCGGGGAGGCCTACCAAGTACTGAAATTTAGGATATAGGACTTTCTAGTTGGATCTTCATAATGCTGAAGAATTCAATAATGTCATATTTCGCCAATAGAGCCCTTTCAGAATAGTTTTAGTGGAAATAAAGTGTTACAAATTTTATTTTTCATCTCGTTTTACTTCTATAATTTTTTTTGTGATAGACTTCTTATGTAATATCGTAGTTGTGGTTGAAATTTGTCAGATAAGTTGTAGAACACTCAGTACATTGAACAACAATGCTCTGTGTCTCATACTTGGGCAATTAATATTGGAATTTTTTCGTCTTTCATTATCCTCCATGAAACATGAAAACAGTTCTTCCCAATAGTCAGCTCAAGTGGAGTTCTAGAGAAAAAAATCAAGAAATGCAAGACTTTCGAAAAAAAATCGAATTTTTGTTCCAATGGCCAATTAAGGAGAAATCACGAAAACGTCCCGAGATGAGGTCCCAGTGTATCATAATATGACTGACTTTTGATCAGAAAAAAAATTCTCGAGTTCTGGCAGCATTGGAAATGTAGACCATAGTGTAATGGTTCCACTTTACACCCTGTGTGAGTTTTGTTTTGCGGACTTTTTCAGATTGTTCTAGCTCTCTTCGAAGCCGATAAAACATCACATCTGATATCGAAAACCGCATGAAGATCGGTCAATTTTTTAAAAAAATACGGGTCTTCGAAATAGAGTCAAATTATGAGTGGTCCATTTGGTGTGTTGAGAACTGTATTATGATTATATTGACTTCATCAATTGTTTCTCAATGCTGAAGCAACCTATCGATGGAAATATCCGAAATACGTTCCAATTCACCCTTCTTGATTGTACTCAGTTATGAATAATTTCTTCTTCCCCTCTTCAGCTGGGCGATCTACTGCTGTCCCACCCAGGCGGCGACGACCTCAAACTCACGGACTTCAGCCTGTCCCGCCGCATCCAAGCGGGTTCGCACTACCCGCTGAAGTACGGCGTGCCGGAGTACGCCAGTCCCGAAGCTGTCAACGGAGACGGCGTCGGGTTCGGTCACGACATGTGGAGCGTCGGCATCATCACGTATATTTTGTTGTCTGGTCGGTCTCCGTTTAGAGGAGAAAATGACAGAGAGACTCTCAACAACATCAAGGTTAGTGATTTGTTTTTCAGATCGGTTGTCTAGGTAAAGGTTCGACTTTAATAGATCCGACTCGGAGGACCAACGTTCGAAGCTTGATAGTCAGTAGACTGTATTCGTATGGTTACATGATATATGATAATGAAATTGAAGAGATTTATATGAGGATTGCATATTTTATTGCAGTTGTTTGCTTGAACTGCTTGTTGCTACCTGTGAAAGCTCCAGCAGCTCGGCATTCACTGTTACTCAAGGTAGTCTCGAGTGCTGCTCTATATCTCCAATGGAGAACTAGGCAGTCTTGAAGATTTACTCTGAGTACATCCGGCTCGAAGGACCAATATGTTCGATGATCATATTCATTTTATTGATAATTCTTGTTTCAACAACACGTCGTCATGTTAACAATAAATAAAAATTTCTCATGCCATAGAGGGTGATACAAGTACCAAACGATTCAATAGGATCATACAAGTACAAAGCAGTAGTTATTTTGATATTATCGATATTATTTTCACCTTCAAGTCGAGCAAGGTGCTGGTGTACGATATTGAGACGAGAATGGACGTCATTACATTCTTGGGGCACTCCTAGCTGGAAAGAGCAGATGAAAGATACTCAACGAAAAGTATTTCACCTTTTTGCTCAAAGATACCGTCATCTATACTGTATAGAATGTCTGGCTCCCTTGCTCTCATAAGAATGGTTTATTTTGTTAGTGTAAATAATCGATAAGTGTTATGATCAGTAGAGTCGACTTCATAATCACTGATGGTAATTCTCTTGTCCCTCATGCTATAAGATTCTCTTGCTGGTATATCTTGATATCTAACGATATTCGATAGGATTTTTTGTCCGTTGTGTTGTTGTCTGCTTGCACTGCTTGTTTCTACCTGTTGGAGCTCCAGCTGCTTGGCATTCACTATCAATCCAGTCTCGAATGCTGCTCTGTATTCTTCATGAGAAACTCAACTGTCTTGAAGCTTTGATTTGGATAGATCCGGCTTGATGGACCAATATGTTCGATGCTCGATAGATAGTGGTCTTTATTTGTATGATTATATGATGTGATAAAATGATAATCAAATCAATATGAAACTGAATATATGATTTTTCCACGAAAAAATGAACAGAATATAAATTTTTATCGCAGAATTAAGAATGAATCTTTGAAATGAACTATTAAGCAAGAGTATCTTGGGATTTGGTTTGATGATGAATTGAAGTGGGACAAAAATATAAATGTTTTGACGAAAAAAATATCTCCTATTATTGGACCCTTGGGAAGATGTCCCGAGCTCGATAAAAAAGTTGCAAATATTCTCATATACTCAGTCTTATTAACATTTTGATGAATTTTTTGGGATACTGTTCAAAAAAAAAATTCTGTATAAAATATCTGCATTATATAAACAGACATTGAAAGTGCTATATCGTTCACCATATGATACAAAAATGAACCAGTTATAAAATAGCTGAATCATTCCCATTACAAGAAATATTCAGTATTGAAAACATGATAATTGCATAAGTCTAACACGGAATGATGAAATTCATGATCACCAAACTAGACAACATGGTTGATTTCATCTTGATATCGCGATTTTTGAATAAACAAATTACCAGATAATATAAAAAATTGTTGAAATATAATATAATTCTAATACGAACTTGAAAAATTTATGACTTCCGAACGAAATAGATAACTTTTCTCCAACTTTCGATTCATATTCAAATTGATTGTTGCCCACCAATATGAAATGATTGGTCAAATTTTATTACTTGATGTATTATTATAATATTAGGCGGCTCGGTGGTCGAGAGCGTGAAGGCGCTGAGTTCGTATGGGGACTCCCACTGAGACATAAGTTCGAATCCTAGTTAGGCCATGGATGTTTGTGTGTGTCTGCTTACCTAACCCCGCACAAGTTTCGACTTATGGGGCATTTGGTCCCAGTGCTGGGACCAACGAGGTAATGCAATGGAAAAAAAAATATTATTTTATTGATGAGTTTATTATGATGATAATTTTAGGTAGGTATTTCTGTTAACCATACTTCCTTATAAAACTTGATTCTGACTGGAAGTCAAATTTTCAATAAATGAATAAATGAATAAAAGATTCATAATAGTATTGTCAACAACACGTCGACATGTCAACAACAAACCGAAATCTCGTATACTATACAGGGTAATACAAGTACCAATCTCTTATATGTATGGGGTCATATTAGTACATACTGAACAGTAGTTCTTTCGATAATATCAATTTTATTTTTACCTTCAAGTCGGGCAAGTGGATGTTCGAGGACAGTTGGTGGTCGAACATCAGCGTCGAAGCCAGAGACTTCATCAGCAGGCTGCTAGTGTACGATAGCGAGACGAGAATGGACGTCAGAACGGCCTTGAGACACTCCTGGCTGGAAAGAGCAGATAAAAGTTATTCGGACGAATGGCGGATCAGCAGCTCGTACCTCAGCGATTACTGGAGGCTGTACAGGTGAGGAATAATAAGAATAATGATTTTCTTTTCTCTGGTTGGAAAGTGTAACAGTAACTCCGAAAGTTGTCAAAGAATTTCAGTGGCACGAATGAGCAATACAATCGCCACGTCGCATCAATGCGTCTCATTTATTTGTAACACAAAAAAGTTAACGTTAGCGTCAGCTAGGAAAGTGGCTCTTTTCTGTCACTCAGCTGATATAGTTATTTTTCTAACAATTGCGGAAAGCGATATTTTCCCGCACGCGAATGCCGTTCACTCGAACGATGCGAAGCGGAGTTCGGGCAAGCAGTCGAGTGCGGGAAAGACACTTTCCGCATAAGTTAGGAACAATATCTTTTTACAAGCGTGAGAAATTGATTGATTTGTTCAATCAGTTATTACTGCAATTAAGAACAAGTAACAAAAGTGATATATTCTCTATCTTCTAATAATTAGTGATATATCTATTGTGTGTACCGTTTGAAGCATTATGTAGGTGAGCTTATTGAGAAGTCAGCATGCTTATGGTGTTTGGCCTCTAGTTTTCAGACATTTCTAGGAAATGGGGGAAAAAATACTTCTTCTTTATTTGGTGTTTTCACTTTTTTACTAGTGCACCATTCAATAATTCCCGTGTGGTGCTCCTCATAACTCATACTTCTGCATGAATCTTACATAAATGTTTTTCTCGCACTACAACTAAATTGCGTGCGGGTATAGGGTGAATCACGCACACTTGTAGAAAAAATAGTTTCATGTTATAGAACTAAGAAAACTTTCACGTCCAGTTACATGCTGGAATCTCATTCACGAATTCATTAATTGAATACTCAACATATGAGTCTTCATTAGTTTCATTACATAATAATGATAAAATATTATCGCAAATCCATATGTTCTACAGTTTTCAGATGGTTGCTATTTTTCAGTTTTCACTATTTTCCTTTTCAAGTTTACACTCTCCAGTTCTTACATGTCTTTCAATGTCACATATAATAGATGTCAATTATGAGTAAGAGTACAGATAGTTGAATTTTCATTCTTTCATCCTCATATAAGTTTCAATGCAGTTTTTGTAAAAATATTGTTTGCATCTCGAATGCGAAATGCTTTTGCGTTATCGAATGATTATTTTACCTCGTTGGAGCTCATTGAAATAACTCCCATTCTTGAAAGCAAAATCATCATTTCCCATTCTAGATACAAAAATAACTATTTTATCGCATTTTATTCAAGAAGAGTGCAACCATTTTACAACAAATTTGAAGAAACCTACATCTATCGAAAAATGTATATCCACGTATCCAGTTATTAAACGACTCGTTTTGTTTTACGATGGGATTTTATGGGACGAGCAAAGCGAGATCCCTCAAAACACAGAGTCAGACAGAATGCCTTTCCTAACGTATTCCGTTCAATAATTCTTCTAATTTTGATAAAAAAATTCGCTCAAACAGAAATAATCAGCAGTTCTACATGAGTTTGTTCATTCATTCACCAGAAACATACAGGTTACCCTAATTACATGTTCCTGTAACTATTAGAAGGTATCCTCAAAAACAATATGAAATTAAAGAAAAAAGAAGGACTGTCAGGGGTTCAGCACCAAAACGAGTTTGGCGTTAACTTTTTATTTCATAAACGGCTATTCTGAATGATTCGAGACTTGATCTGAATATATCCAGATTATATGCGAGATCCATTTGTATAATTGGCATACTGAGTCAAGAGTATAGGTAGTGTTGACAAAAAAAGTAAGGCGTCTGGGGCGTCTCCGATAGCACCGAACGTACATACATTAAAAATGAATGTTCTCAGATATAATCATGAACATAAAAAAATGGATATATGCCGGGTGTCCCAGATTTTTTTATACAGCTAATATCTCAGTTACGCTGCCTGGAAAGATTTTTTAAAAAACTACACTTATATCAAACCGGTATGTCTTTGGACCTATTGTGTTGAAGTCAACTAATGTCAAACTACTCCTGAGAAACTACACCTAACCTCAAATTTTCAAAGGCACCCTATAATTTCTCTGAATTGTGAACTGCAGTCAATTCTTACTTCAACGATGTATCACACTTGATATTTTGACAGATGTCAAACTCGCACAATCAGCAACTTCTATATGTTAACAGCATTCGATGATGGATAATTCATGGTATACAGTTTTGGCTCACAGTGTACTTCTTTCGAATTGGGTAATGAAAACTTTCAATGTTGTTGTTCATTCCTTTTGTTATGTTCGTTTTTTGACAGTTGTTCTTGCACGCGTCTTTCAGTTAGTTTGGTAATCCAATCAAGAAATTGCCTTTCGCTTCCACTCCAAACGAGTATGTTGTTATATTATTAATTTTTGGTGAATGCCGGAAAAATTCCCGTGCTGCCGTCGAATTATACCATCAGTATTTTCCCGATCGACGACTACCAAATCATATCACATTTCCTTATGTAGAGAACAAAATGAGAACAGGGGAATTTCCAGGAAAAAGTTAGCATGTTCAACATGCTGCACCAGTGCAAACTGAGGATATGTGTATCAATGTATTGGCTTATATGGAGACTCACCCCCATATTTCTATCCGAGCACTAGCTGACGAAGTTGGAATAAGACGTCTGTGCATAGAATTATCAAAACACACAGTTGTCATCTTTTCATAATACAGATGCACCAGGGGCTACGACCTGATGAAAATTTTATTGCCACTATGCAAGTTTTGATTGAAAATAATCAAAGATTATTGGATCAGATCATGTGAAGTGAGGAATCAAGATTCCACAATAATGGAACAGTGAACCGACATTATATGCATTATTGGTCACGTAAAAATCCTCATTGGATGCGAGGAGCTTTCCAAACTACGTGGGCCGTGAATGTATTGTACCAGGAGGGGACTTTTCTCAGGGAATGAGTAAATAAATGTGGTCCTTCAAGAGTGTTTCTTGGTGGAATGCCGTTTATTATGTGAGAAGGGGCGCCAGAGCTTGTAGAAGACACAGACTAAAAACTAATACCATGGTTTAACACGTGAATGTTCGGCCTTTGCCATACTTAACGCTACATGCACATTTCCTCGATTGGCTAATCTATAATCGAAAACTCTTTACTCACCTAATACCAGGAACACTTGGGAAGATTACTAAATTAATTTTACAAGCTGAATCCAAAAGGTTATTGATTACAAGCCACTATATCTTTGGGAAGCTCGCTGACAACAAACTAGATTTGCAAAAAGTCGGTAGTTCTAAATTCGACAAAAAACCGAGTAAATAATGTTCAATATTCGAAATAAAATGGTACTGCTCGCGCCATCTAGTTCTGCTCATATTGACTGATTATTAGTGATTAATAATAAGAAATAGGTTTCTGTAGGTCGCGTATATAGTACCCAACTAGCCAAAGTACCTATAAGATTCTACAGCTCGTAGGATTCTGTTACAGTATGGTGTGCGTTGTTCGATGGAATTCTTACAAAATGACCTTCAGGGATTGCTACATGATATTCCTCAACAAGAATATCAACTTATGTGGTGGCAACAAGATGGTGCTCCACCACATAATCACCACATTGTAACCGAATACCTCGATCAATATTTTCCAGATTGATGGATAGGAAACAGAGATCATCCTAGTTGGCCTGCACGATCACCAGATCTGACGCCGTTTGTGGTTTTTTGTGAGGGTATCTAATGAAAATCGTGTATGAAACTAGATCAATACACTTGAACGACTCACAAGAAAGATTGTACACGCCTGCACTACAGTAACGGAGGAAATGATCAGAAAATCTTGTACGAGAGAACTGATAAGGCGATTCGAAGCATGCATGAATAATGATGGTAGACATTTTGAGCAGCTCTTATAATTTTTGTTATCAATAAATTCTGTGTTATGGAGTTTTGAACATTGTTCAAACTCACTTATTCTCTGTCAGTTTGACATCTGTCAAAATATCATGTGTGATACATTCAGAATTCAGAAAAAAAAATATAGGGTGCCACTTGAAAATTTGAGCTAAGGTGTAGTTTTTCAGAAGTTGTTCGACAGAAGTTGACTTTAACACAATAGGTTCAAAGTGATACGGGTTCGATACAAGTGTACTTTTCTCAATTATTTTTCAAGCAGCATAACTGAGATATTGGCTGTATGGAAACATCTATACCCAGTATATATAAAGATATACATTGAGAATTCGCATTCTCTAGGTTGTGAAAATATCAATTCTTTCTCGGTTTATTCAACAGAAAACAACTACTTTCCTGGCTATATGCCACGACGAACACCAAATTATATTCAATGAACACACGATAAGAAACTGAAAACAAAATCTTCTGAAGTAGAGAATTTGCATTCTCCTTCATATGAATATTATTATGTATATCTACATATACATAGGAAAGTGGTAGTCTCAACCTCAAACCATTATATTGGTCATACTAATATACGGACTCTTCAAGAGAAGTAAGTCCGGTCCTGGAATTTTTGATCAAAAAGAGTATCTTCCCTACTCTTATAATACACCAATATGCCAGAAATGGATCCAAATAGTTTTGTTGAACGATGTTTTTACAATAGCCAGTACGAAATCATGGAATCGTTCTACAGTATTTTGTTCGATATTTTTCTACCAATGCGGTCGAAGTGTGCTGTATAAATTGAAAAGCTACAATCGTGGTTTTCTTCCTGAGCTGTTTGTAAGAAACTGAGTTTTCCAAGTCCGGCTCTGGAATTTTCTTCCATAGTAAGTCCTCGTGTGGTGTGTCAGTAGAAGTAAATTGCTGGTGAATTTCAGCCGAAAACATCGAAACGTTCCTGAAATATCGTTCATCAAAGTTTTTCCCAGATTTCAATTAAAATGCCCTGTATTTCTGTTACGTAATAGGCAAAATAAATTTGTTCACATATACAGGGTGTTTCACAGGTAAAGGGAAATATTTCAATGGAAGATAGTGGTCACCAAGGTGGTTCTGAAAATACCATATTTGATAGGTCTCAGAGTCTTCATAACGGAGATACAGGGCGATTTATCGATTTCGAATAATTATTCATTCGTCTATATGTATTGACCCACCCAGTATATTTTTCTTAAATTTGGTAATGAGCTCATACTTGAAACCTTAAATTCATTCACCTATCGGGCAGAGTGAAAATCCAGGTTCGGCTTCAGGAAAAATGTTCATTTATTCGAAATATTAAAATAACGCACTGTATTTAATAATCAACACAGTACATCAAGGCAAAACTGAATTGGGTTTGGTGCTTTTTATTTTCCCGCCACTAATTCTCATCGTAACAATCATGAACAGAAAGTTGAAAGTATGTCAATTTGAAGAGTATTGAAATTATGAAACCAGTGTCAATTATGACTATTCGATATATTTTAGTCAAAAAATCGCACGAAAAAACTTACTAAGTCTCACAGTCTTTATAATGAAGATACAGGGTGAATTATCGGTTTGGAATAATTATTCACTCGAACTTGGGACGATGGATTCATCAACATATCAGGCGGAATGGAAATAATACCAAATAATTATAATTCGATAATTCACCCTGTATCTCTGTTATAAAAACTATGAGACTTTTCCTGAAGCTGAACCTGTATTTCCATTCTGCCTGATCGGTCAATGAATCCATCGTCCCAAGTAAGCTCAATACATCAATACCAAATTTGAGACAATATTACTACGATGGGTAGTGAGTGAATAATTATTCGAAACCTATTATTCACCCTATGTCTCTGTTATAAGGACTGTGAGACTTAGTAAGTTCTTTCGAACGATCATTTAACAAGAATATATCAAATAATCATAATTGAAAGTGGTTTCATAATTTTAATACTCTTCAAATTGACATACTTTTAGCTTTCTGTTTATGATTGTTACGATGAGAATTGGTGGCGGGAGAACAGAAAGCATCAAATCCACTTCAGTTTTTTCTCCTCTTCACGATTCCTTTGATAAACTCTGTCAATTATTACATGCAGTGTGTTATTTTGATATTTCGAAAAAATGTAAATTTTTCCTGAAGCCGAACCTGGATTTTCACTTCGCCCGATAGGTGAATGAATTCAACGTCCCAACTATAAGCTCTATACCAAATATTATATGAATATACTGGATAGTTCAATACTTATAGAGAAATGAATAATTATTAGAAATCGATAAATCGCCCTGTATCTCCTTTATGAAGACTCCAAGACCTATCAAATATGGAATTTTTAGAACCACCTTGGTGACCCCTATCTACCATTGAAATATTTCCCTTTACCTGTGAAACACCCTGTATATCAACTCACCTGGACTTCCTCTATCTACCATTAGGCTTGGCTGGTTATTCATGAATCGCCCTGTATAGGTAGTATTTATCCATATCGCGTGGTCTCTAACTCTACTCAAATGCAAAACAACTACATACAGTATGTAATCAAGTTCCTGCGTGTCATTTGTTCTCAGTAAATAAATAATTGAATGAATTTAATAGTGCATTCCAGCTATGCATTTCTGCTAGGGTTATTTTTATCGAATTCTCATAGATGTTCGGAACAATTGGCACCTTTGAATCGAAACAGTTTAGTTCGGTTAGTAGTTCAGAATGGACGACCTCAAAAAATCTATAGTAGAAAGTAACAAATCGACAGAAGATATGGAAGAAGTGTTCAAGTATCATTTGAAGTTCCACGGTGCAGCAGATAAACTTCTTGCCCTCAAGAAGATTTGCCACATTTCTGAATACGAAATTAACAAAATAGAAATGCTCTTAGCGTAAGTTATTCATAACGTTACCGGTAAAAGCTCTAGTCAAATTGTATTGAATTAGTTATAAGTCAGTATCTTGCATTATATAGGGTGGTCCAGAAGAGTTTTCGCATAAAGAATACCTTCAAGAATACATCATAACTAGAATACAGATTGTTATATTCCGATCAAATGATACTCCATAATTTCATTTTGAATTGAATACAAACGTGGTCTTTTTCAAGTCCGGCATACTTCCTTCCTACTCAATCCCGCCGCAAGAAATAAAACAACCCTGACTTTCAATATGGACATATTTTTAAACCAATTGGAACGATTTTAGCTACGTCGGTCAATGCGCATGTTCAAGATTCATGATTCAAGATTCGAGACTCAAGATTCGTTCATTTCATATCAGGTACAGGATACAAAAAACATGTTGAATAATGCCAAAAGTATACAGTACAATGAGACTTGTCAATATTGATATACTTATATAACAAACTTACATAAAGAAAGACGAACAGCTGAAAATTGATCTGTATACAGGTGATCATTGAACAGACTGAAATTGAAAATAAATCAAAATCGAGAATAAAGAATTGGAATCATTTGAAATAATTTATATCCCTGTATAATTTTCATCACTGGAGTTGGTCATTGAGGTAGTCATAGAATAGTAGGTTTCCTTCAGGATGATTTTTTCAATTTCAAATCCATAGGTTTGCATCTTTTTAATTTGTATCATGTTTGCTGGGATTATGAGACGGCTAAATTGGGATGAAATTGGATTCTTGTTTCTAGTGTTGTGTTCGTGTATGTTTAATCTATGTGTGAAGAAGAAAACTTAATTTTTCGTATGGATGAGAAGTATGTAAATATAATGACTTGGTGAAGATTATGCTCAATAAATAATTGCTCACAAGGATGTTCATGGTTTACATCTGCTATCTGTCTCAACTTTTTTTCGCAAAATAAATAGTTTTTCAGTGTCGGCTGCTGAGCCCCGATGCATGATAGAATATGATATCAATGAATGGAATAATTGCTTATACATTAGATATAGCACATCGATACTGTACTTTCCAGTTGTCTAATGAGCACAATCTTTCACATGAATATTCAATATGGAGAGTCCAAGTCAACTTGCTGAATTTTATTGTAGTTTCGACTTTTATAGTATTAGGGTTGTGCCATATCAGGTGATTGCTGTTTATTGTTGCGTTCTTTGGCCAAAATTCCATTTTTCTGGTTTTTCAATATTTAATATCAGTCCATTTAGTAAGCAGAATGAATCCATCTCTTTCATAACATTTTGTGTTAATTCATTGAGATTCTCAGTTGGCGGACATCGTATAATAAAGTTAGAATCATCTGCATATAGTATGTTCTTACCACCAGTATTGCAATTTTCTGCGATATCATTATTAAAACTACTGAAGAGTATTGGTGAGAGGATAGATCCTTGTGGTCTGCCGACTGATATTGGTTTAAGTTCCGTCTTTTGCTGGCCTATTTCGACTCTCTGTTCTCGGAATCTTCGAATGTATTTAATTTCATTCTTGGATAGAGCTGAGAAAGACGAATTCAATGATATATGATAGAATGGGTCTGAGAACACCCGTTTTGGACTTATCCATAAAGTCCTTCAATAAGTAATCAAATTTCAGAACCCTCTAAAACCGCTATAGAATGAGTAAACATTGGAAAAAAATATGATAGAGTTATGGATAAATATAGTGATTTAGGATCAGGATCAACATGTGAACCATGACAGACATTGACTGCCTACCTAGTGTCTTCGACTTTAATGTCGAGATCCCGAGATTAAAGTCGGGGGTCCGACTGTATGTCTTATATGTCAAAGGCATATAGACATTTTACCTAAAAAAATTCCATATGACTATGAATAACTCCGATTCCCTCAATTTTTTTGTATCTATTCAACAATGAGATTCTCAGCTATTGATTAAAATATGAAAAATCACCCTGTACGTACGATAATGATCGTACAGGTGTGATCCATTATTTGACATTCAGTGTACATCCAAAAAGGAGGAGTTCGACTGATCCTGATGTGATGATTATCCAATGAATGTAAAATTATTGTTTGTAAATAAATGTACAGGGTGTTTCTCAAGTACATGTAGAAAATTCAGGAGCATATTGCTGACGTCAGACTGATGAGTAACAATGGAAATTATTTATTTCTGTCCACATATTTAACGAATATAATTTAGCTCCTAACTTCAGTTTCGGAATCCCGACTTTAATCTCGGACCCCCGACTTTAATCTCGGACCCCCGACTTCAATCTCGGACCCCCGACTCTAATCTCGGGATCCCGACTTTAATATCGGACCCCCGACTCCAATCTCGGACTCCCGACTTTGAAGTCGGACCCCCGACTTTGGAGTCGGGATTAAAAAAATAATGTAGGTGGCCCTTCAGTCATGCAGAAGATGCCTCAGATCACAAATTATTTATTTGCAAATGAGCCTCGAGACTTATCAAAAATTAACACGATACAATAAATATTTTCTAAAGGGAATATCTTTCTGGACAAAAAAAACTGGAAGTTTCCAGTCCGACCTCTGAAAAGTTATCACCAAATTTGTACGGCAACATGGTTGTTTGAAACACTTGCAGGTCACTGATGATGATCAAAAATATCTCAAAACGTGACTTACAGTCACAGAACATGACATGCCAAAAATTATGAAAATCGATCTCAGCCTATACTCTTTTTATGAGCAAAATTATTTTTTTCCAAATAAATTTCAACGCCTTGTCCCAACTCAGCGAGACGATTTTGGATGTAGGTAAGTTGGCCTAGATCAACTTGTTTTTATCTCAGGAGTCCACAACCGAGCCATGTCCCAAACTTTTACAGACTATATGTGATATATCCAGGAAAGAAGGACTAACTGTGTGCTTGTCACAGAATTTTTTTTTGTAATTCTCACATTCAATTCGAAACTATTCGAAACTAACGCAACAAACTTTTTCTGCCTGTTAAGTGTCATTAGAAAGCCACTTTCAATGTCATTTGGAGGAAGAGGAAATTTGGCAGCCAGCTCCCAAACTATTGTATTATCTCCTCCTTTTTCAGGGAGTGGTACGACAACGCGTCCTGTCGCAGATGGTTCAGACGCCGGCCTTTAGAGGGCGCCTTCACCCACCCGTCGAAGATGGTGTACCCGCCAGGGGATTATGACTCGCCGCGTGCCACCCCTGTTCCGATCGACAAAACGCCCAGAAGCAGGACCACGTGGGAGGACCAGCTTCCTACTAGATCGCCGTTGAATTACGAAATCGGGGTGTTCAAGTCGGAGAGCCAGTAAGTATACAGGGTCTTCATTAAATCCCGTGCTCCACGCAAAGAACCAGGGCCTACTCTACTCACCGGGCCGTAGTCTATCCCCTCTCTTTCGACGCTGATGTCACACTAGTAGGTTGAAATTTCACATCAGTTCGTACTGGTGTGTTCGTAATTGATAGGCTATAGCTCATTTACTATAAATTTTAGAAGCACACACAATCGAGACGAAATGATCCCCGATGAATTCCCTTACTTTTGTTGAAAAAATGAATCAAATTGGATGAATCAATACCGAGTTATGGCGTCGTAAAAAAATTCCATTTTATTGAAAATCAGGACGTTGTGATACAGAATGCAATTTTTGCAAATTTGGTATCGAATTAGGATGAAACTAACTCAGTATATCAAACTAGGATAATGCATCGATCGAATAGTGAAAAAATTGTAGAGTTACCTACAATGAGTCCGAAAGAAATTGAATATAAAGAGCGCGTAAAAAATGGGCCATTATACCTACCTTACCAAATTTTGCTGTATCACGATTTCGCGGTAATTCCTTAAGGCTGTATGACACCTGTTAAATATGATGACAAATATGCTGACAAAAATGATGACAAAAATATTTTTCATGTGTAGTACAGTGAAAAAGGTGAAATATATCCAAATCAAATTTTTTTCATGAATTTAACGTTATACTTGAAATATAATATACTCTTCAGCAGGAAATAATTGATACCGAATAGGACTTTTCGTGTAATAACATATTCGAGTGATGGGATTTCTAACGTCATCAAAGTGCGTCCTGATCATCTTTAGGCATAAACGCTGCTGAAACCCTTCGACATAAAGGGGATATATATATCATACCGATTTGTAGGCAATTAAATTCCCTACAAAAAAGTCAGTGTCAACATATATCCACAGTTGATAGGATTAGCATGGGAGGCGTCCGAACTTTCTGAACTATTCTGTAATGAACACCTGAATCATCGTTCTACTCGAATTGGAATATCGGTTTGTTATTGGCCCTTGGGAATTTAAAAATCAACTCAGTCAATCTAGATACTATGAGGAATATTGTCATGATTGAATCATTTCTGTAAATTGAATATTGGAATTCTGGTAGCTGTTTAAAGAAGGACAATTCTGAATGGCGTCAATTAATTTTGATAGGCGATATTTCTGAAACTAATGATCGTATATCAGTGAAAGTTTGTTCATCTTCTGGAAAATTCTGTTCTGTACAAATTTGACTTCCTGATATTTTTTGCTAACTGTAACCGTTTTCCCGAGGTACATCAATGAAACGGGAAAGACAGTTTCCACTGCGTTGATTCTGTCCCTACTTGTGTGACGTCACGAAAGCGATTCTCTGGCCCGGTGAGATAGAGTAGGCCCTGAATGAATTCAATGTAAACACCTGGAAAGGATCTTCTGTGAACTACGAGTGAGGCAAAAAGACTGTTCAGGCATCCCGCAGAGGTTACGGATACCTATCTCTTTCTATCTTATGTTGGCTTAATGGAATCGCTCGCATTATTTCTGATATTATTTCGTGTTTTGCTCTTATTTGAAAGTAAACATGATCAAATATAAATATTCATTGGGGAAAAAGGATAATGTTGCAATCAATTATCATTCAAAAATAATGTTTCTTATTTTTTAAGACTTAAAAGTGAAATTCCATTTTTATTCATACAGGATTAGGAAGTCAAATGAATACAAAATTGAAATTACATATTCTCATGCAAATGTCACAATAAATTGTACAGGGTGAGCAAAGCTCAATATCTCAGCACTATCAGAAGAAATAGAAAAACGATAGAAAAAATTTGAAAAGAGGTTCTTGAATCGTATTGAGTACCTCAACTATATTTCAAGCCTAATTTTCACGACCTATTTTCCATAAACATTTCACTTTTGGAAAGTGAATGAAAGGTGAATGAGAGTACAATGTTTGGACAAATTGTTTCATTGAAGATGAATATCTGTGTCGCCCAGCATGTACACCTCCATTTTTTTTTTCTGGAGGAAGAGAAGCTCCAAAGACAAACCTTAAAAGACAATATGAAGTAGCTCTCAAGTTTGAGAATTTGATCTTGTAATTCCAACCTTCAAAATGTTTTTAAGTACCTCATCAAGATTGTCATTCTCCTCTTTACTTTTTGTTTCAGTGTCTTCACTTTCCTTTGGAATTGAATAGGCTTTCTCGAATGAAACAGTTTGTGGGTTTCATTATCAATAATCTTTGAAACTTGGGTGCTGAAAGTTTTAGGAAAATCAATGGAACCATATGGAAAATATTATCCTTAGAATCCAAGTTATGAACATCCACACACACATCCAGGAACACATTCTGAAAATGAATTACGATATATAGTTTCTCTATGAATCTGAACAATTTTCAACTTATCCATGAAGGACAATTTCTGTTTGTCTTGCTTGTTTCGCATCCAAAGGCATTACATTATAAATAACCATAGTTTATCAATTCGAAATCACAAACCTTCTCAACATGGAAAAGTAACTTTTCCTGTCACTTGGAGAAAATATTTTCTTATTGGTTTACTTGCCTATAGACTAGCTATACCTTTTCCTTATACACGTTGAATGGAAAATAAATGATAGGTTACCTACTTAAGCATTGGTCGGTTAGGTAATGGAAAATTGCATTCCTGTCTGTTTCTACTTTCCACATTTACGTATCACAATTAATTGTCTACTTATAACTCAAGGAGAACAATGAACACAACATATTTACAACTATTCAGTATGGAAGAAATTATTTACCCTTGAGAACCATGATATACATGGTGAGTCATGAGGAACTGTAATACCTAATGACCATCAGACGGTGTCTTCTCCTTTTCTTCACCAATATATAGGGTGAATTATGAGATTTGGCAGGAATATCTTTTGGGCATAACTTTTCAACAGCTCCTTCGATTCGTCTGATTTTCCCATGGAATATTCCTCAACTGAACCTTTGATCGACTGACATTTTCAGAATCAGGAAAATCCAGGACAGCTTTTTAAAAATTTCTATAGTTTATTTTTTATCAAAGAGTTCATTCTGTATATGGTTTTTGTGATTTGTGACAGGGAATTTCTAAAGCACACAAACAAACATCAAAAATTGAATATTCAAAATTCTCCTCATACTTTCACAGACTTTTTTAAATAACGATAAATTATAAGCTCAAACGGGAGTTCAACAACAAATTCATTCATTGGAGAATAATTTCTTCGCAACGCATAAGTTTCACAAATAAAAGTAAGACTCACATTTTCGATGCTTCAGCCCAATGGAAATCAACATGTTCTTTCATTTCCAGGCATGGATTTCGTCATTTCATTTTTGTGGAGGGTAATAATCACCCTGTAGATCTTTTTGAATTCAGTAGATGTGGTATCTGATTAGATGTTAATGGTCATCGATTCAAATAATTCTAGATAGTGGAACCAAAAATAAAGGCTTATTAACAATTATTTTCCGAAAGCTATACTGACAAAGGCGGATAATGATTCTAATACGGAAAATGAGTAACCAAATTTACTGAATAAAACAAATCGAATATATAAAACTATGAATTGGAATCATACAATCATTTATAGCGATGACCATCAACATTTCCTCAGATACCCTATCCACTGATTCAAAAAAGATCTACAGAGTGATTATTATTCATCCTCCACAAAAAAGATGATACTTAATCCAGGCCTGAAAATAAAATGATCTGTTGATTTCCATTGTGTTGAAGCATTGAAAATATAAATCTCACTTCAATCCGTGAAATTCATAGGTTGCGAAGTATTAATCTCCAAATAAATAATGTTTTCGCCAAAATCGTTTTTACATCACAGCACACTAACAGCCTACCATCGCTGGCGCAAAAACCCTAACCTCGCGACTAGAGCAGAATACGTTGATGCCAGGAATAACTGCAGCCAAACAATAGATGCTTCGAAAGAAACATACAATGCCAAGATAAGATCGAAACTCATAGATTGCCCCAATGGCTCCCGTTCGTTTTGGTCCCTTGCTAAAGCGGTCGGAAGAAATTTCACTAATAGTTCATTTCCACCACTGTCCAAATCCGACGGCACATTAGCAACAACATCGCAGGAGAAAGCGAATATCTTTGCAGAGATGTTCGCAGCAAACTCTACTTTAGATTCCCAAGGAAAACTGCCGCCAGACATTCCACCCGTTGAGAGTCGAATGCCCGAAATCGTCTTCCGTCAACGCACTATCAGACGAATTTTGCTTGGTCTCAAAACGAATAAGGCTAACGGTCCTGATTAGTGGAGTAAAATCCACCGAAAAAGTCGCTCCGTTCTCGAAAAAAATTTTTTCAAGGTATAACCAGTTCCGACCTTCAAAATATAATGAAGTACATATTTTTCTATCAGAATATCATTGGACGACATTTTTGAGTGGGGACGAACTTTTTTATTTAGAAAAAACTGAAAAAATAAAGAATTTTCTAAAACACAGATTTTGAAATATATCTCCTCGTAACTCTAAAACTACAATAGGTATGGAGATCATTTTTTTTTTAATAGAAAACGAATTCTTTTCTGCTTCTCACGATGGTATGATTACAGTATAAATTATCATCAGTTTTTTGTAAATTGATTGAGAACGCCAGATATCACTTTTCATGTTATATTTTTTTCAACAATCGACAAACTTTTTTCTTGTTGATTTTTTTTGTATATATGGAGCGAATAAAATGTTGACAAATAGTCATAAAAGTTTTTGAAATAACAGAAATTTGTATATGTATTATAGTTTTCGAAATATGATTTTTCAAAGATGTAGGTACGCATGGCATGAATATGCCTTTCGCGACAAGAGCGTGTTGGCGCGACTATAGAGCGTAGTTATAGGTTGTAGGGCAGTATGCATCAATCTGTTGAAGATGCAGTGTGTCATTTGCGAAAAGAGTGTATCATATAATGATAAAAAAATTACAAAAAATCCACGGATACAAGGCTTGCTCTCGTTATTATCAGCAGCGGAAAGAAGAAATGATATTTGTGGATCCCGTATTGTTATGCGAAGAGAGCTGATTCTGTCTGGGAAAGAAAAAATTATTTACCATAATGAATGTAGAAAAAGTGACACCATCATGCACAATATTCAAATATTGCCGAATTTCACTGGTTGCCAGAAAAATACAGAAGCGGGACCATCAACTCGGAATGCAAATGTGATTTTTGATATTGGAAGAATGTGTATCATTTGTGATAGGGGCGGAAAGAGGAAACATCAGAAATTAGTATCTGTTCAAACAGGTACCTATGTGAAAATGTTTTCGAATTATAAGGACATTCGAAAATATTTCATTGAGATCACAATATCATTGACGAGTTAAAGAATAAGGATAATAATATATCATTATTCAATATTATTATATTTTTTGAACAATCTCGAAATAATTTTCATTTGAAATGAACGAACTTTAGAAATCTCATTATTCATTTGCCATATCAAAAGAAGCATACTATGAGTAGAATATCAATTATTATGAACTGATCTGAATGTCAATCATTCGGGAAATGAGTATACATCATGTCGTGACGATTTGACTAAAAATATAGATATAAATAGGAACTTTTTTATTTTTAAATTATAATGTGTAGAAATATTCAAACCCAAAGTTACGAATTAGGATGGATACAAAATTATGATTTATAGTTGATTTTATTTAACGATAGCATGATTTTATTTAACGATAGCCATTTTAATAAATGCTATCGAATTATAGGAACTGAAAAGAAAAGTTTTGATAAAATAGTTGACTCAGCAAAGAAACGGAACGATATAAATATGATTGGGAAAATTTCTGGTTATTTGCTCATGATGCAAAGTATCACAAGTCTTGTTACATTCAATATATTGCCCCAAGGAATATTAAATCATTTATAAATCAGTCGAAAGAGAAAAAACATCATCAATTATATCACCAAGACATTCAAGAAAATAGTGAAGAAAATTTCGCAGAACAATTTAAGTCAGGATCCAGTAGCTCCGAAGGAGAATCCGAATTTTCCAACGATTCAAACGTAGAATCCGAAATGCAAATTCTTTATAAAGCTGCAGGAATAATAAAAAACAGATGGCAGAATTTCCGATACCTAACACATTTCCAATCAATTATTTCTAGATGTATATATCAATTGAAAATAAGGTATTCATCCCTTATACCATATATCCCTACTGAAAATCCGGAAAATTTTTGTTGGAAACACGAAAACGAATGTTGGAACCCTGTTTTTACTAAACAGGAACCTATTCCAAATTCTGTAAGAAAAATCCTGGCCATTCATTGTGCCGATAAAAACTGCACAAATAATAAGTGTATATGCATGAAAGAAGGGTAGAAATGTTCTAGTGAATGTAAATGTAGAGACTGCCAAAATACATTCAGGGATCCAGTTGGGCCAGAATCAGGAAATGAAGAAGAATACTAAAATGAATATAATTTTTTGTTTGATAGTTTGGTTTAAACTCGATTATATTTTGTAACTTACGAAATCGTTTCCATTATGAAAAATATAAATTGCAGTATTATTCTCCTCTATACTTGCATCATTGACCTTGAAACCATCATAAGAACAATTTCTCAACATAACATTGTGCACTTATGGAGCGGGTATTGGGAGTAGCATAGGCACTGGTATTGCGCTGAGCGCGAACAATTACCGGAGGCGCGGAATTAGCATGTTTTTAAAAAATCATACCGTCAAAACTATTTCATATGTATCGAATTTTTTTAATCTAAAAACTTTTTCGACTCATTATCTCAATTTCCTTCGCTGATTGTATATAAAGAATTCGAATAATAAAAAAGTTTTTCGATCAGTGAAAATTTCATCTCACGGTTTTCACTATTTCATATTCTCAACTTATTCAGAAAAAAACCCGATTTCATTACATCATTCTATTGGCATGATGAGAAGCGCTAGATTATCTCCTTTCGATCAAACGAAAAAGCGAATCAATATCTCGAGTAGTTCTCGAAATATTGAATAATATGTTTAGAAAAACACGATTTTCGAATATCCAACATTTTTCGTATTTTTTTGAATAAAAAAGTTCGTCCCCACAGAAAAATGTCGTCTAGCTGGACTATGAAGGAAAATCACATAAGGAACATTATCTAATAGGTAGGATTTGGTTATACCTCGAAAAAAAAAAACGGCACATTTCATCCCCGATTTTACTCCTCTAGATGGAATTCCACCCATTATCCTCAAAAAATGTGCACCAGAATTAACACCGATTCTCTGCAAGTTGTTTACCATTTCGTACAGGTCGGGTATTTTTCAATCATGCTGGAAGACAGCTAGAGTTCAACCAATCCCCAAAAAAGGGAACAAGAACCTGCCCAACAACTACAGGCCCATTGCCCTGTTATCAGTAATCTCCAAAGTGATGGAGAAAGCCATCAATATTGAGCTTATCAAATATCTGGAGAGCTCAGGAATCATCAATGATAGACAATACGGCTTTCGCCACCGAAGATCTACTGGAGATCTACTTGCCTACATCACCCATTTATGGCAATCTTCAATAGAAAAACACGGGGAATCTCTAGCTGTCGCGTTGGACATATCGAAAGCATTCGACCGTGTTTGGCACGAAGGACTCCTCCACAAACTACCATTATACGGCTTACCACCTCAGCTATGCCATCTCGTATCGAGTTTTCTTTCAGGCAGATCGCTTCACGTGGTGGTGGACGGTGTATCGTCTGATACCATTGGCATCAATTCCGGCGTTCCACAAGGATCAATTTTGGCACCAACATTATTCCTGCTTCATATCAATGATCTGTTGGGAGTAACAACTTGCCCCATCCACAGCTTTGCAGATGATAGTACCCTCCATACTGCGTTCTCTTCCAGAATTCCCATTTCTTCCCAGGAAACTAAGAACTCACGGCGCAGGCAGGTCAATGCTGTCAATGAAGATCTTGCTGAAATCACAGCCTGGGGAACGAACAACCTAGTTGAATTCAACGCCACCAAAACTCAAGCCTGCATTTTCTCTAGAAAGGCGGAACTCAGTATGCCCGATATTGTAATGTCTGGCTCCACCATCCCCACCAAGCCCACCATATCTATGCTCGGTATCTCCATCAGCAACACTCTCTCATGGGATAATCATGTCAGATCCATCGCAAAAGCTGCTTCACAAAAACTCGGATTCTTGTTCCGTGCGAAAAGCTACTTTACACCTCAACAGCTTCTCATGATCTACAAAGCGCAGATACGGCCTGTTCTAGAATACTGTTCCCACATATGGGGTTCAGCACCAAAACATACGCTGATGCTCTTAGATTCCATCCAGAGAAGAGCCATTCGCCTGGTGGGTGACGCCACACTCACTCACTCTTTGACATCATTGGAACACCGTAGAAAGGTCGGCGACCTTTCACTTTTCTATCGATACTTCCACGGGAAATGTTCTTCGGAAATCTCTGCAATCATCCCTTCACTAGCAATACCAATCAGACGAACTAGACAAGCCCAGTCAGCACATCCTTTCGTTGTCAACCTCGAAAGATGTCGAACAGCACTTTATCAAGACTCCTTCATCCATAGAACGGCTAGGCTCTGGAATTCATTGCCTGTGGAAGTATTCCCAACAACATATAATCTCCAAGAATTCAAAAAAAATTCCAATACCTACCTCCTGTCCCTATCCTCCTTAGGAACGCACGATGTTCTTTGAACATTATAGGGATTCCCTTTCGTGCGCTCCAATCGATAAAAAAAAAAAAAAAAAACATAACATTCATAGTTTTTCTCAAACTGCAGTGGAAGTGTGAGAACAATTTGGAATATTCCATTCTTGATGTTTGTCTGTGACCTCTGAAAATTTCCTGTCACAGTTTACAGAAACGATGAACAGGATGAACTTTTTGCTATGAACTAAACTATATATCAAAATTTTTCAAGAACGGTGAATGTTACCCACAGGGCGTAAGAATCTATATAACTCACTTGGTACATAAATAACTGTATCGTGTTTTTACCCATTTCTAGTTATCAAAATGGACCAGACACCTATCTGCTGCAATTGAGAGATGTCGATTTTCCTGTCAGGTTACGTGAATACATGAAAGTAGCTGGGAATAGAGGACCTGGTTCTGGATACATTTTATCAAACGAAAATGGTTACGACTGGAGGGTGAGTACTTTCGAATCTCATCATTTCATCTATTCCCGAATTTTTCATCGTTTATTTTCAATCGAATCAGGTATTTGTTTGAATGGGAAAGATCTTTTCCCCTCAGTCTTGACGGACAGAATATCACTAGTTGAAACTGGATTGAACTATAATAATTATTCAATATCTTTGACATTTGACAGAAAAGCACAATCATGTGGCACAAATATATGTTTCGAAGGTAGGTACTACTTGTTTGAAGGGATGAGATGATAATTTTTGAATTCAAATCAAGAAAGCGCACAAGAACCGAAAAATTACGATTTTGCCAATAAATTATGGTGAAATACCCCTTCTTTCAACACCAACCTCCGATATTTCGTTTAAAAATATTGGTGGTCTTCATACACAAGCAGCCATGATTTGAGAGTTATGAGGAAGAATGTCAATAACAGTAAATACTATCAAAAACTGAAAAGTAGTTACCATTTTTGATTAAAAATCTTGAGAATTCCATATTTCTGGTTAACCTACATAGCTAGAAAGTTGAGGGAATAATTGCCCCCCAGCCCCTCCTATTTTTCACGATCCTGATCGAAATGAATTTCGAAATTTCCTCAGCATATTGATATTGGCTAGGAAAAGTCAGGTAGAAGTACAAAATTTTAATTTCTCATCTCAAAGGGTTTCTGAAATATTTTCGAAAAAACTTCTGCATCTTGGGCTTGCCTTCAGATGGCAATGAGGAGGGGCAAATGTGACATAAATTCTGACATATTATGTTGATCACTATAGTTATACTTGAGATTATACAGGGTCTCTATGAATGATCGTAACATCGTAGTAGCCGTTGAAATATTTTCTCCATTTGCCGCCTTTCATTTATGGAGATTCACACATTCGAATCAAATTTCTGACATCATACTGTCATAGCTGATAAACTCACAATTGTCAGTTTCTCGTTAAAATATTCAAACGATTCTGTTCTCTACTTCGTGATTGTCGTGTTAAAAAGAGGGATGGTTATTCCTCGGAGCAGAATACATTTATTGTAATGTCTTATTGTCGAAATGGCACATTCATCAATGGTGGATGGAGTTACTCGGTAGTAGCCTGCAAGGATGAGTATCTGTCGAAATATCCTAATGTACAGATTCAAGAATCTTCTTTGAAAGCCCACATCAGAACGGTGATCAACAGATTCATCCAAACTGGAAACGTTAATAAAAATAAATCAACAGAAAGGCCCCAAATATCGGAAGGAGTTGTCGAAAATCTAAGGGCGCGTGTTGACTAAAATCCCCAAACGTCATTGAAGAGATTATCTTTACATTCTGGTGTGCCACTAAGTACATGCCATAAAGTGCTCAAGAAAAGATTGCATATGCACCCTTACAAGACCAGTGTACTACAGCAACTTCTGCTAATAGATATCCCACGTCGTCTGGAGTACTGCCAATGGTTCCAAAATAATCTCAACGATGACCAGCTATTGGACCTAACATATTTCAGCGATGAGGCTTGGTTTCATTTGTTGGGATACGATATTACAAGATTTTAGGTATTGGAGATCTGAGAATCCCCACAATTTTATTGAGACTCCACTACATTCTCAAAAAATTGGGGTGTGGTTAGCAGTTTCTCGCAGGCGAATATATGGACCGATTTTCTTCGATGGCACTATCAATGGTGAAAGGTACAGACAAGTGATGTTAGAACCATTCATCAATCAACTTGATGATGAAGAAATTCGAGTTGGCTTTTTTGAACAAGATGGGGCCACTGCCCACACCACACGTGCAAATTTAGAATATTTACAAGAATTTTATGACAACCGTGTGATAAGTCGAGGAATTGATACTTCTTTTCCAACACGTTGGATCTCTGCCTTTTTGGATATTTGAAAGACGAAGTATTCAAGAGAGACAATAATAACCTTGAAGAGCTGCAAGCCTCAATAACACATTGCTGCCAAAATATTGGCCCGGAAATGCTGAGGAACATTTTCGACAACAAACGGCGAAGAGTTTTGAAATGCTTGGAGAACAACGGAGAACATTCAGAACATTTGATGTAGGTTAACGAAATAAACCGTTATTTATTACTTCTTTGATAAATATTTTTGATTTGTATCGGACTCTCCTTTCTTTGAGATACATTTCCATAGTGTATGCAAAACGATATAAAAAAGGATCCTGTATATGATCTCTTCCTCTTTTTTTGGTCGTTGAATGTTGTTAACAGCATTAGTAGAAAGTGGCAAATGGAAAAAAATGTCAACAGCCACTACGATGTTACGATAATTTATAGAGACCCTGTACTTTTCACAGCTCACAATAAAATCCTTCTTCCTTCAAAATGTTTGAGACGAATCGGTAAGTATATCATGAGCAAATATTATATTCGATCAATCGATATTTCGATCAATCGGTATTTCGATCCATTGACCATCGATGAATTGACCTTCGATCAAATGAAGTTCGATCTAACTATTTCGATCATATTTCGGGCAACCCTTTCTGATTACTGATATTGTGTGTTTTAGACTCCCATTATCCATGAGAGACGCAGATTCACTGACGTGATGGATGAGGAAATTGACGATGAAAGGAAGGCTCGCATCAATCGATATGGTGCTGCAGACCGTGATCCAGCCGTCAGAAGAATCAGGCACGAACTAGGTGAGTAATGAAGTTCAATTAAGTGTTATGTAATGAATATTGCAAATATATTGCTGTCAATGGACCCCACACGGAATTTTTCAGTTCATGTGATTCTATATTAGAAGAAAACCATAGCTTTGATGATAATTCCGAAATTCTACACGTAGAAAATAAAGAAATGTAAAAACTTCACAAACGATAAGATTTACACAAAATTCTCAAACACACGACATGGTTTGCTAACACAGTAGCTTCGTCAGGTGATATACTGTTACAATAAACAGTATATCACCTGACGAAGCTACTGTTTTTTTTATCGCTTGGAGCGCACGAAAGGGAATCCCTATAATATTCAAAGAACAACGTGCGTTCCTAGGGAGCATAGGGATATGAGGTAGGTATTGGAATTTTTTTGAACTTCTGGAGATTATATGTTGTTGGGAATACTTCCTCAGGCAATGAATTACAGAGCCTAGCTGTTCTATGGATGAAGGAGTTTTGATGAAGTACTGTTCGACATATTTCGAGGTTGACAAAGAAACGATGTGCCGACTGGGCTTGTCTAGTTCGTCTGACTGGTATTGCTAGTGAAGGGATGATAGCAGAGATTTCCGAAAAACATTTCCTGTGAAACTATCGATAGAAAAGTGAAAGGTCACCGACCTTTCTACGGCGTTCCAATGATGTCAGGGAGTGAGTGAGTGTGGCGTCACCCACTAGGCGAATGGCTCTTCTCTGGATGGAATCTAAGAGCATCAGCATATGTTTTGGTGCTGAACCCCATATGTGGGAACAGTATTCTAGAACAGGCCGTATCTGAATGAATAATTTGAATATAATGATGTCAATGAACCCCTCATGAATTTCTTTCAGTTCCTGTGATTCTAACAGAAGAGAACCATAGTTTTGATGATAATTTCGAAATTCTACACGTAGAATATAAAAGAATGAGAAACTCATTTATTTTGAATCATCAGAAATCAACAAACTCAAAAGTTTCAACATTTTACTTAACGAGCAATTAGACCTCAATAGTTCACCACTGTTAAATTTATTTTCTTAGTAGGTAATAATATGTATTCGTTATCAACATTTTCAAGTTGATCCAGTACACCGTATTTTGATGTAGATATTGTGCCTATTTTCCGAAAATGAAGGTTTATCGAAATTTTCCACAGGTAATTCTACGCATGAATTCATTATTGGCTAAATGAACAATAAAATTAGAAATTCCCGAACCAGGTTGATTTATGATTTCAATTCACTTTTGTTCCAAATCATTATTTAATATACAGGGTGAACCACTTCCGTGTAATGACGTCATCACCATTTTTTTTTTCAAATGGAACCCCCCTCTTTCAATTTTTGAATTGCCCTTGCTGAGTTGATCCCAAAAATTGTATAATATGTTGCTTCAAATTGGTACATGGTGGACAAAAATGTAAAAGAAAAATATGAATTTTGTTTATAGAAAGTAATACGTTAGTGAATGTAATACACTTCCAAAAATAAACAAACAAACAAAAATTCTCAATTAATGTTCAAATTGTTCTCCATTGACCATTAGACAATGACTGAACCGGGCATTACTTTCGTCTATAACATTCTGCAGCATAGCGGGTGTTATGCTCTGTATTTCTTGTCTGATTCGGTCTTGTAGTTGAGGGATATTTCCAGGTCTGTTTAAGTAGACTTTAGATACGTAATTTCCTTCAATGTATTCATTATTTTTGTCTACTCTGGACCAATTCAAAGCAACATAATTATACATTTGTGGAATGAGCTCAGCAAGGTCAATCCGGAAATTGAAAAAAAGTGTTGTTTCATTCAACAGAAATGGCGATGACGGCATTACACGAAATTGGTTCACCCTGCATATCAGATTATGATTTGAAACGATAGTAATAGGAAAGTCAAAAATCAACCTGTTCCGCGAATTCCTAATTTTTCCGTTCATTTAGCCAATAACGAATTTATGCGTTACTTCATGGACGCACTATATAAAAGTTAGGCAAGGCAAGGTTAGTTTATTTCATTGTACCAGTATTTCACCTGATGAGGTACTGTGTTAGCGAACCATGTCGTGTTATCAAAAATTTTGTGGAAATCTTATCGTTTGTGGAGATTTCACTCTCGCTATGGATTCCCATTAAGTAACAGCCGAGACTATTAAAAATTTGAAGGAAGCAACGACTAGCTTTTCGGCCACCTGGTACTTCGAATTCATCCTTCGTTGCGCCATAACAAATCAAAATATTTGGTACTTCAATATCTTTAAGTCCTAGCATTTCTCAAATTCGTATTCATTGTTTCAGGTTCTCGTTTGGATACTTATGTGGAGGCAGAGGCATTCCTTGAAGCCAAACAAGAAGGAAGATTACCGTTCTTCAGAGAAAAATCCCATCTTACTGCGATGCAAGAAGGAAAAGATTTGGAACTGACATGCCTAGCTGTGGGTGATCCTCAACCAATAGTTCAATGGTTCAAGTATGTTCAATTGCTTATTACATATCAGATTGGCAAGAACACAAACGCATGAATCAGGTCTGAATATTGTACAGAGTGATCCACTATAAATGTCTTCCCCCTCTGGCTCGGTTATTTTTGTACCGATTTCGAAATTTGAAAGATCATTCGAAATGCGTTTTCATTTTTTTAGCCATTGCAGTAAATACAGAGTGCTCGGAACGCATGATCTACAGGGTACGAGTTTAACGTCAGATCTCGAACCGATCGGTCGCATTGTATCTGGCTAGTGCTACACTTTACTTATAGTGAACCTATTATAAAATTCAGATAATCAATCACCATAATCTGAATTATTCGAAAAGTTCTGAACATTAATCAATATAGTGTTTTTTTTTTTGTTGTTAATGTAGTTGAACAGTTACCAAAAGAAAGAAAAAAACGTGCGTGGTCGCTACAAATTCGATATCCGACAATTTTATTAACCTTCTCGCTGTCCGACGAGCGAAATAAAAACGTAAACTTTTTTCCTGCTATCGACTAGCTATCTAGCACTCTCAACGAGTGTCCATACACATCAAAATGATGAACAGTGGCGGAGCATTAGGTCAACCTCATTCACAGAATGTCAACCCTCGCACCGATGACTCCAGCAATGTCCATAGCCAGATGATAATCCAACAACTGAACGTTTTAACACAGAGCATATCTGATATCAGAAACCTTCTTGTTACGCAAAATGACAAAATAGACTCATGTTTAGCTGCTGTGTCAGATCTAAAATCTGAGAACCATCTGCTCCGGGAAACAATCAAGACAATGGATAACAGAATTCAAGAACTGGAATCTGGTAGTGTAACTTATAGTGAGCTGAAGAGTCGTTTGGAACGCGAAAACAACATCATAGTAACTGGTATCGAGGAAACCTTAAACTTTGAAAATGTAGTAACGGACATCATTCAGAAAGCAATAAATCCTTCAAAAGTCTCCATTAAAAAGGTCTACAGACTAGGTCGTGAGCACAGAGGTAAAATCAGACCAATCAAAGTCGAACTCTCAAATAGAGATGAGGCAATAACTGTTCTGAAAAACAAAATGAAATTTCCTGAATTATATCCTAACGCAAAAGTTAAGAATGATTCAACCCCTAAGCAGCAGCGAGAACTTACCACCCTTCGTGATGAGCTGGAGAATCGCAGAAGTAAAGGCGAAACGAACCTGTCAATCAAGTATGTGAAAAATATCCCCCAAATTGTTTCAATTACAAAACAACCTAGTGACGGTCAAAATAAACGTCCAAGAGAGGAAGAATCGTCTCCGAACATTAATGCAGCAAAAATACCGAATAAAAAAAACGTCAACACCCAGCATCAACCATCAGCAACATAATATTTTGGAACGTGAATGGATATAACAACCTACATACCATCTTTCAAGATTTGGACTTTGATTTTGAAATTCTTGCTATTTGTGAAACCTGGCTGGTAAGCAACCCTATTGTTCCTACGGCTATACAAGAAAATTATCACTTACTCTTTGTACCAGCTATCAAGGAGAGGTCTCGTGGTCGTGCCAGTGGCGGGTTAGCCATATTCTATAAAAACTACTACCATGCGAAAATCCTCGACACCTCTCCTTGGTGGTTGACATGTCATTTTGCATTCAAGACTATTAAATTCGTAATGTCCTTCGTTTACTTCAGAGGAGTACATGACATAGAGGAAACACTTGATTTATATCAAACATCACTGAACGACATCATTGAAACTTATAATGACATCCCAATAATCATACTAGGAGATTTCAACTCGAGAGTGGGCCAATTTCCGTCAATTCCAGAGGAAATAATATCGAACACTGTTTTATATCCCACTATGTTGAGCATGGATAAAGTTTTTAATGCTAGGGGCCGTTCTCTCATGGAATTTATGTATACTAATAACTTATCACTAGTAAACGGGAGCGTGGCTTCAGATAGGCCTGCAAACTTCACATACGCCGCTACAACAGGTAGTAGTGTTATCGACCTGGCATTTTGCTCCAACAGTCAATTAGATATCATCTCGGATTTAAAAGTTCTAGATTTTGCAACACCCTCAGATCATTTTCCTGTATGTCTCCAAATCAATCGTAAAGTTGTACGCAATATCCAGATCGACACACCTATACAAAGTTCTGTCAGTAAACTGCTACAATGGAACAACTCAGAAACCCTTGCTTACAAAAATAAAATGAGTTTCTCTCCAAATGTAGGCATATTTGGCGATGTCACTAGTTGTTATGATAACATAGTTACAACAATTTGGAATACTGCAGAGGAACTATCTCTCCTTCGTCATAAACCAAGTGTTCCCAAAGTATCCCGTAATAAACCATGGTTCAACATCGAGTGTATAGCCACTAAAAAAGCGTGCAAAAATTCCCTCATACTTTGTAGAAAGCAGAACTTCAAAGAACCCTTCAAATCCCAGTATATAGCCTCGAGGAGGGAGTACAGAAAGACAATTGCTAAAAAAAAAAAAGAGTTCGAGAACATCATAATAGAGAAACTTTCGAATACGAATGATCAACGAACTTTCTGGAAAACCTTAAACTCCTTCAAATCCAAAAATAATAATGGTTGCACAATATCTATAGAAGTCTGGGAACAATTTTATAGTCATATTTACTTACAGAAAACAACAATCGACTCAACTTTTTTTGATGCTGGTAATATGTATCTGGACTCTCCTTTCGAAGTTGGCGAACTCATATCTTGCTTGAATAGATGTAAAGACAATAAAACCCCTGGGTGTGATGGTGTTCCCTATGAATTTTTGAAAAATTTACCTCAAAATTGGCTGATGTATATCTGCAGTTTATTCAATAATATATTCAATTCTGAAATGATACCAGTTTCTTGGTGTAGTACTATTCTGACGATGCTGCATAAAAAAGGGCCACAAAATGATCCTTCAAATTACCGAGGAATCGCTCTCATTAATTGCATTCCCAAGGTATTCTCATTGATACTTCTGAACCGACTCTCAGTATACTGTGACGACAATGAAATTATTCCGGAATGCCAGTCTGGGTTTAGAGCTAACCGCAGCTGTGATGATAATATCTTCGTTCTTAGTTCTATTATACAAATCAATTTGCGTCTCAAAAAAAGGAAAGTATTTGCAGCGTTTGTAGATTTCAAACGAGCCTTTGACTCTATTAACCACAATCTTATCTGGCATAAACTCTACCAACTTGGCATAAGCGCTAAATACCTGCGGTTACTGAAACAAATATACGACAAAGCTCATATGAGCATAAAAAGCAACAACTCATTCAGCAAAAAATTCGATATTTCCAGCGGAGTTTTACAGGGCGAACCTTTAAGCCCAATACTATTCTCATTGTTCATTTCTGATATTGAGACATTTTTTGAAAATAGGGGATGCACGGGGGTTAATATATCGGGGAGTAGAGATCTCAACTTATTACTATATGCTGATGATCTTGTAATTTTGAGCTATTCTCAAATAGATTTACAGCGAAAACTGACAGCTCTATCACAATACTCCAATGCTAACGATTTAACTGTGAACACAGAAAAAACAAAAATCGTAGTTTTCAGCCGGGGTGGATTTGCGTCTAACAAAAATTTCAACTTCCACTATCTGAATGAACGTATTGAAATAGTTAATAAATTCGCGTATTTAGGAGTCATATTTTCCTCCTCAGGTCTTTTTCTTGAAATGGCAAAGACTACTGTCGCCAAGGCTAAACAAGCTCTTGGAGCTACTATGGATCTCATGATCCACTCCAAAATGACGTCGTGGGACGCGAGAATGAAACTATATAACTCAGTTGTCATATCTTCCCTTTCGTATTGTGTCGGAATTTGGGGCCTCCGGTATACTGACTTACTAGAAAGAATACAAGTTGCATATTTCAAGAGATTACTTTGTTTAGCTAAAAATACTCCAGATCATATTGTTAGATTGGAAACTTCTTCGACAAAACTGAGTCTTCTAGTTCTGAAGTCCGCCCTTTCTTGGTTAAATAAAATTAAAACTATGAATGATTCTCGCCTCCCAAAAATATGTCTTTTACGTCTGATACAGCTCTCCACGACAGAATCTAAATTCAATTGGGTAAAGCAAATGTATAATTACTTTTCCATTCTAGAAAGACGGGATTTATCAGAAAACCTTCTCAGAACAGATTTTAAAAAACTATCTCCCATCATTATCACTTCCTATCAATCGCTTTTACTCCGAGAGGATAAGATTAGGCTATCCCACTCAGAATATCCTTACCTGTATAAATTACTCACTAATGAAAATGGCCTATTTTATCTCAAATTGTCTAATCCAATCTCATCCATCAGACTAATTGCACAGTTAAGAACAGCTAATAAATATTTTTTGAAATTGAGAGCCAATGGCTCAACTCATATTATAAAAATGGATCAAACTTGCTCTATATGCAATTTAGGCAGAAATGAAACAATCTCTCACCTATTCTTTGAGTGTCCCATTTATGAAGGACTGAGAATTTTGTTGAAGCCACAGATCACAGACATGAATGATCTATTAGAAACCCTCAATACTGGCACTCCTAAAAATCTACAAAATGTTGTACATTTCCTAGCAGGCCTACTGAAGCTTCGCTCTTTTGTTCTGAATGAATAGTAACTCCGATGTATTTATTATAGTCTCTATTTTGATATTGTATTTTAATATTTTTGTTTTCTGAATATTAGCTTTGCATGTTTATCCACCTTTCTCTTCATGCTTCTGGAAAAGATTATTGCCATAATATTTTTTTTTTTTCTTTAATTTAATTTATTTTTTCTTTCTGCTTTAATACTGCTATCAGCCAGGTATACGAAACACAAAACTCATTGTTATAAGAATTGTAAATTCTTTACGAACAATAAATAATAAGTAAGTAAGTACTAGTTGATTTCAAAAATCGGGCAAATGGGACAAATGAGTATGTGGGGGTCATGTCAAACGACTACGACGCTATAGTCGTACCATTGTACCTCGAATATGCCGTTATTATGTCCCGACATCTGAGATCAAAAATAGGGAGAAGTGTTCAAATAAATATGAGTTGAAAGATGTCTCTTCAGGTCCTGGAAGGAGGCACCTGAAGATGATATTGTACAAAAATTTTTTTGAAAAAAAAAATCTTCTGTCGTTTCGATTTGATGTATCATTTCAGAGTGCAACCAATTTAAAAATATCGTTACATCTTTCAAGACATGCTTAAATAAATCAGCTACTGTTTTTTCACCAAACAATTTCATAGATGCGCGTAAAAATGGACAATGGACAACTACTTCAGTTTCTGTGCATTAATCTAACCGTCGCCCCCTTAGAAGAAGTTGTTTTTTTTATTTTTGGTCGTAGAAGTCGCTGGTGAAGTTTGACAGGCTTATTTCATGTCACCCTTTATAAAAGCCACTTAGAATACCGTCATGGTAACATTGTGCGCAGCCGCTTACAGTACCAGAGGTTCGTTTGAAGGATCAATTCCGTTCAGGTTCCTGAAACTGCTCTTGCCCTGTGGTGCCCCCTGCATAGGGCTTAGGCTGTTTCCTCTGAGATGTCGTTCTGTTTCTCAGATATTCCGTTATCGACACCATATAATCTCAGAGCAAGGGCCAGAAAGATTCTGTGAATTTACTAAGCCTAGTGTTTTCACAGTCTATTACAATGGTTTTGTACACAAACATACTGCTGTCAGTCAAGCGAAACTGAGGACAGGTGTCCCTGGTATACTATCGAAGTTGTCGTTTCTACGGAGGATGCAATGAATTTACTAAGGCTGAAAATCATTAGGTATTAGTTAGATAAGAGTTCGGTTACAGCTATCACTCCTGTCTTTTTCTTTTTTCTGTATTACTATGGTTTGAGTGAATGGAAGAATGAGACATAATATATTCTGCTCTTTGTTTTTTCGATTTCCCTAGTATAGCGCCTGATTGTCAGCTAGGATTTTAGAGGTTAGATTTTCTGTCGAAACAATCATTGTCGTAGATGGAAAATGGTAATTTGGTGTATTTTTTTTCAATAGTCCGCTTTGTAAATCAAGGGAACAGCAGATTCTCTCAAACGGATCTTATAAATCTTCTTCTTGAAAATGGACCTGAAATATAGTTCCATTCCAATCTGCTGTTATAAGAATAAGATTTCCACAAGTCTGTCAGATTCAAGTGATCAAACACAGATGTCCACAAAATGATACATCTTCCAAGCAGCTGCGTCTTGACCTCCTCGCACCATGGTGAGTTTATGCTCTGGGAAGGAGGCAAAAAATAAAAACTCAATTAAGGTACCTTGACTTTTCCATTTTCAGACTCACAATTCGGATTCCACTATAAACTGTAGGTCTTGCTGTTCCAACCCCGCACGAGTTTCTATTTCTGGAAAGTTGGTTTTCAACTTCGAAGTAGCGATATTCAAATCTCATGAACTTCACAAAATTTTCACGAATCTCACAAATTTCATTCCAGTACTCATTTCACAATGTTAGCGTGGTCGGAGTGTGATAATTGATCCCATATCTAATTTGTATCACGGCAATTTCAGTATTTGATTATCATCATCATCATCATCATCTTCATTCCCAAGAAACAATTGACATATATGTTTATAAAAAAATAGTAAAATTGTTCTATCCATCATTCGGTTGCCCCCTTACGAGCAACCCTCAGAAGTCTTCGAGAGTCTTGTGCGAGCATGGAATGACGGGGGCCTCACCTTATAACGTGTGATCTCAAACACTTTCTTGGGCCATCAGAAAAAATTCTGCAGTGGTTTGATCGAACCCACGACCGGCAAGCGAATGCGAATTAGAATACCGACACTCTGTCCGCACGGCTACCTGGCCCCGTATTATATTATTATATTATAACAGGAAACATTGAAAAATGAACCATAATGTTTATCATTATATTTAAAATGTAGTAGGAATGGGTATGATTATAATATTGTTCTAGTAATTCTCAGAGTTTGAGCTCATCCTCGTTTGAGTGAAAATAATTGATATGTTATATGATTTCTATATGGATGACATCACAAAATTCAGACGAATAAATATTTCTTAAGTACTTCCTTGAATTGTTTGGTACTGATATTTTTTGAAGTATTGTTGGCAATTTATTGTGAAGTAATAATCCATTGTAATATATAGATCTTCTGCCAAATTCAGATCTGATATTAATGAACAATGGGAAAACATGTCTGTTTGTCTAGTTGAATGTGAATGTATACTAGGCATTCATTTTAAAATTCAAATTGGAATGTTCATAATTGTGTTTGATAGAATGAATGAATGTTAATATTTCAAATTTATAAATTGATTGAAGATCTTATATTCCATTTGGTTGCTAGATCCCATAACTAAGAGATCCAGGATGAACAGAGTTGCCCCAATTGTCAGCAGAGCAACTCTGTTCATCCTGGATCTCTTAGTTATGAGTTCTAGCATTTGAATAGGTGGTGGAAAAATTCCACTCAAGTATGTCAGGTAGTGCCATCTGTCAGCAGAGTGATTTACTTGTAGTACCACTCTGTAGCGTATAGACATAGGGGTCTGTATGTGTGACTATAGATGGCTGCACCATACAGTGTTTGTCGCGATCTCTGGATAATACCTTAGAGCATTGCCACTAGATGGCTACAACATGACTATAACTTTAAATTATACCCTGCATTTCATTTGGTTTATAGAGTTCCTAATGATCCAATTAATATGTACATTCGACAAATGTATACTTCTTTGTTTTATATTTTGTGCTGTTCAAATGGATCGTTGAATGTCTATTCCGCAAATAGCATTCTCAACCCGAATTCCGTCATTCCAGGAACGACGCGATCATAGCCGAATCCCACCGAATAAAAATCACGACGGACGAGGACGGCCGGTCCCACTTCCGGCTCACCCCCGCCCTGTCCTTCGACCAAGGTCTGTACAAGGTGGTCGCTCGGAACAAGATCGGCCAGACCATCGCCCGGACTCGAATCGTGCTGGGCCTGGTGCCGGACGAACCGGACAGTCCCGAGGCGTCGCAGATCTCCGACGACGAGATCTTGCTGACGTGGAAGCAGCCAAAGTTCGATGGCAATGCTCCGGTCATCTGTTACAGGTGAGCAAACAAATTGATAATAACATTTTTCGGCAACTGACACAAAACTCTTTCATTTTGATATCAAAATCAGCTCTCGAATTGACGTTTCTATTACTGACACAAAAATAAGTATGTTGCTAGGCAACATATTCAGTTCCTAGGAGCTAAAATTGAACTTCAGTTCCTAGGAGCAGAAGTTCAACTTTAGCTCCTAGGAACTAAAAAGGATGTACTAGACGTCATCAAGAATAAACAATATTGTTACGGTTGGATATTTGGGTTGGGACGCATATCTGATTTGTTTCCGATTTCGGCAGATTTGGCATGTCATACCCATGCTGGAGATATAAATACACCTTATTATAGTTGAGTATAAGTATAGGAATTATAAATATCTCAGTATTTTTGTTTTGACCAGGGAAGCTTTCAAGATTCTCATACTCGCTTGATCTGTATTTCATTCGTTATTCTCGGGATAACTTGTTTCTGAATAATCACGGCAAGCAATAGTTTTTTGTCTCAAACAACGATATTGTTTATCTTCATTTGATTATCAAATCGAACACAGTGTAGTATGGAGAGAAATAAATAATCGCTATTATCATTGTTGATAATGCTCACTAACCTAACATTTCCCACTTCTTGTTCCTATACCTGGCATTGGCGCGGTATTTGCCATTAGAGCACCTGGTCCATTCACAAATATGTCACTCTGTGGTTGTATTTATGTTGAAACTATGATTCGAACATCCTTGAAAATTGAATAAACCTGCTGTTAATGCCGGTAGATTATTCTCTCCACACGGGTTTTGCATTGGTTTTGATTTGTTGCATTGCATACATATGGCACGGCATTGGTGGATACTTCACATATTCATTGTGTCAACTGTTTCGATTGCACAAAAAATAGCATGTTTCATTCGGATCAAAAGTGACTTTGTTTGACTCGCAAATTTTGCTTTCGCTTGGCTTCACTAAACGCTCCGCCTCGCCAATGCAAAATTCGCCTGTCAAACAAAGTGTCACTTTTGATCCTAATAAAACAATCTACTATTATTGATTCCAAGAAACATCATATGTTCGTGAAGGGAAACAAAAAAATAATGAATAAAAAAAATATGCAATTCAACAGACTGTTAATGCATAAGGGTGTTCCACAAGGATCTGTTTTAGGACCAATACTGTATCTGCTTTATATTCAAAATATCGCGGAAGTTGATTCAGTGAGTAATTATACCATATATGCACACGATACAGTGCTTTTATATGAAAACAAAAATCCTCTAATTTTAGAAATTGTGATAAATAACGATCTGAAATAATTTGAAAAACGGCTCCACTTTAACCTTTCATCAATAAATACCAGAAAAACTGAATACATGATTTTTCAACAAAACAATAAACCAAAAAAATCAGATCAATCTTCAAATAAAGAAAGAATTCTTGAAACAAATTGAACAGATGAAGTATTTAGGTATTTGGTTTGATGAAAAATTTGTGTGGGACAAACATATTAAGATTCTGACAAAGAGAATATCTCCATGGACGTCCTTTCTAGGACATTGCATGAGACGTACGGGATGGGACGTCCTAAAGACAATCATTTTAGGTCCTGGAGATTCTAATTTGGATTGTACCAAGAAGGAACAATCCTAGTAGGTTGCGTGCTATTAGAGTTGTACCCTAGTGTTTCTTGATGGGATTTTTCGATTTCAAACTCTATTTTATAGAAATCTTATTCCCCAGTGTACAATTCGTCCTCGAAATATCTACATGGAAATTCGGATCATACTGTATAATCAAATCAACAGGTTGGAATTTAAACTGGCAGACGACTCGGAATGGGTGAAGAAAGCGGACAACATCGACCACGAATTCTATCTAGTCAACGGTTTGGAGTCCAACAAAAGTTACATCTTCAGATTGGCGGCAAAGAATTTCATCGGATGGAGCGACTCCGGGGTGCCTTCAGCTCCAATAATGACCAAGCCATCAGGTAAGTCGTTGGTTCTTTATCTTTTGGAGCGCACGAAAATAAATTCCTATGGTATGGCCATGAGTTCTTGGGAATTCTTTCTAAGTTATAGATAGATAGATAGTTTGAAAAGGAACATTCTCAGATATATTTATGAACACAAAAAATGGATATATATATACAAAGAAATACATTGAGAATTCGCATTCTCTATGTGATGAAGATATCAATTCTTTCTCGGTTTATTCAACAGAAAACAACTACTTTCCTGGCTATATGTCACGACGAATATTGAATTACACCCATTGAACACAAACGATAAGAATTTGAAAACAAAATCTTCTGAAGTAGAGAATTTGCATTCTCCTTCATATAAAGATATGCATATACTTAATATGATTCTGAATATTCAACAGAAAACAACTGTTGAATATTCAGAATTATATCTGATATTTTCTGAATTTCAATTAACTGATCAGGATTACAAATGATGTCTGAATTACATTTGACACTTTCTGAATTACTATTGGAAAAGGTGTAGACATGAATTGATATTCTATTAGTAGATATGGAATTAAAGTTTACTGAGTAGATATTTCTCCAATTTAATTTTGAATTTTTCTGCTTCTTCTATATTTTTCAACTCATTAGGTGAGGTGTTACATAAAATTATTCCATTATGGAATATCGATTGTTCACCAAAATTTGACTTTTAATTAATTGGAGTTTTTTAAATTTCACTTGACTAATCTGAATCTCAATTGATTTTTTCTGAATTTCAAGTAACTTATCTGATTCACAAATTACGTACTCTGAATTACAATGCACGCACCTCACACATGAGAATGGTTGATTTCCTCTGCAAAATTAAATCCACTATCATCAGAGTTCTTACAATTCATTACACAGCAGGACATTTTCATTTATGCTTCTTCCCAATGGTTTATGAAGTTATATTTCAATTCTGACGTTCATGAAAAGTTTTGTCAAATTCAGACAATTTTTAATGAAAAAGCGCGGGACGAATATGGTGCTCTTGTCACAATGCAAGGTGTATAACTTAATCAATCTAAACATTCAAAAACACTAACGGTTGTCATTCCGCTGTCCGAACTCTCATCTAAATGTATAAATAAAGTGACTCCTCCAATCAGAAATTTATGATTATTTCCATTTCCATAGTAACCAATTCAAATTGTTACATACAAACAAAGCGCGTCAACAAATTCTGACGTTCGTTCACAACTATCCTCAAAAAATAATCGCATCGAATACAATTCGAACTTCAAAATCTTCAAGGTTATACATCTCTAACTTCCTGCACAATTACAAGTCGTGTGAGTTCAACAGAATAATCTGTCACACTGACACTGTTTGTAATCATACAAGAAGTTATCGATGTATAACCCGAAAATTTTGAAGTACTCATAGTATTACTACTGAATATATCCGTGAAATTGCCTTGTTTTACCTCAGAGGTACAACTGAATTTTAAAATTTCCACAAATTCCAAATTACTTGACATAAAAATCAATTGGTTGCCATATATCACGTACGGATGACTGGATGAATTTCTTCTTTCTGGATCAAGTTTCTGAAATGACTGTCCTTCAACTTTCAGGTACTCCAAAAATACAACTGAGCAAGGCGATGAGACACCTACAGCAGATCACCGATAGCGGCAGACTGGCCGAAGAAGAAACCAACATCCAGTATGACTACAGTATAGAATCAAAGCCGATCGAATGGGAAGAAGCTGATGTTCAAGAAAACTTCAATTTCATTTCAGAAATATCAAGGTTGGTATCGATGAATGAATGTGAGAATCATTGTTTGTTTACTGGTAGGTACCTAATACCTCAGTGGCGTGTTGTCTATGGAAGCTCGGGAAGCACAGCTTCCTTTGCCCGAAAATCAGGATCATCATCTATTTAGATCATTTTTATAATGTAGTGATTATTTAATTATTTGGATCCTCCTAATTGTTATTTTAGAATAAAAGAATATAATGTACGCTCATTGCTGCCAACAAAATAACTAAGTAAACAAACAGAAGCCAGCTGCCCAATGGGCATGTACACCTTAGTAGAACTTTTAACTCAAACCATATTTATAATGATCATTTTATACCTAAATAATGATTGACGTCATAATTCGATCGAAAAATTAACTAGAATGTTTCATTTTTGGACATAAATAATAGTACCTTATGAAAACGGACCCTCTTATGACGTAGAAACCTCATCTCGCCATAGTTGAAAGAAAATACCAAACGCCCGACGGAGACTGAGGCAACTGATATATTAATTCTTTCAACTGTGATCTCGCGCTAATTCACTCTGTCAGAAATCATGTATCATTCATCTTTGTCTGGAATAGTCTTTTTTCAGTATAAGGGTTTCGACTTCACATAATCGCCTCGTTTTCAGAGGTCCGAAAAGTCGGGGATTTCAATAATTTTTTATAAAATATAGGGAGCTCACAGCAAGAAACGCTTTGCTGTGGTGAGCTAGTTTGGGTGAGTTCTATCGAATTATGAAATAATTTTTTTTTTTATACAAGCCCATTGGGGTTTCGGTTAGAAGACCCCGAGTATTCAGGAAACAACTGACGTCACCACGGAGGCAGCTAAAGCTACCTGCGTGACATAAGAGTCCAGGATCACAAACATGATGAAAGAAATATTGAAGCGAATGTTGTAAACAACGGGGAAGATAATAATGGACAAATTCCTCATGTAAAGTTTACCGTAGACAAGTGTTTCGGGCTTGTACAGTATTGTGAACAAAGTGCGAAAGATAGGCGGAACCGATCACACTCTACCTACCGATGGAAGCTGATGTTTATGTTCAGAAGCATACAGCATTACAGGCAGGATATCTATTTATTCAAAATTATTAAAAGCTTTTATGTTTGTATGGATGTATGTATGTATATATGTTCGGGTGGAATCTTTGAACTCAATTTTGAAGTAGAAATCTTCAACCGATTGAGCTGAAATTTTGTATACACGTTCAGTTTGGATGACAATGCACGATAAGGTGTGTCACGTTATTCTAAATCCGATATGGCGGACCATCCAAGACGACGGAATAGCTATTTTTAATATACTTCTACAATATGGATATCAAATGAAAAGGCTCGTTGAGAGTAACTCGAAAAATTATGTGACGTCATTGTAAATCCATTATGGCGAACCATCCAAGATGGCGGAATTGTCATTTTCAATATACTTCTACAATATTGGTATCAAATGAAAAGACTCGTTGAGAGTTAATCAAAAAATCCAGCTAAAAAATAAATCAAAAGTTAAAAAAAACTTTTTAATAAAAAGCTTTTATTCGAACGCTCTGAAAAGAAGAAAATAAAATTTTTCTCGCTTGTCGCGATGATCAATATTTAATTAAATTGTAATTTTGAGAATTTTATCGCAGCAGATTTTACATAATCAAATAAGTACTAGTTCATTCACAAAAGTGAATCGCGCGACAAACTTTTATGATCATATAAATTGTATACCGGGTGACACAGGCTATCGGGCCACCCCTGTAACTTCTGCATTCGTCAACGGATTTTTCTGAAATTCGGTACAGTTATATAAGCAACTATTTCGGATTTGATCACATTACAATCCAATATGGCGGACTTCCGGTATTTCTGGAAATGATATTTCATTTTGTTCCTTAATGTATGTTCTAGAGAAACGGGTAGGTGGCCCATAGGGGTTCCATTCGAAAAAAAATAATTTTTGATCAAAAAGTGATGTGGCTGAATTGATTCCTGGATAAGTGACACAAACAATAATTTTTCAGAAAAAATTATGTTCTTCTGTTATGTGTGACTCATTGTGAATAGTCTTGACCACATCTCATTTATCCACGGGGTGAAATGAAAAGACAATTTTAATTCAATTTTTTCGAAAAAATGACATTTGAAATGAAGATTGCACTCGTTTCGACCTGTTGAACTTGAATATGTAAAAATATACAGGGTGTTTCATTTGAAAAAACAAAGTTGCTGGCATTTCCAGAAATACCGGAAGTCAGCCATATTGGATTGTAATGTGATCAAATCCGAAATGATTGCTTATATAAGTGTACCAAATTTCAGAAAAATCCGATGACGAAAGCAGAAGTTATTTTCTTCTTTTTAGAGCGTTTGAATGAAAGCTTTTTATTAAAAGGTTTTTTTTTACTTTTAATTCATTTATGTAACGGCACGGGCCAGGTAGCCGTGCGGACAGAGCGTCTATATTCTAATTCCACAGCTTCGCATTCGCTTGCCGGTCGTGGGTTCGATTCCCATCGACTGCAGAAATTTTTCTGATGGCCCAAGAAAGTGTTTAGGATCACACGATAAAAGGTAAGGCCCCCGTCATTCCTTGCTCGCACAAAAATCTCGAAGACTTCTGATGGTTGCTCGTAAGGGGGCAACCGAATGACGGATAGAACAATTTCAGAACAAATTTTCAGAATATCTTGAATACATAATAGAACTCATCGATAATAACCGGCTGATGATTAATAGGGTATAACTTCAAGTTTTCAGCAGTGTTAGATTGATATTCCCGTTAAAGTCGATACAAGATACAAACGGAGGTGGGCGGTGGGCAGATAGCTTCAGTCAACAACCAACGAGCGGAGATATACCCGGTTGGGCGCGTGGCTCGTCAACGTTTGCAAATACAATTTTTCTACGATCGTGCGAAAAATGACTACTTTCTGCACTTTTCGGTGTGCGAGAAAGTTGAAGAAATGCTTCTATCCTCTCGTAATTACGAGATCAATCTGAAAATCGAGAATCACTGATACTTATTTCATTGTGAATTACTCTTCGGGTAGAAAATTAGCGTTCCGTGCAAGTTATACACTATAATTTTTCTACAGCTATCATAGATATCAGCGGTAATTTCGATTTCTTCGTCTTGTAACCATCTGATCGCCTGTCAAGTATTGCTCGTCTATCAAACAGAGCTGTAATTGCTTGAAATTTGATATTCCATGGGCGATGAGTATTTTTTAAATAATAACACAATGGAGTCATTGTGATATCAGATCCGGAAATAAAATTGATGACATACAATAAAGTAGTGGTGTATCGTATACAGTGAAACAAGAGCAATCTTGTGTTATAGCCGTAGAAAAATGACTATTCCATATCTTTGTTACTCCATTCAGAGAAATTTGCTATTGAAGAAAAAACATGGGTTTTGTAATTATTGGAAATAAAACGAATTATGTGTTCACTGGTTTCATAGTCTAGAGACAGAATTCATACATAAATTGATACACTTCTGGACGCAAAGATTTTTCATCGCTTGAAACGCATGAAAGGGAATCCCTATAATGTTCGAAGAACATCTTGCGTACCTAGGGAGCATAGGAAGAGGAGGAAGTTCTTGAGAACACTCACTTATGCAATGAATTCCATAGCTTTGCTGTTCTATAGGCAAGCGAGTTTTGATAAAGTGCTGTTCGACCTATTCCCAGGTTGACAACGAAAGAATGTGCTGACTGCGCTTGTCCGGTTCGTCTAACGGGTACCACTAGTGAAGGAATGATAGCAGAGGTTTGTGAAAAACATATCTCGTGGAAGTATTTTTATAGAAAAGTGAGAGTCACCGACTTTTTTACGTTGTTTTCAAAGATGTCAAAGAATGAGTGAGTGTGGCATCACCCACCAGGCGGATGGCCCTTCTCTGGATGGAATCTAAGAGTATCAGCACACGTTTGGGTGCTTAACCCCATGTGTGGGAACAGTATTCTAGAACAGGCCGTACCTGTGCTTCGTAGATCATGAGAAAAAATCGAGGTGTGAACTAGACTTGGTGGGAATGGAGGTTTCAGACATTATTATTTTTTTTATGTTCTGGTTCCCACGAAAAGAGATATCCTGTAATGTTCAGAGAACATCGTAAGAACCAAGGGAAATAAGGTAGGAATTGGTGTTCTTTTTAAATTTCTGGAGGTTATATGCCTCGGGAAACACCTCCCTTGGCAATGTGTTCCAGCGCCTCGCTGTTCGTTGAATGAATGAGTTTTTGGAAAGAGATGTTCTGCAAGTCTCCACTAAGGGGTGCGAAGCCCCAACTGGACGGGTTAATCTCGCGGGGACTGCCAAGGGAGGAACAATTGCTGATATTTCAGAAGAGCATCGTCCATGAAAATATCTATAAAATAGAGCCAGATCGCCAACTTTTCTACGGTGTTCCAGAGGAGTGAGTGAGGCCATCACCCACGAGACGAATTGCCCTTTTTTGGACAAAATCCAACAGTTCCAGGGTATGTTTTGGGTGCTGCACTCCAAATATGGGAACAGTATTCCATGACAGATTGGATCTGTGCCTTATAGATTATAAGCAGCTGACTGGAAGTGAAATTGCTCCTGGCCCGAAACAGAAAACCAAGTTTTTTAGATGCACTTTTAGCACTTGATCTCCCGTGATTTCACCAAGAAAAGTTATTGCTGATAGTAATACCAAGCATCGAAATGGATGTCTTCAAAGTTATGATTACTTCTGACAAGCATATGTTGGGCACAGTGAGATCGGCTTTTCAAGAGAAAAGGCATGCTTGTGTTTTGTTTGCATTGAAATCTATCAAGTTATTGGATCCTTATTCGAGAATTGTTGCCAAGTCCATATTTATGTTGTCAACATTTCCTTCTCGTTTGTTTCTGATTTGCCTGGCTGGTATTGGAGCCTGAAAGAGAAGGCGGTATGGAGGGTACTATCAAGTTGCTTCCAACAAATCGTTGATATGGAGTAGAAATACTGTTGGTGCTAGAAATGATCCTTGCGGAACACCAGCATTTATGATAAAGAGTGTCAGATGGAACTTCTTCGACCACTACATGGAGAGACCTGTTTGAGAGAAAACTAGCTAGCAGAGAATATAGCTGGGGAGGCAAGCCATAAGATGGAAGCCTATCTGATCCAACAAATCGTAAATTCCATCTTGATCTTTTTGCAATTCTAAATTCTTGGAATGCAGAACAGTTTTGACACACTGGAATGTATTATTCAAAATCGATATTGGTCATTGATCCGTTGCGGTACGCTTCCGGAGCACACAAATGTGATGTACACAAGTATGTCCTGAAATCTGATCCCGAAAAAAATTTTGGAAAAAGCCACTGTGAACCACCATGTTGAATCATGTTTTCATTTGCCATTCGATGCAAAAAATCATTCAAAATATCATATAAAGTTGATGTTTTCGATTCACTCACCTTCTGGAAACATCTTTCAGTCGAGACCAATTACACCACACAAAGATTTTTTTCTGCAACCGACACAGAAGTCGTCCATTTTGATACCAAAATTAGCTCTTAAATTGACGTTTCTATAACTGATACAAAAATAGGTATGTTGCTAGGCAACATATTTAGTTCCTAGGAGCTAAAGTTGAATTTTAGTTCCTAGGAGCTAAAGTTGAACTAAAAAGAATGTACTGGACGTCATCAAGGATAAACAACATTGTGACGGTTGGTTATTTGGGTTGAGACGCATACCTGATTTGTTTCCGATTTCAGCAGATTTGGCATTTCATACCCATGCTGGAGATATAAATACACCTTATTATAGTTTAGTATTGAAATTATAAACATCTCAGCTGAGTATTTTTGTATTAATCAGGGAAGCCTTCAAGATTCAAATACTTGCTTGATCTCGCTGTATTTCATTCGTTATTCTCGGGATGGATAACTTGTTTTTGAATAATCACGACAAGCAATAGTTTTTTGTCTCAAACAACGATATTGTTTAGCTTCATTTGATTATCAAGTCAAATACATGGAGAGGATAAATAATCACCATTATCATAGTTGATATGCTCACTAACCTAACATTTTCCACGTCTTGTTCCTGGCGCGGTATTTGCCATTAGAGCACCTGGTCCATACACAAATATGTCACTCTTTGGTTGTATTTATATTGAAACTACAATTCGAACATCCTTGAAAACCTAACCTGCTGTTAATGCAGGTAGAATATTCTTATACCACATGGATTATTTGTCAATATTTGTTGCATTGCATACATATGGCACGGCATTGGTGGTTACTTCACATGCATGTTTATTTGAGGTAATTGTTTCGGTTGCAGAAAAAATAGCATGTTTCATTCGGATCAAAAGTGACTTTGTTCGACTCGCAAATTTTGCTTTCACTTGTCAAACAAAGTGTCACTTTTGATCCTAATAAAACAATCTACTATTTTATACTGCCTGAAAATAAAATAAGCAGCAAATGCGGTTTGTTTCGTGCAAATAAAACACTCACAAACATAGTGGCTGGTTCTCGATCCAGCAGAATGATATTTTATCCCTTATAAATCACTTACCGTGTATGTACAATAGTGAGGGTACGGAGCAGAAGGGCTAGACGAATGCCCGGTTATTCATTTTTCAATAATCAGCAATCAAATCATATTTCCACCTTCACCACTCCCTGCCACTTTCTATATTATTTTGTATGTCTCCTCCACGTAACGACAAAAAGATGCCTCCAAAGACACCTCATCCGACGTCGTCTACAAACGCTAAGTTTTGTCGTACAGGTACGACAATCGTTAGCTACAGAATAACAAATATCGTTCCGTAACGATTATCGTTCGTTAACGATGTCGTTAAGCGTTACAGAATTGCCTCCTATAAGACGTGTGTGATAATGTCCAAAAAACTAAAATTTGCGATGCATTTTCCAGGGGAAGATTCTCGTTGGTATTGAAGGCTGTGGACAAGAAGAACGATAGCGTAGTGGTGGCGAAAATCCTGGAATACAACGAGAGCAGAAAAGAAGACGTCGACGGCGAATTCGCTGCTCTGAGGTCGCTGAGGCACGAAAGAATCGCCAGTCTTTTGTCCGCTTACCGCGTTAACGATACGGCTGTCTTCGTTCTGGAAAAGCTACAGGGCGCTGACATTCTGACGTACCTGTCGAACAAACACGAGTACACCGAACAGACTGTCGCCACGATTGTCAGCCAGGTGAGTTTCAAGACACTATTAGGCAAATTATATCACAATGCGTGATTGTTATACATCTAGAAATACTTATTGGAAAAGACCATATTCAATTTCATACTGCAACAAATATAATAATAATAATAATAAAAATAATAATAATAATAATAATAATAATAATAATAATAATAATAATAATAATAATAATAATAATAATAATAATAATAATAATAATAATAATAATAATAATAATAATAATAATTATGCTCCGGGAGATATTGAGTCCGTTGTGGAGAATGAAAGGTGCCGAATTTATTGGAACTTCTCATTCCCCACCCTCAGGCAGATACAAGCTAACAAGCCTGATGTAGTCCTCCTCGACCATCAAACCAAAGCGATGTTCGTGATCGAGTTTTCGGCGCCAGCCGAAACGAACATCGTTTTGAAGGAGGAGGAAAAACGGACTAAATATCGAGATCTTCTCTTCGAACTCCGCCGGCTCTATCCAGACCATTCTGTGGAATTGGTCATCCTGATTATCGGCTCCCTAGGAGGCACACGACACACGCTGCTCTCGGAGATCCAGAAAATCCCAGCGTGCCGTGATAAGGCACACATCCTGGCTGGTGGAATGCAGAAGGCCGTCATACTAGGATCATTGCGTCTACTCAGGGCACACGGTACTTGGTCCCAGTGATTACTCACCTCACAGGCTGTGAGGAGTAGTCACTGGATTTTATCCAGCACGACTCTGCGTGACGTCGGAGGCCGCAGGGTCGTGACTGGAATCATATAAACTCAAAAAATAATAATTATTATTATAATAATAATTTTATTGTTCCTAAAAACACAGAGTTTATAGACACGTCACGTTTGAGAGCAGTTACCTACAAGAGCAAAGTTCATAAAATTACGACAATAAAGTACATCAATTCGAAATATGAAATTCAAATACAGATACATGCTGAAATTCTTTGGCATTACTCAAATGGAATACCTCATTCAAGAAAATAATAAATTCAATGTTCAAGTTTGACACAAGTTTGACAATCATTAAAATCCAGAAAATATGTATGGAAAAAGTCATTCACGACACTCCAAAAGCATCCCTATCTCTCACAACTATTTCGGAAAATTCATGAATGTCATACAGTGGGTTTTCAATCAAGATATGCTTCATGACCTCCTCGAATTTTTTTATTGGAAATTCTCGGAAATCAGTTGGCAGTGTATTATATAGTTTGATGCCTATATTATCTGTTTTTCTCAGTCTATTTGCTTTCAGTACAAGGTCATTTTTGTTTCTTGTGTTATATTCGTGCACATCTGTGTGAGTGGAATATTTTATCAAATCCAATCGAATATTCAATAGATTTTCGTAGACAATAACTGAATATAATGTCATTACTTTGAGATTTTTGAATAGTCTGCACGTTTCATCAAGTATAGCTGATGCTATACTTCTCATGGCAAATTTTTGTAGCACAAATACTCTTTCTGAATGAATTTTTGATGCACAACCCCAGGATATTATTCCTTACCTAAGAACTGAATGGAATATTGAATGATAAGTCATAAGAGCTGCATTAATTTTCACAGATTTTTTTAATCAATCTGATTGCATATGTTGACCTGCTAAGTCTGGTACAAAGGTTATTTATGTGGTCTTTCCAGGTTAAATTTGAATCGATTTGCACACCCAAGAATTTAACAGCTGCTTGTTTCATTTGATCCATGTTTCTCGTTTCGAAAGTTAATGTTTTAGTTTTTTGTTCATTCAGTATCAGCTCATTTGCTGAACCAATTTCTTGCTTTCTCTACTACTGTATTCAAAATTTGCTGAGGAGTTACCAAATCGTCTAAAGCTATACTAAAAGTGACATCATCTGCATACATTGTAGTTTTTATATTAGATGAGTTTACGAAGTGTGGTAGATCCATTGATGTAAATAATAAAGAGGAGCGGTCCTAGTATGGAGCCCTGAGGGACACATCTCATCAATTCTTTTTCACCACGAGACTGACCAAATTCTACAACCTGGAGTCTTTTTTATAGATATGATTTTATCATTTTCCAGCAAACACCTCTGACACCATAGAAATGTAATTTATCAAGGAGGATTTGATGATTAACACAATCAAACGCTGAAGTAAGATCTGTGAAAACGCCGATATATTTTTCTCTATTTTCGAATGCATCTTCCATATAGCTGATGAGCGAATTTATTGCATCTGAGGTTGATTTACATCTTCTGAAGCCAAATCGATGTGGACTCAGGATATTATCCAATTCCATAAAATCCATTAGTTGTGAGTATATAGCATATTCGAAAATTTTTGCGAGAGATGGTAAAATAGACACTAGTCTGAAGTTAACAGCTTCAGAATAGTTACCCTTTTTGTGAATAAAGAGGACTTTGCCAATTTTCAGGTTATGTGGAAAATGTCCTTCGATAAAACATGAATTAATTATATCCGTCAGAGGATCCATTATGTGTGTTTCACAACTTTTGATAACGAAAGTATTCACTCCCTTTATGTCTTATGTTTTTTTGTTTTTCAGTTTATTTATTATTATTCTTACATCATCCCTGGTAACTGGTCTGAAGAACATTGAATGGTTTATTAGTTATACAACCAAAGATTGGATTATGACCTTGTTCTTGTTATAGCCCTGAGAAATACTTAAAACTGAGGTCCTGAACTGATATATCCTACACCCAATCGAATTCCACGGAACTACAAACTTGTTTCATGATGTATCATCAATAAAATACTTAGGGGTGTTCATCGACCAATTTCTGAAATGGCAAGTAGGTACACATTCAACATACAAACAGGAGCCGCTTCTTCTCGTGAAAAGATCTGTATTTTCATGATCCAAGATTAAGTTGTCGAAAACTATACATATATAAGAGTAATGGTAATATTGAATCTAGTCCCACCCTGTATTATACACTTCTGAATAGAATTTCGAAATAATTTCATCCTCAATGCATTGTGCATGGAAAGTTTCATCACATGGTATTTCGGAAATATTCAAGAAATATCATCTTCAGGAGTATCTTTTCAGGGAGTTGTAGCTCCCTTAGGAGATATTTCTCGACTCATGTTCATTGAAGTTTTTCTTCCTATTCTGGGTCGTAGAAGCCGCAGGTAGAGTTTGGCAGACTAATTTGGGGACACTCTGTATAAAGGGAGGAATTCAATTATGCATTAATCCATTGTCTGCTGGATATGAAGAAAAAAATCTAGTGAGCTGTAACTACTGGTCTTCCCAATAGCTCAGTTGAGTGTATGACCACCAGAGGATGTTACCGTGTCGGACGAAATGATTTTCACTTTTTTCTAGAAAATTTTCGATATTTGTGGTTATGTAAGTTGTCAGTGTCAAGAGCTGTCGTGTCATCGTGACTTGGCGTATTTTTGCCTAAAAAAATGTTTCTCTCTCAATTCACATTATTGTTCTAATATTCCTTTCGTTTATATATTTTTGTGTTGTGCTCCCAGTATTATAGTGGTTTATTCTGATTGATAATTTGTTTCAAACTCTGTCTCTCAATTGTGCCTACCAGAAAGTGTGAAACAGTCCCCATCCAAGGATTTCCAAGTGATATTTATTCGCAACATAGTCATATATTTGCTCATTACTGATGAAAAACTTAATTTCCACAATTTTTCAGAGCTGAGTGGGCACACCAAATAAAATGCACAACCATAAAATCGGAATCACTGCTCGAGCCAATGTTTTCCGAGCATTTTCACTATTCATGTTCCCACGCTTCACGCCATCATTATCATGATCAATATGCACAGAATTTCATATTTCGAGCCTTGAAGGAGTTACATGAACCATTTTTGAATTTTTGAGTGACTGCGTGACCGTGACCCGTGACTATGTCGTAACTGAACTCAAACTCGCTGAACAAACTACGCCGCCGGTCGAGACTGCCGAGAGCACCGCTGAAGATTCCACAACTCATTTACAATTTTCAAGGTTATGTAAGTTTGACAGGAAAACAATTGGAATAAGTGTTTCCTTGAGTTGACCGTATGGCGGTACTACTGTATCGGCCACAGAACCCTGTAGGTGATTTCCCTTGTTTGAGCAGACCAGATACTCCAGCTCACTAGATTTTTCCTCCATATTCAGCAGACAATTCATTAATCAATATAAGAAAACAATTTGACAGCCTGTGGAAAGCTATCCATTCGTATATAGAAAATAATGATATATATGAATAGTAATGACTTCTGATGCACTCTGTGGGTATATCTGGCTGCTTCGCCACTCTTGTCGCCATAGGCTGAATCCGTTCTGATAAGTTTTTTCTTTTCTTTCTTCTGTCCCTGATCAGTTGTTGAGTTGAGTTTTTCAACATTCTCTTCTCCTTTGGGCATCTGGATTGATTCAGTAAAATAAGACTCTCCGGTGGCCTGAACTATATCCAATGAAGCTAATATCCTGGCCTCCTGGAGTTGACTTATTGGGAGTTTCAGGTGCACTATTCGATATTGATATCCTAGTTTTAGGACTGCTTACTTCTCCATTTCCATTAAATCCATTCAACTGGCTGCCTGCATAAATGTCACCATCTATCTGAAGGTTCTTCTTTTTTCTATTGTGCATTCAGTTTCTTTGCTCTTGCGTCATTGCGATGTTTCAGTAATATTTCTTGATCACTCTGTCCTCCATGCAAAGATCTTATGCAATGTAAATTCCTTTTTCTTTGAGTTCATCAGAATTGGGGATGACGAGTTCTTTTATGAGGTTTCGAGTAAATTCAATTGTTATTGGAGGTATAGGATTCTCACTCCTTATATAGCTGATAAATGTCACCCACTTCATATCATCATTCTCGGTTAATTCTATTTGGATAAGCTCATGTAGATTTCAAGACCATACACTAGAATACAATGAAATATTACTTGACCTTGTTTTTTAATATTTCAGAATTCCATTCACAAAGTTGGAGAGAGCAGGAAAAAATAAGTAGGACTGAATGTATTCGGTGTGTCCGCAT